AGGAAAAGGCCCTTGGACCAGCCCTGTCTCAAACAGAGCCCTGTGGCACAGGCTCTTTTAACTTAAGGGGATTTTCAGAAGTAAAGATGTTCTGATCAAAGCAGCAGGAGGACAGGGACCCATTAATCCCCACATGTGGTGCCACAGTAGGATGAGGGAGCACAAGCCATCACACTTTCACCCATACATCCATCGCTGAACCCCTGTGGTTATGTGAAGGACATATGCATGCTAATTGTAATTCAATCATAAACTGGAAATTGAAATAAGAACGTAAGCCTAAGCATGCTTACTTTTGAGAGTTAATTCCATCAGACTTAGTAGGACTTACTTTAGGGAAAATATGTGCAGGACGGGAACATGCTAATAAACAGAATAACTGAAAAGAAGTGAGGGAACGGTGCTTTAAAATAATTAACAAACTACAAGGAGCTTTTGTGGTTCTCTTCCCTTTTCAAAGTTGAAACTGGAGCTGAGCAAACAGATACATTGAGCAAAAGTGTTGTGTAAGGACACAGCACTAAATAGTTTCTGGTTACAACATTTTTTTGTTGGGGGGGGGAACAAGGATGCAAGCAGAAAAGAGTAAAGATGTTTAAAGAACTTGGAATTTGTGGGTGAAACTTTAAGGAACACGTTTCCAAGGCCTAAGTTAAACCAGGATAAGAACAGGGAACAAATGTTCAATGTTTTCAATGCCTTTGTATCAGGTGTAGTAACAATTATTAAACAACAAAACAACAACACCAGAACTGGCTTATGATTATAAAGGACAATTATACTGGAATAAATATATAACTTCATAAACCTACTAGACAATGAACTAACTAAAGTGCAATGTGCATAACCAAGCCTGGAGATACTCATAAACATAGAATGAACCAGTGTCTCTCTCGTTGTAACACATATCGGTTATGTATGCAGTAAGTATGTCATAACATGGCTGGAACAAAGTAGTTGTTCACTGGAAGCACAAAGCCATGAACGCAGGAGCGCTTGCCAGAAAGCGTTCTTCAAGTAGTCATTAGCAGGAAGCGCAATGCCAAATGATCAGTTGAAGCCAAATTGATGAGACCTGTTCTCCAGGTATTATCCAGGTTTTGCAGCAAGTTTCATCAGTCAATAATGCTAAATAATACAGGATGGCATTCCAGTTACAATAAATGAACGACCACAAACTACATGCAATACCCATCCCATGTTGTGTCTTACCTAATCACTCAACACGGTTCGCTCAAGACAAAATGCTCACAGGCACAGCAATTGTAATACAGTGGTGCCTCGCAAGACGAAATTAATCCGTTCCGCGAGTCTCTTCATCTTGCGGTTTTTTCGTCTTGCGAAGCACGGCTATTAGCGGCTTAGCGGCTATTAACGGCTTAGCGGCTATTAACGGCTTAGCGGCTTTAAGAAAAAGGAAACAAACTCGCAAGAACTCGCAAGACGTTTCGTCTTGCGAAGCAAGCCCATAGGGAAATTCGTCTTGCGGAACGACTCAAAAAATGCAAAACCCTTTCGTCTAGCGAGTTTTTCGTCTTGCAAGGCATTCGTCTTGCGGGGCACCACTGTACCAAACATTTAAATACATTACAGGTGCATAGAATCAATCATCACATTCTTACATGGTTAAAGGTACAGTAACACTTCTCTGTTATTGCTAAACCAACAAAGGCACAAAAATTGATTATATATAACAACCAAGGTCAAATTTGGTATTCAAACCTTTTGGAAACAAGGTTCCTAGTTGAAATATTAATTTGTACTCTTTTTGTAGCCAGGCTCTTCGTACATCAACAGAGCTAAAAGGTAGTTTTTTAAAGGTCCACAGAAAGAAAAAAACAACTCAGGTCATTTTCAGTATGAGCCTCTTGCTGGAAATGATGGACTAATGGGGCGTCTAGACAAGCATTGTGTATTTTGGACCTATGTTCAGAAATTCTAGTCCTGATTGCACGGGTAGTACTACCTACATATAGAAGCCCACAAGCACAACGGATACCGTATACACAGTTTTTGTAGAACAATTTGTAAACGGTTGCAAAACAATCTTTCGCCCATTTATTGTGTTGCTAAATGATTTCACGGGCAACACAAATCTGCAACATGTGCAATGACCGCATCTATAATGCCCTTTCAGCGTTGTATGTGGCTCATCATTATGGTATTCAAGTAGATCAGTGTGGGAAAGAACGTCCCTAAACAATCTAGTATGCCTTTTGCCTAAAATAGGCACATTTTCACAGCCTGGAATATGGGAAATTGTCCTTTATATTCATAAGCCAGTTCTGTTGTTGTTCTTCTGTTGTTCAATGCCTTTGGGTCATTCCATCTCTCACGCCAAGGGTTCTTGATATTGTGAGATGTTGGGACATGAATAAGGAGTCTTGAGTAGCTGACAGTGTGCAGAAAAGTCTCCGCTCTGCCCGTGAGGATCGTGAAAAATCCCACACATTTAGAAAGAGTTGCAATGGGATGTGATCCGTCGTCTTGAAAAGTTATTTGTTTTGAACGTTGCTCAGACACACCTCTCGCTCAAAGCCCCTAGGGTTTATCCCCAAAGCTCTATCAGTTAATAGAAAGTCAAGAGAAAGACTTTAGTTTAGATCGTATTTTGGGTTCCAAATATTTGCCCCATGTTTGTATTTTTTACTTTCCATCTTGAGGACAAGTCTGAACGCACAAAGCTCCCTTATACCAAGTCTCAGAATGAGAACAGCTAATGCTCAGTGTTAGAACAGGTAGGTAGCCGTGTTGGTCTGATGCAGTAGAAATATATATATATATAAATAAATAAATTGTCCAGTAGCACCTTAGAACCAACTAAGTTTGTTTTTGGTATGAGCTTTCGTGTGCATGCACAGCCTGGCAGCTGCTCTCCAAGGTCTCAAGATATTTTCCAGCCCAGTGACCCCAAATCCTTAAAACTAAACTAAGTGCCTTCTGCATGCAAACAGGATGCTTTTGCTGAGGAGTAGTCCCTCTCCATACCTAATCGTTCAACAAGTATGCTTTTTAAGCCAAACCATCTCATTCCTGGAGAAGTTAAAGTAGAAAGTATCAGAAAAAGAGACCTAGGATTTATCCTATATAGGCCCTTCATATCAGTTTGGAGAAGGATGCTCTAAAACATCTAACATCATAGAAATAACTTTTTGAAAATCTTTTGATGTTTCCAAAATGTTTTAGTGTAAGTGCCGCGTCCTTGGTCCTTTATTTTGGAGTAGTCCTGTTGAAGTGACTGTCACGGCTGATGTATGCCCCACGGAGGACCTTAAGGTCCATAAATAGCAACACCCTAGAGGTCCCAGGCCCTAAGTTAGATTAGCCTCAACCAGAGCCAGGGCCTTTTCAACACTGGCTCCGGCCTGGTGGAACGCTCTGTCTCATGAGACCATGGCCCTGCAGAATCTGATTTCTTTCCGCAGGGCCTGTAAGACAGAGTTGTTCCGCCTGGCCTTTGGCTTGGAATCAATTTGATTCCCTCCCCCTCTTTCTTTTTTCCTTTTTCCTCCTGTGAAGAGGCTGCATTTTAATGTTTTAATGTTGTATTTTAATCTTGCTTTTTTAAGTTGTATTTTAATCAACTTGTTTTTATTATTGGTTGTTAGCTGCCCTGAGCCCGGTCTTGGCTGGGGAGGGTGGGGTATAAATAAAAATTATTATTATTATTATTATTATTATTATTATTATTATTATTATTATTATTATTATGTATTGCAAGATGCCCTGCACAATAAGATGGGTCCAGTGCTTTTTTCTGGGGGTACGCATACCCCTAAACATTTTGTGAATCTAAGTTTGGCCTCATTGAGGGACAGTATTTCAATATGAGTAGGAAAATGAGAGAGTACCCCTAAACATTTTTTTAAAGAAAAAAAAGCACTGGAGGGTCCCTTCTCTTCATTGGGTATTAATGAATTCGGATAATTTCCTTCTTTCTGCTAATAGTCTCACCAAAGGATGGAATTGCAGGACTGCCACTTAAGTAATCATGAAACGGTATTTATTTTTGTTGTTGTTTAGTCGTTTAGTCATGTCCGACTCTTCGTGACCCCATGGACCAGAGCACTTCAGGTACTCCTGTCTTCCACTGCCTCCCACAGTTTGGTCAAACTCATGCTGGTAGCTTCGAGAACACTATCCAACCATCTCGTCCTCTGTCGTCCCCTTCTCCTTGTTATAACATCCCTTAAATGTTAGTGTTCCATTTCCCCACCATATAAAAGAGCCAGTGTTGTGTAAAATGGTCAAGAAGATGGCTTCTACATGGGCTGTGGAGGAAAGTGAGGGGCAGATGGGGCTCATCCAACTGGGAAGGGAGCCCATCTAGGAGAAGGAAAACTTCTTAATACATCTAAATACATCTAAAAGCTAGAAGCAACACAAATATTTAGAATGATCACTTTAAAACAGAAGCAATTGAGAAGAACTAATAACTATTGTAAAGCCAGAGTATTAAGGACAGGCCATAATAATAAATTACTGGAACAAGTCAAAATCCCCCCAATTATAACTAATAGGTTTCTTCCTCATGTTTGGGTATTCTCAGTTTACAGAGAATGAACCTTTGGTTGTTGCTTACTGTAAATCTCAATATGACTCCAAACTCACCCACAAACCAAGTTTCAGGTTCCAAAATTTGCTGAAGTGTAAAAACAATGAAAGCCAATAGTGTTCCCTTTTCTCATGATTATTACAGGAAACATTAAAGAAACACACACACACATCCTGGCCATTTCAAATTCCAAACTTTTGGCTCCTTTATAAGCAGCCTGCCTCCTTTATTTTTGAGCTTTCCTTTTAGGGGCAAGGGGATGCCCCAGAGATCCACCACTTTGCAGTGTGAAGAGGAAGGAGGAAGCAGGCCATTGAGAAAAATATAACGCCTCAATACTGTTCCGTTTGATCTTCAAAGATGGTAATGCTTAATTTAGAGTTCACTCATCTGTGGGCTTCGTAATACTAAGCTATTTTAAAAGCACACTCTGTTACTGGTATTTGTTTTCAGGGCTTTACAGGATTAACGCCAAGGAGGACTCCAAAAGCTCATAGGGGAGTGTTTTCTGGAGACATGGTGGAACCCGTTGGGAACCAGTATGTTGTGGCTCGGCCACTGTACTCAGACCTGGCATTTGATGAAGAACATCAGAAAGTGCCCAGATACCATAAAAACTTTGTGGACCATCTCAGAGTATGCTTTAGGTAAGAGACTTTTTTTGTAGACATGGATAAAAAAATAAAATGGTGCCATGGGGTAATTCTTCAGGTTTTCTTGGTAAGATTTTCAGCTGGTTTCCGAAAAGATTTCCAATCATTTGTTCCCCACTGGGTCCTGCATATAGCATTCTGGCATGTTAAAGGAGAAAACAAGAAAGAACCGCCAGCTTGAAGGACTCATCTTAATTCTCTGAGTAGTTCAATGCACAAGGGACGCGGGTGGAGCTGTGGGTTAAACCACAGAGCCTAGGACTTGCTGATCAGAAGGTCGACGGTTTGAATCCCCACAAGGGGGTGAGCTCCCGTTGCTCAGTCCCTGCTCCTGCCAATATAGCAGTTTGAAAGCACATCAAAGTGCAAGTAGATAAATAGGTACCGCTCCGGTGGGAAGGTAAACGGTGTTTCCGTGCGCTGCTCTGGTTCGCCAGAAGCGGCTTAGTCATGCTGGCCACATGACCCGGAAGCTGTACACCGGCTCCCTCGGCCAATAAAGCGAGATGAGTGCCACAACCCCAGAGTCGGCCACGACTGGATCTAATGGTCAGGGGTCCCTTTACCTTTACCTAGTTCAATGCACATAACCAAACTGCTACTCAAATCAATCCCATTCGCATAATGCTCTGTGACCCATCCAAACAAGGAGGCAAGACCAATCCTGAAGAGTGCGGGAGACAATACAGTGGTACCTCTGGTTAAGAACTTAATTTGTTCTGGAGATGCATGCTTAACCTGAAACTGTTCTTAACCTGAGGTACCACTTTAGCTAATGGGGCCTCCTGCCGCCGCTGCCACTGCGCGATTTGTATTCTCATCCTAAAGCAAAGTTCTTAACCCGAGGTACTATTTCTGGGTTAGCGGAGTCTGTAACCTGAAGCATCTGTAACCTGAAGCGTCTATAATCCAAGGTACCACTATATAATATTATCCCTACACGTCAAGGCTGGCCCAGGACCTTTTGCCACCTGAGATGAAAGACAAGAGATTTCCACTACATTTCCTTGTTCAGAAGCTGTCTGGGCTGGCGGCTGAATCTTTGGCTGTGTACATGTTGCCAGTTACTCTGGCTGCACTGCCGGTGCATGTACACACGGTGTTGCCCAGAGCTAACCTGTAGTTTCTTAAATGCTGCTGTGTTGCTTGATGCTTTTTCTCTCAAACCAGCATCGGTCTGAAAGGAACCCTCAAGCCACATTCATTTCACAGCTAAGCAGAGGTGTGTACGTTTGATTTAGCCGTTGCCCATGGGCAGATGGCAACGCAGAAGGAGCTGTCAGAAAATCAAGATCCAAAAACCAAGATCAAGCGAGCTATTGGCCCCTTCCGCGCTATCAGAAGTTTCTGTCCTCCCTGAGCATTCCTTATCGTAAACCACTCTGGAAATATTTGAACCAGAGAACAACATAGGAGGGTTTTAAGAGATCAACAAACAAGTAGGCCCGGACCTAGTGCACTCCAAATGCACTGGTATCGTGTTAAGAATGTGTTGCTGAATAATACCACAATAAAACACCAGTCTATGGGGCCATAACAATGCAATTCTAACCATAGTATGTAAGACATCCTGAGTTCAATGAGGCTTACTCCCGCCCAGGTAAGTGGGTTTGGGCTTGCAGACCCTCCAAGTGCCCCTGTTTTCCAGGGACAGTCCCGGATTTACAGAAGCTATCCCGGTTTCTGATTTGATCCTGAAATGTCCCGCTTTTCTTTAGGACTTTTGTATTTTCATCAGAGAAATGTTTGAGGGTAGGAAGTTATGTGACCCCGGAGCCAAGGGGATAAGTAACTATACAACCTTTTGAAGACATCTGAAGGCAGCCCTGTATAGTTAATGTTTAATGTTTTATCATGTTTTTAAATATGTTGGAAGCCGTCCAGAGTGGCAGGGGCAACCCAGTCAGATGGGCAGGGTATAAATAATAAATGTTGTTGTTGTTGAATTAGACGTTCCTATTTTCATCAGAAAAATGATGAAGGGCATAATTTACTGTCTTCAAAACAAAGTTTGGGTATTTGCAGGTTCTTTGCTTCTGCTTAGAGTTTCCTGATGAAAAAGGTATCGTCGTCTTGGTAGCAAACATTTTTTTCCGTTATATACATTCTCATCCTTTTATTAGACCCAGCTGGGGACATCAGTAGTTTAACTTTTGCATGATTCAATCATTCTCTTTTCAGCTGCACTCCACAAAAAGCAAAGAAAGTAGCTTTTAATTTGCTTCCTGTCATCTCCTGGCTACCTGCCTACCGCTTCAAAGACTGGATTCTCAGCGACATTGTTTCAGGAATTAGCACGGGGCTCGTAGCTGTTCTACAAGGTAAATATTTTCAGTTCTTTCATAAATGGCGCATCATTTATTTTCATATTAGCGGTTCCTCTATATCGTCGGTTGGGAATCCGTGGCTCTCCGGATGTTCAGCTCGACTACATCTCCCATCATCCCTGACCATTGACCAGGCTGGTGAGGGGTTATGGGAGTTGGAGTCCAACAGGTTCTGGAAGGTAGCCAACTGCTCACCTCTCCCCTACATGCAATCATATTCTCCAAGGTGATGCACTTTTTCTTCTTTCTAATTTTAGGCCTAGCATTTGCTTTGCTGGTAAACATTCCTCCAGGCTATGGACTCTATGCAGCCTTTTTCCCAGTGATTATATATTTTTTCTTCGGCTCTTCCAGACATATATCGGTTGGTAAGTTGAACGGCATTCCAAGGGACCGTGGCACGGTGCCACCTTCTCCAAGATTTTAATTCACCTTACCTAGACTTCTTCCAATAGAACATACTGTAGCTACGCATCACTTGTAAGAATGACTGCTCCAGTACATTGTGTGATAAGAGAGCCAATAGTGCTATTGGCACAACACCATAAAACAAGAAGCTATACCACCATGGTGATATTTTGATAGAATCACATGCAGATATGTCAGCATAAATATTTAGGAGCAGGGTGATTTCAGTGGGTATCGCAGAAAGAAACATGGAACAGGTAAAGAATAGGACTGTAATTTATGTGCATGGAGCCGATAATGTCCCATCTACTTTCATGATGGGAAATATTCCATGTCTACAAAGCATTTCCTACCACTTAAGGGGAGAGCTCCTTTTCTCATGGAGCATGCACACCAGAAAGGTGCTCTCATGTACCCTAGATCACTTAGTCAGAGGTGATTTGACTAAAGGCCTGCTCACACAGAGGCCTACGTAAGTCGGTCCCATTGATGTGATCTGTCCACTACATGTATGTGTAAACACACACACAGAGAGAGAGAGAGAGAAAAAGAGAGAGAGAGAGAGAGAGAGAGAGAGAGAGAGAGAGAGAGGCATTTGCTTCCAGTCACAATGCAGTGGATTTTTATCAACAACCATGTTATGGAATCATAGAAGTGGAGGGGGCCTCGTGAGTCATCTAGTCCAACTTCCCGCTTAATGAAAGAAATCTTGAAGCAGAGAATCCTTTAAAAATGGCGGTCGAGCCTCTGCTGGAAGACCTTCAGTGGAGGAGAGCCCACCATTCCTCTAGGTCAGTGTTTCCCAAACTTGGGCCGCCATCTGTTTTTGGACTACAGTCCCCATCATCCCTGACCACTGGTCCTGCTAGCTAGGGATGATGGGAGTTGTAGTCCAAAAACAGCTGGAGACCCAAGTTTGGGAAACACTGCTCTAGGTCAAGGGTGGGGAACCTTTGCCCTCCAGATGTTGCTGGACTACAACTCACAGCATCCCTGACTATTGGCCACGTTGGCTGGGCTTGATGGGAGTTGGAGTCAACAGCACCTTGGTGACCCAACAGCTCCCCATCTCTGTTTGTGTTAATCGGCTTCGTTGTTGAACCATCAAGAGGTTACCCAGAAAACAAAATTCAGGATGAAGAACATGGTGTGATCTGAATGGCTGAGAAACACCTTAACAAATGGAGGGGGATTCTAATCCTATTTACTCTGTGCTCACACACTTAAGAGTGCATGGCCCAAGTTTCTCTTATTGATAGGATCTTTTAAGCTGAAGCTCTTACAATGCTAACAATGTCCACACAGGTCCTTTTCCTGTCCTGAGCTTGATGGTAGGCGGCGCCGTTATACGAATAGTCCCAGATCCAGTGAGTAACAGCACGCTAGCAAACAGTACATTGATGGATGAGATAAATCAGAAGAGAGTCGTGGTGGCCGCATCGGTGACTATGCTTGCGGGCATCTTTCAGGTAAGTATTTCCAAGCAATATCTGTAACTCTTGTCTTCATCTGTTTATCCATCCCTGATGCTCCAATCCATCCAAGCATTAGATCATGCCACAAAATCACTCCATAGTGTCCTGTGAGAAGAAAGTAAGCACACTGTTGAAAAGGGCCAGCGACACAGGTCACTCTAATGCCCAGATGCTCCCTTTGCACCTTACACGAGTCAGTTCATGGGCCGTTGTTCCAATGGATGGAAAGCCCTATATGGTTATTGACCATAATACTTTAAGGACCACCTCTCCCCATATGAACCAGCCTGAACTCTGAGGTCTTCGTCAGAAGTTCTTCTTCACATGCCTCACCCAAGGGAGGTGCAGAGGGTGACCATATGAGAAACAGGTCTTTTCAATGGTGGCCTCTCCATTTGCGGAATGATATTCCCAAGTAGACTCGCCTGGCACCATCCTTGTCTGTCTTTAGGCACCAGGCTAAGAATTTTTTTGTTTTGTTTACCTGGGTCTTTGGTTAATTAGGTTGCCTCCAAAGGTAGTGCTTATCTTTTAGCGAGCAGGGGGACAGGACTTGTTCTTAGTAATATTTTACTGGGTGAGCGTTTTATGTCTTTTGTATTGCTTTGACACTTTTTCTGGTTTTAAGTTCCCAGCATGCAGTTGGACCAGGGATCAGGGAGGGAGCATTTCAGTGTGATTGTGAAGCCACCACAGGGTGTTCTCATGGCACCTAGCCCCACATGAGGGAGTGTGATGATGTAAGAAAATGTACATGAAGAGCACTTTTTAAAAAGCCCGGTTTATAGATACTAAGCAGTAATATCAGGAGACTAGCAAGATTGCTGTTTCTTTTCTCTTCTCCCCCTCCCCCCCAATTCTTAAGACCTTTATTAAGAGATGCTTGCCGTTTGACTTGAAAAAATCAGGTGTATATTTCATACAAATTATAAATGAGGTTCTTAAAAATCCAAACTCACCAGTTATGAAACAATTAAAAAATCTTTAAAGGTGTATTGAGAAAAAACAGGCCTTTAAAAAATATGTTTGTCGCTCCAAAAAGGAGACCACTTTAGGTAAAAATAATAAAAATCCCATAATGTTTCTTTTCTGTTCTGCTTCCATAAAAGCAGCATTTGTTTCTTTATGTCTCTTCCAGCTGCTGTTGGGTGTGCTGAGAGTCGGCTTCATTGTTATCTACTTATCCCAATCATTGATAAGCGGATTCACAACAGCTGCAGCCATCCATGTTGTTGTGTCCCAACTGAAATTCATCTTTCAGCTGACGGTTCCTGGATATAATATACCTTTGGGAATTATATGGGTGAGTGTTTTTGACCCGCACCCGATTATTCCTTGGGAGCGCCACCACTTTCTCTAGCTATTGTGAGGTATTTGAGAAGTAATCACAAGAAATTCTTTTAAATACCCTGGTGACTTTTTGCAGTTAAAAAACTTGTCTCCAGCCCTTGCAAGCTCCTTTTTGCTTAGCCTGTGGGTTAAACCACAGAGCCTAGGATTTGCCGATCAGAAGGTCGGCGGTTTGAATCCCCGCGACGGGGTGAGCTCCCGTTGCTCAGTCCCTGCTCCTGCCAACCTAGCAGTTAAAAAGCACACCAAGTGCAAGTAGATAGATAGGTACCGCTCCAGCGGGAAGGTAAACGGCGTTTCCGTGCGCTGCTCTGGTTCGCCAGAAGCGGCTTAGTCATGCTGGCCGCCTCCCTCGGCCAATAAAGCGAGATGAGTGCCACAACCCTAGAGTCGTCCGAGACTGGACCTAACGGTCAGGGTCCCCAGCCCAACGTTTGCAATATCAATTCATATATTATATAAGCAGCTCAGTGCAGTATTCTTTATTCCTCCTTCCACCGCCTATAAGTGATGGACTCTGAGGCATCCATTATCATTACAACCTTAATAGTGCTTAAAACAAGAGATACAATTGCTAAAGTAAATTACCGCAACCCTTTCCTGCATCATGGTTGTTGTTGTTGTTTTTGTGTGTGCAACAGACGCTGAAAGGTATATTCGAGCAGATTACAAAAACGAACATTGCAGACCTTGTCACTTCGCTGATCATCTTGGTCATCGTGTTTTTCGTGAAAGAATTGAATGAACGTTACAAAACCAAGCTCCCAGCACCTATCCCCATTGAACTCATTGTGGTAATTGTTAATCTCTCTCTGTTTTTGTTGTTTTTTTAAAAGGAGGGGGAACCAAGAGTTATTTATTTGTTTGTTTACACCAGGGGTCAGCAAACTTTTTCAGCCGGGGGCCGGTCCACTGTCCCTCAGACCTTGTGAGGGGCCAGACTATATTTTTTTTGGGGGGGGGAATCAAGAACGAATTCCTATGCTCCACAAATAACCCAGAGATGCATTTTAAATAAAAGGACACATTCTACTCATGTAAAAACATGTTGATTCCCGGACCATCTGTGGGCCAGATTTAGAAGGCGATTGGGCCAGATCCGGCCCCCGGGCCTTAGTTTGCCAACCCATGGTTTACACAGCTGGTCCTACATACTGATGCAAACCATTACACTTCTGTTCAGCTCGAGGAAAATAATATTGTTATATAAAAAGAAAGAAAGAAAAAGAGAGAAACCTATAATCCTCTTCGGTTGGTGTTTTCCTGGTGTATCAGGTTGTCTTTTATGAGGAATTACAGCTCATTTAAAATTGCATCACACTATAGTTAACAAGATGGGTGGCGCTGTGGTCTAAACCACAGAGCCTAGGGCTTGCCGATCGGAAGGTTGGCAGTTCAAATCCCCGTGATGGGGTGAGCTCCCATTGTTCGGTCCCAGCTCCAGCCCACCTAGCAGTTCGAAAGCACATCAAGTGCAAGTAGATAAATTGGTACCACTCTGGCAGGAAAGGCAAACGGCGTTTCTGTGCGCTGCTCTGGTTTCACCAGAAGTGGCTTAGTCATGCTGACCACATGACCCTGAAACTGTCTGCGGACAAACGCTGGCTCCCTCGGCCAGTAAAGCGAGATGAGCGCCACAACCCCAGAGTCTTCCATGACTGGACCTAACAGTCAGGGGTACCTTTACCTTTATAGTTAACAAGATAGGTTTAGCAAACTATGGGCACAGCAGAAGCCGTGTGCAAGGACTTCTGTTTGTGCAACAAAGCTTATCCCACTGTCCCCTCCAAACAACCCAAAATTGCCACAGGGGGCTTGGGATGCACAAAACAGATGGAATGTTTGTCATGGTGCGACACTGAATTCTGCCCTGTGTTACAATATTTTTGACAAGGTCACCGCAAAAACGATGCCAAACTGTTATTATTGTGATGGACTACAACAAGGTGCCAGCCCCCCTCCCCATGTCAATATATTTCAATATAGCCTGGGCTTGTTTGGCTATTTTAATGAACTCTTTATGTCTGGAGCCTCAGGTGTAATCAGCTAATATAAATGTAAGTAGCTAAGATAAATATGACAATATGGAGGCAAGTATTATGGCAAAGGTTTAGCAAATGGAAGATATGTCCACTCGCTAGCTGAGAAACACCTTGCTGAAATCTTATGCCGGCTACTTTGCTTCTTTCCAGACTGTCATCGCAACTGGGTTATCCTATGGTTTTGATTTCAAAGGGAAATTCCAGGTAGACACTATTGGAAAGCTTGAAAAGGGGTAAGTACACCCTATTCTTGAATGGGAATGGTAGTGCCACAAATTTAAGATAAAAAGCTTTCCATCCCAAGTGAAGTTTTGGGGAACGTATTTACCACACCTTGACCCAAATATAGAAGGACAGTTAAATGCTTTGTAAATGGGTCCTGAGCTATCGGTCATCCATGAGTTTAATGAGAGGTATTAATATGACCAGTCACCTTCGGAACAAAAAAATTCACCATCTCCGATGGTATTCTTCAGAAGGAGGTCTCTGGAGGCTTTCTAGTCTTGGGATTTATTTTCAAAGAAACAGACTGAGACAGCCAAAGCCTACTTGTTCCCACACAGGATCTCCAGAGGGTGACAACCAGCCCCACCCCCAATGCATTACAGTGGTACCTTGGTTCGCAAACTTAATCCGTTCCGGAAATCTGTTCCAAAACCAAAGCGTTCCAAAACCAAGGCACGCTTTCCCATAGAAAGTAATGCAAAACGGATTAATCCATTCCAGACTTTTAAAAACAACCCCTAAAACAGCCATTTAACATGAATTTTACTATCTAACGAGACCATTGATCCATTAAATGAAAGCAATAAACAATGTACTGCAGTCATACAATCAATCAATCAATCAATCAGTAGCGGAACTGGGTTCCACACAGTCACAAAAACGAAACAAAAAAGCCTGCAAAAACAAAAACGCAAATAAATAGCAAAAACAGACAGACCTCAGTGTAACACTCAAAATGGAAGTGTGGCACTCAAAACGGAGCACGTTCGGCTTCTGAAAAAAGTTCGCAAACTGGAACACTTACTTCCGGGTTTGCAGTGTTTGGGTTCCAAGTTGTTTGAGTACCAAGGCATTTGAGAAGCAAGGTACCACTGTATACTGTTATCTCACAGGGCCCGATGCTCTGCTTTCCTCTTCTCTGTTGCTCCCTGGGTCCATCTTGTTTTCTGACCCAAACGACTGTTTCTATTATTTCTTTTCACACGGAGACTGAAGTATATCCACCTTAGCTGGGGGTGGAAGGAAAGAGACAAAGGGAAGTGTCGTTTCAGGACCGTCCAGTTATTTCTTGAAAAGGCAATAACAAAAGCCAGCCTTGGGGTGGAGGAGAAGAGAGAGCCATTATTATCATAGCGTAGACCGTATCTGCCGCTGTTGTTTCCAATCCTGGTGGTGCTGGTTCATGGTGGGGGTGGCTGTGGAAGCTCAGGCTCATTGACCTGCATTAAAAAGGTAAAGGGGCCCCTGACCATCAGTTCCAGTCGTGACCGACTCTGGGGTTGCGGCGCTCATCTCACTTTATTGGCCAAGGGAGCCAGCGTACAGCTTCCGGGTCATGTGGCCAGAATGACTAAGCCGCTTCTGGCGAACCAGAGCAGCACACGGAAACGCCGTTTACCTTCCTGCCGGAGCGGTACCTATTTATCTGCTTGCACTTTGACATGCTTTCGAACTGCTAGGTTGGCAGGAGCAGGGACCGAGCAACAGGAGCTCACCCCGTCACGGGGATTCGAACCGCTGACCTTCTGATCAGCAAGTCCTAGGCTCTGTGGTTTAACCCACAGCGCCACCCGTGTCCCAGCTTGACCTGCATTAAGAGACAGCAAAAATGGAGTCAATTCACTCTGTCCTGTCCATATTAAAGTCAGTCACACTTGCGAACACTGTGGATTGTGCTGTGTGTGATACACGCACATGGAGGCAGCACAACACATCTTTCTTAACATGCTACAAAGGCTATTTATGCCCTGCTTTTTTAAACCCCACCTCTGACCTTTGCTTTCAGGTTTCAGGCTCCTTTTTCACCAGATGTAGGTATCTTTGAAAGCTGTGTGGGTGACGGTTTCGCTATTGCGATCGTTGGCTTTGCTGTGGCCTTTTCCGTGGCGAAGGTGTATTCCATAAAGCACGATTACCCCATCGATGCTAACCAGGTAAGTGATCGCTGCAGATGCCAGTTCTACATTTAAAGAACCTAGGATCTTGAGAGGAATGTGAATACTTTTGAAGAAAATAAATAAATTGCCAGAGAAAAAAGGCTTACGAAATGCCTTGTCTGGTCATAATATATAAATATCATTTTGGTGTTTTTGAAGGAATTAATCGCCTTTGGAATAGGCAATCTCTTTGGCGGTGCGTTCAAAGGTTTTGCTGCAAGCACTTCGCTGTCCAGGTCGGGTGTGCAAGAAAGCACAGGAGGCAAAACACAAGTAGGTATTGGATAAGACAAGATCTTGCACTAACTGAATTTGAGAAAGCAGTATTCTAGGATGCAGACTGACAATGGGCTTTTCTCATGCAGATTGCTGGACTCCTCTCAGCTGTCATTGTCTTGATTGTCATCTTGGCCATAGGTCATCTTTTGGAACCATTGCAGAAGGTACGGACTTCTATGTGAATAACAGCCATTCAACAAATAATGCCATTCTTTCCAATGGGACGGAACAAAAACTGTAGCATCGCCAGTGGAACCTAACGCCATGCTTGCCAGATATTCCCCAGATCTACATAGAGTCATTTTCTGTGCAAGGAATTACCTGGCAGCAGGAAAGCAAGGCTCCAAAATGGCCCACATTTTTTCACTTCCTGAGCTAGAGAATAAAAACAACGCCCCACTTCCCAATAACAATGGTAATAGTAAAAATAACTGGCAATTTGCCATGTCTCAATGCCCCAGATTTGTTCTGCCTAACAGTATAGGTGTTTCTGTTGGGGTCTATATGGTTTACTTGACATCTACACCATACATTTAAATCAAATTTATATCGCTTTACTGGTCATGGCTCCCCACCCCCACCCCCCCGTCTGGAATCTTAGAGACTATAGTTTACTCCTTGCAGAGCTACAAATCCCAGCACCCCAAACAAACTGAAAATCCCAGAATTATTTGGGGGAATGAACTTTAAATCTCTGGTGTGGCTGGAACACCTAGTCTCATCACAGGGTTTTAGAGAGAATCAAGGTCCTTCTATAGAATAATTAAGTGTGTAAGAAGGCCTCTCATCTCCAATTAAAAAAAAAAAAAGTATTGCTGGGTTATTCTGACCATGCTTAATATTTTAGCACTTTCCTCATCGTGGGCAAGTGGGGGGGGGAAGGTATATTTGGTGCCACTATTTTTCCCCTCATGGTGAATATTTCATGTTGCAGTATATGCATTACACACAGCGAAGTTTGACACCATAGTGGTGGAAGGAAGCAAGGAGGAAACAGGGGAGAGAAGCAGCAACACTCTGGGAATCACAGCATTTTAGTACACACAGTACTATTCCCCCCCATCTGACCTTAAACATGGGTCTCAGCTATACAGCTGCAAATATAACGTTTTAAGTGCGTTTTAAGTGCATTACACCAATGTGACACTAGGTGGCGATGGTGAGCGTATGACAAATTCCAAATATTTTTCGAAAAAGATTATTTTTTTTTTTAAAAAAAGCAATTTCACAGCGTTTTTTAAAATATGTGTCTAGATTCCACCATGAAGTGTGTTTTGTTTTTTCATTGGCAGTCAGTCCTCGCAGCTTTGGCTCTGGGCAATTTAAAGGGAATGCTGATGCAGTTCAAGGAGATCAAGATTTTGTGGGGCAAGGACAGATACGACTGCGTAAGTATCCATAACAACAGAAACCTCGCTGTGAAAGACTCTTGAAATCCCTCCTTTAAAACTGATTGTGAAAGGTGGTCATTCAGAAAATTGTTGCCTTTTGAGTTTCGCCAGACAGAACAAGGAATTCTGACATGGGGGGGGAGAGGCATAAATGTTGTGAGGATCCTATGCCCTTTTAAAATGTGGGTTTTTGGGGTGGGGGTTTGGTTTTTGGGTTGTTGTTTTTATTTTGATTATGTATTTTGTGGTTTTATCTTTTGATTTTATTCTGTGACACGCCATTGAGACCTCCGGGTATAGGGCGGTGTAGTAATAATAATAATAATAATAATAATAATAATAATATAATTTGCACTCATTGGTCCCCTTGTAGCGAGCTTTGTTTTATATTTGTTAGGAGAAATGCTTCACAAATCCATAGCACCCACTTAATGCAATTGCACTTAGTCAATAGAACTGGAACGCATTCATGATATGTACCGTATTTTTCGCTCCATAAGACGCACCTGACCATAAGACGCACCTAGTTTTTAGAGGAGGAAAGGGGGAAAACCCCCTTTTTTGAGGATCAGCTCAAAGTTGTTGAACTTACTTTGCAAAGGGGGAAAATCCTGTTTTTATGGGGTTCAACTCACAGTTCTGCAACTTCTTTAGGAAAGGAAAGGGAGCTGTTTCTACAGTTTCCAGACAGATAATCTAATCAGTCAGTCACATGGCGCTGTGGAAACAAACAGCCCCCGTCTGCAGAACATTCAACAATGGAGGCCTGGGCAAGGAGGTGGAGCCAGAAAGGGAGCTAGCGATTGACCACACATTCGCTCCACAAGACGCACAGACATTTCCCCTTATTTTTTAGGAGAAAAGTGTGTCTTATAGAGTGAAAAATATGGCATTCCACAGTAAGAGCAATAGTTTTCAAAAGGCCTAACTATAAGAAGGCCAAGCTCAGCATGCATACAAAACCTGCGCTATCACAGAGGCAGCTCAACAATCCATACGCTCCAAAACCCAAGAAAAGCGTTTCGGTTGCATCAATGCCATACATCGGAAGTGTATTTAATGCAGATCTAAAGCACATGGCTTCCTCCAAAGAATCATGGGAGCTGCAGTTTCTTTAGGATGCTGTCACGCGGTGGAGGGGTAAACAACAGTTTCCAGAATGCCTTTGGGGGAAACCATGTGTTTTAAGGTGGTGCGGGTGGCTCTGTGGTTTAAACCACTGTGGCGCTTGGATTTGCCAATCGGAAGGTCGGCGGTTCGAATCCCCACGACAGGGTGAGCGCCCGTTGCTCGGTCCCAGCTCCTGCCAACCTAGCAGTTCGAAAGCATGACGTGCAAGTAGATAAATGTGTCCATGATACCTGATTGTTCAATATCTATCTATGTTTCTCAGCTTATCTGGATCGTGACCTTCCTTGCTGGCATCTTACTGGGTCTGGATCTCGGGTTGGCAGCTGGAGTAGGATTCGAACTCCTCACTGTTATATTCCGTGCACAATTGTGAGTCCATCTTCCTAACTTGTCAGATTCATGTAATAATTATTAATTTAAAAATAATAATTAAAAATGCAATCCATACAGTTAAATGGTTAAAAGAAAAAAAAGATTAACGGAAGACAGAAGACAGAGGCATAGCGTGGGGGGTGCCATGGCCCCAGGCGCAATTTTAAGACGGGGTGCCAACAAGCAGCCCCACAGCAGGCTCCTTCATCGGAGCCTGGCTCCGCGGCAGAAGGAACTGCGCCTTAGCTGTGGAGCTTGGGCCTGACACCGCTGCCCCCCCCATGTTTTTTATACAAGTTGGCACCCCTGCGTCACAGCAAACATTTTCATAGAGTAAAATGCTGCAGGATGTATTGAGTGTCTACCAAACTCCCATAATGCTGCAATCCTATGTACATTAACTTGAGAATATAAGTCCCATTGGACTTTCTGAGCGTTAGGATTGGTCAAACATAAACACGTATCAGTTTAATACCAGGATATCCTAGCTGACTCCCCTCCCCAGAAAAATCCAGAAATTTATAATTTGATGAGGCTATGGAGAACTTACTGCTAGAAAGAGAACGACATCCCCTTACAGAATTGCAGCTATCAGGGCTTCGTAGGGCAAGGAAATTACTTTGCTAAAGTCTCTCCTCCTCCCAGAAGGGAGGGGTTGTGATCTGGAGCCGTTCCCATGCTTCGCAGGGGGCGTTCCGGCCCCTGCTTGCCGTCATTGCTGCCGCGCCACGCTCCCCAGTCAGTCTTCCAATCGGAGGGAAGCTCGGGGGCGGGGTTTAGCCGCTCAAATGCGGCCGCGGCAGCTCTTTCCTCTCATTGCGCTGCCAGGTTTCAATGGGTCACCCACCCACCCTTCCCTTTAGTTCATCGCTTCATGCTTGACCTTGCTATGGACCTCTGGTTGGTCGCCTTGGTTGCCCAAGGGGGCTGGTAGGAGTTTTTACCCAATTGGCAAATTGGCACTGGCCACTTGGTTTGTCGCCTACCTCGTAGCAAATCGTCACAACTTTCTGGTATTGGCGGTTAGGCATTGGAATATGTTGTTGGTGTATGGAAGGGCAGAGTGTGGCCATCGCCTACCCCTTCACTTTACGGGGATTCCGTTAAAGGAATCCGGCGGTCGTGGATCCTGTCCGATGCCCTGCTGGTGGCTGGGGGCCATGGCACGACCCCCGGTGACATCAGGGGAGAGCTTACAGTTGTATTTGCATCAACAGGCTCCCCCTACTGGTGGTTAACCCTTGTTAGACTCACCCCTTCCTGAGGGGGTGGAGTCACGCTCTGTTGTTTTATCCAATGCCTATGCCAATACCTCTCACATGCTGTAATCAATAAAGTTGTGGCCTTTTCTAGCCCATTAACCTAATATACTGTGTCCTTGTGTCTTTCTTATCCCCAAGCTGGGGGCGGTGGGTCCTTGAATCACAAGTTGGTTTAAACTTAACAATACCGTTCTATACATGGGGAACCAATGGCCCTACAGTTGTTGGACTACAAGTCCCATCAAAGGCGTTCATCTTTATTGAAATGGAAGTCTGATGAATACCCCTTACGGTGTGTTAGTCAACTCATTTGATTTTTCTATTTGTTTTTCAGTCCAAAATGCACAGTTTTGGCTAATGTTGGAAGAAGCGACATCTACAGAAACAGGAAGGATTATACAGATGTAAGAACCTGATTCTTGGTTGCAGTAGCTGGTGTCTGCCTGTTGATTGTGAAACGATGTGCTAAACTAATATGCGTATTTTTGACCTAGATATATGAGCCAGAGGGAGTGAAAATTTTCAGATGCCCATCCCCAATCTTCTTTGCTAATATTGAATTCTTCAAGGACAAATTGATTGCAGCGGTAAGCATATTGTTATAGATTTGGGGAGGAGACCCCCTGAAACACTAGAAATTAATAAATGGTAGGATTTTGATTACAGTGGTACCTTGGTTCTTGAACAGCTTGGCTTCCGAATGCCACAAACCCAGAAGTAAGTGTTCTGGTTTTCAAACGTTTTTTGGAAGCTGAATGTCCAACGCGGCTTCCACTTGAGTAAAGGAACATCCTGCAGCCAATTGGAAGTCACACCTTGGTTTTTGAATGGTTTGGGGAGTTGAACAGACTCCCAGAACAGATTAATTTCGAGAACCAAGGTACCCACTGTATTTGGAATGTGAAGGGAGAAATACAAGCTGCAGAGGAATTCCTGGAATAACCTATGCAAGACGACCTGGCCATGCTGGGGCCATTACGAAACAAGACAGGGCCATTGAGGACCATTGGCAATGCAAGAGAACTCTTTCCCCCTTGCTCTGAGGTGTGAACAGAGACTGGGAATTTGGAAGGTTGCCAGAGTAACTGGGTGAATAAGTCATATTTCTTAAATCTACAATAGTCTCCGCTGTGTTTCAATTCTCCAAATGAACACAGACCCTGGGTGAGTGCCTAGAACCCCTAGGAATCTGGGAGAGAGTGGGTGATAATTCCTTAACAGAAATTATTTTTCATGTAATATTGGATATTGGACAGTGAACCAAAGGCTAGATCTACGCAGCTATTAAAAAACGCTATGCAAAAAACGGTTGGTAAGCTCACAACCGAAAAAAGCATTGAGTTGCGATTTCAGCTGTACGGTTCCGTCTGGTGTCACAGTGTTATAACGCATTTATAACGCTGTATTTTGACTAGTGTAGCTGAATGCAAGGTGCATGTAACACTCAGAACTTACAAGAGCGGTGAATTTAACAAGCTAAACCAAACCAAACCAAACCAAATCAAATGTTTCAGGTTGGGTTTAAGCCACTGAGGGTGCTACGCAAGCGCAACAAAGCCCTGAGGAAAATCAGAAGGATGCTGAAGAAAGGAGAGCTTCAAGTCACACCTGTAAGTATTGTGCATTCATTCAATGGTGCAGACCTCTCACTGAATTTACAAGTGTCTCATCCCAGTCAACAAACCTTGCAGGAGTCTGAAGATCATTTTTTAAAGTCACTGGGGCTAGTGGGGGCTCCCAAATGTTGTTGTTGTTGTTGTTGTTGTTGTTGTTGTTGTTTAGTCGTTTAGTCGTGTCCGACTCTTCGTGACCCCATGGACCAGAGCACGCCAGGCACTCCTGTCTTCCACTGCCTCCCGCAGTTTGGTCAAACTCATGTTTGTAGCTTCGAGAACGCTATCCAACCATCTCATCCTCTGTCATCCCCTTCTCCTTGTGCCCTCCATCTTTCCCAACATCAGGGTCTTTTCCAGAGAGTCTTCTCTTCTCATGAGGTGGCCAAAGTACTGGAGCCTCAGCTTCAGAATCTGTCCTTCCAGTGAGCACTCAGGGCTGATTTCCTTCAGAATGGATAGGTTTGATCTTCTTGCAGCCCATGGGACTCTCAAGAGTCTCCTCCAGCACCATAATTCAAAAGCATCAATTCTTTGGCGATCAGCCTTCTTTATGGTCCAGTTCTCACTTCCATACATCACTACTGGGAAAACAAATATTACATATACTCCCAATATTACATATACTTATGTATATGTAATATTGGGAGCATATGTAATATGTAGGCATTAGCAGTACACTCAGGTGTAAGACACATGCCAGGCTGCCATCAAGTGACACAATGTTCAGCAATGCCATTTTACCATAAGAGACGGAAAGCGGCAGTTTTTAGAGCATTCCCTGAGATCATAAAAAGCTGGCAGTTGAAGAAAGTGCCTGTATAAACCTGTACAAACTGACATATTTTTGAATTAAAACTAAGATTTCTTTTAAAAAACAAACAAACCCTAAGATCTCTTGGATTGGGGTGTGCAACATTTTTTTCTGTCCAGGATCGCGTTCCTTCATGAATAATCTATTTGGGGTTGCTCTAGGTCATGGCTAGGCAAACTAAGGTCCGGGGGCCGGATCCGGCCCAATCACCTTCTAAATCTGGCCCGCAGATGGTCTGGGAACCAGCGTGTTTTTACATGAGTAGAATGTGTCCTTTTATTTAAAATGCATCTCTGGGTTATTTGTGGGGCATAGAAATTCGTTCACTATTATTTTTTCCCCAAAATATAGTCTGGCCCCCCACAAGGTCTGAGGGACAGTGGACTGGCCCCCTACTGAAAAGGTTTGCTGACCCCTGCTCTAGGTTAACTAATCTGGAACGTAGACCAATCGCCTACTACTCTGAAAAAGTATGCCACTTTGTTCTCAGCTGGTGGGAAAATGTACTTTTACTAAGTCATATGACCAGGAAAAAATGTTTTGTTTATACAATGGTACCTCGGGTTAAGTACTTAATTCGTTCCAGAGGTCTGTTCTTAACCTGAAACTGTTCTTAACCTGAAGCACCACTTTAGCTAATGGGGCCTCCTGCTGTCGCCGCTGGAGCACGATTTCTGTTCTTACCCTGAAGCAAAGTTCTTAACCTGAAGCACTATTTCTGGGTTAGCAAAGTGTGTAACCTGACGCGTATGTAACCTGAAGCGTATGTAACCCGAGGTACCACTGTATATATATATATTCAAATAAAATACTGCCAGCTGTTCTGAAACTATGTAGGAAGTTGGTGGAGGGACATTTAAAAAAACCAGGGAAAACAAGGAGGAAATGAATGAACAGGAAAGAAGGAACTCTTAAGTGACTGAAGAATAGACCAGCTTTAGGGGGCATTGGGAGTGGCATAAAATGAAGTTTGGGGCTTAGAGCCTAGGAATCACAAAAAATAGTGCCAGAAGTAGCCCTATGCTTTCTCTTTCTCACTTACGTTCTTCTAAGATTTACAAACCGTTACTGTCTTAAAGAATTTCCCTCTCATTCCTGTTTCCCCCTTCCCAGCAACTTATAGGTAAACAGGTTACCTGTAGAACTGGCAGTCAAGTGTACTAAGTTATCTTTTCGTTAATAATTGGAATTCTGATCATTTTCTTCCTTTGATACAGAAAGGCTTGATTTGCACTGTTAACGGCATAAGCGACTCTGACGAAGAGCTGGACAACAACAGAATTGAAGAACTGGACCAGCCCACATATACCAAAGACTTGCCAATTCAGATAGACTGGAACTCAGACCTTCCTCCCAACATCATGGTTCCGAAAATCGACACACACAGCGTCATCCTTGATTTCTCGGCTGTGTCGTTTCTTGATGTTTCTGCTTTGAGAGTCCTTGGACAGGTAATGGTCCTCCGTACATCTTCCAGCCAACAAGTGTAAAGCTAATTATTCCTTCATTTTATTACATTTGTGTCTCACATTCAGTCTAAGAACCCCAAAGCGCAGTGTACATTGCTTTTTTCTGTACTCCTTTTTGTAATGCGCACTACAAACCTGTGAGATAAGTTAGACTGATAAATGGTGAACAACTGAATTTAGTCCAAATAACAATTTCAACCTCAGCTTCCCAATCCTAGTCTGATGTTATACCACGCTGGAACAAAATACATGTTTATTCTGCACAGCTCATTCAATGGACAAAAACCTGTAACCCTAAAGAGCCACAGAACAGGCATGTTTTAGAAATCCATCAATTGTTTGCATTCTTCGGGACATGTCAGATCTCACCATGCGGCAAGAGGGAGTGAAAAACCAGGCATATGAAAGTGACGGGCAAAAGTTGACTTTACTGTGTCAAACACAAATGTGAAAATCCAACTTAAAATTACTACAGTCGTACCTTGGAAGTCGAACAGAATCCTTTCAGGAAGTCCATTCGACTTCCAAAATGTTCGAAAACCAAAGCGCAGCTTCTTATTGGCTGCAGGAAGCTCCTGCAGCCAATCTGAAGCCACGGAAGCCCCATCAGACATTCAACTTCCGAAAGAACATTCGAAAACCGGAACACTCACTTCTGGGTTTCGATAGTTCGGGAGCCGATTTGTTCGGGAGCCAAGGCGTTTGAGATCCAAGGTACGACTGTATACTGTACCAATAAGACACAGCATGGATATATTACTTTGGTGTGTTCAAACCACATTGCGCATGTTACTTCATTAATCCTGTATGGAAAGCCAGAATTACCATCCAAATATTGCAGACAGGAATGGGAGAGTGGGGAGGAACTCTGAAGTTTGGAAGTGGTGACTTGCTTACGGTCACCTAGTAAGCTTGTGACAGAAGCAAGCTTTTAACAGTTAATCCTGCCGTCAACCTATCTGTAAATTTCTCATTTAACAGACTTTGAAAGAATTTGTCCGGATTGATGTGGATGTATATATTGTGGGAGCACACGGTAAGTTGAACCCATTCTATTTTTTATTATTTAAAGAACAGCAGTGGCATGTTCAAAGTTTGTGTCTTAAGTCTGCCCCTAAAATGCTAAAAGTACTTACTTACACATGATTCCCAGAAATTTCAGTGGCGCTTTTTCTTCAGTTGTACGAGTGATGAACACAGTGTAGCCTGGCACCCCAATCTTAAATATAGTTACCCAGAAATAGATCTCAGCTACTTACAGTACACAGTTAGAACAATTTCCTCAGAGGCTATCTGAGGACGAGGCTATTTGGGACGCGGGTGGCACTGTGGTCTAAACCACAGAGCCTAGGACTTGCCGATCAGAAGGTCAGCGGTTTGAATCCCCGCAGTGGGGTGAGCTCCCATTGCTCAGTCCCAGCTCCTGCCAACCTAGCAGTTTGAAAACACGTCAAAGTAAAAGTAGATAAATAGGTACCACTCCAGCGGGAAGGTAAACGGCGTTTCCGTGCACTGCTCTGGTTTTGCCAGAAGTGGCTTAGTCATGCTGGCCACATGACCCGGAAAAACTGTCTGCGGACAAACGTCGGCTCCCTTGGCCAGTAAAGCGAGATGAGCGCAGCAACCCCAGAGTCGTTTGCGACTGGACCTAACTGTCAGGCGTCCTTTACCTTTTTTAATCTATATTTTAAGCTTTAGGGTCACATGGCGTACTCTTGCTTTGTACCAAATGGCATCAACGTTAAACCAAGGTCCTGTGGAGTTTGGGGTGATGTTGCCTGATGTAGAAAGGCAGACCACAGCTAACAATCAGCAATTAAAAGTGAATCTTCTAGTCGCTCATAGGAGTAAGCCTGACCTTTTGCAATGATGAGAGATACCCGCTGATCTGCTCTGGCCTGTTAGTGTAAAGAGATTTCCTTGCTGTGGAGGCTTATCTACCTAGAGCTTCTTAGGCAGAGCAAGATGGGTGCATCCCTGCCTATCATCTCTCCGGTTGCCAGTTCCAAAATCTACTGCCAGCTTGACTCCTGACAATCAGTGTCAGGTGGTGGGTTTGCCCCTCTGTTTGTTTCAAAGCGAAACATTTATGAAAGTGACGAGTTGGGAAGCCCACGACCAAGTTCCTGAATCTGAAATAAAATATTGAAAGACCTACATTGGCTCCCAGTACATTTCCGAGCACAATTCAAAGTGTTGGTGCTGACCTTTAAAGCCCTAAACAACCTCGTTCCAGTATATCTGAAGGAGCGTCTCCACCCCCATCATTCTGCCCGGATGCTGAGGTCCAGCGCCGAGGGCCTTCCGGTGGTTCCCTCGCTGCAAGAAGCCAAGTTACAGGGAACCAGGCAGAGGGCCTTCTCGGTAGTGGCGCCCTCCCTGTGGAACGCCCTCCCATCAGATGTCAAAGAGAAAAATAACTACCAAACTTTTAGAAGACATCTAAAGGCAGCCCTGTTTAGGGAAGCTTTTAATGTTTAATAGGTTATTGTACTTTAGTGTTTTGTTGGAAGCTGCCCAGAGTGGCTGGAGAGACCCAGCCAGATGGGCGGGGTATAAATAAATAAATTATTATTATTATTATTATTATTATTATTATTATTACTACTACTACTACTACTACTAAAATAAATTTGAGTGTTGTGCTTGAGACTTTTTACTAACCTTTTTTCCTGGCTTGGAAACCTGTTTTCTTTCCCCCTCTAGATGGCGTTCTGGATAAACTGGAAAGATGTGGATTTTTTGATGATGAAATTAAACCATCCATGTTTTTCCTCACCATCCATGATGCAGTTTTATACATATTGCTAAAAAAGGACCTGGAGCTCAGCGCACCAAAGTACAAACCCAATATGGTAAGAAAAAGGCTGCAGTAACTGCTCTTCACTTGGGCAAACGTCTTACCTTTTGTTCATATTAGAAACCACAGCTGTACATTTGCATATAGGTAGGTTTCTAAGGCCATCCCTCCATCCATAGTAACTTGGCCTGGAGACAGATTTGGTTGAAATAAAAGTAATTCCTGTTGTGAGCAGAATCTCAAACTGAATTACTGAGGTCAGTTTGGCAAAACTACGAACAAACTGATACTTTAAATGCTGTGTTGGCTAGGGCTGGTAGGGTGAAAAACAGGGAGTCTAACAGTAGGTGGCGCTGTTGTTGTTGTTGTTTAGTCGTGTCGGACTCTTCGTGACCCCATGGACTAGAGCACGCCAGGCACTCCTGTCTTCCACTGCCTCCCACAGTTTGGTCAGACTCATGTTTGTAGCTTCGAGAATTGGCGCTGTAGGCAAAGCCAATTCATTCTACATTTTGCCCCCATGTTCCTCCCTGCCGAGTTTTACAAGGGACAGCACAGAGACGGACTGGACTGGATATAAAAGCGGCAGGAAGGGACGGCCTGAGTGCAGACTAAAGGTGGTGGGCAGTGGCGGACTTGGGCTTTAAAATTTCAGTGACGCCCTGTGCCACACCAAAACTTCGTGCCCCCTCCACCTCCCATTGTTTGTCATTGTTGAGGTGCCCTCTGTGGCACCCTCATGGCTTGGCAGGTGAACCGGTTGCGCTCCCTTAAACCCGCCTCTGTGGTGTGGCAGCAGCCCACTTGCTCTAATGGACCAGCGCCCACTACTAAGGCTGGGCGATATCTGGTTTTCAACACCGCGATATATATCACCAGATAAACATTGCGATATGCCGATATATCGCAATGTCTGGAATAAGGGTGGAGCTACGCAGAGCAAGATGGCTTCCTGGTTTTCCCCACATTGTGATTTTTGCATAGCCCACAAACGTCATGATTCGCGATATATTGCCAGGTCAAAAATCAAGAAACTGCTATCACAATACGGACTTCAAACCGGTTTTGGATGATATACTGATATCTCACTCAACCCTACCAGCTACTTCTTTAAAAACCCATATCCTTACTAACTCTTAACCCGTCTATTCCGTCACAGGAAAAAGAAGACAAGGATCATTATGTAATCAATACAAATGGACTACGCAGTCGGGAGCTCATGGTAAGGGACACTTCCCTACCCAATTTTTTTAAATCATCAGTAAAGATAGAAGCATGGGGGGGCCTATTGCCCTGAAACCGATCTGCTAAAAGAAACAAGTGCAGTCCCTTTTGCAGGAAGGTAGAACTGAGGCCCCAATAGGCATGGTCAGTTTAAGTATGCAATGCAAGTAGATAAATAGGTACCGCTCCGGCAGGAAGGTAAACGGCGTTTCCGTGCGCTGCTCTGGTTCGCCAGAAGCGGCTTAGTCATGCTGGCCACATGACCCGGAAGCTGTACGCCGGCTCCCTCGGCCAATAAAGCGAGATGAGCGCCGCAACCCCAGAGTCGTCCACAACTGGACCTAATGGTCAGGGGTCCCTTTACCTTTACCTTATGCCTTCCATTTGACTGGCTCCATCAATATTGCTATACCTTATGGCAGCGACAAATTAAGCAGTGGCTGCGTATCTAGTCAACAGAAGACACAACTGCATAGTGACGGTCAACTCCTAACATAACTTGAAATTTTGGGACAGTGCTGGGGGAAGGCGTTTTTTTACTTTATTTTTGATATTAATATTTATTCGTCTTTTTCTCCCAAAAGGCGAACTCAAAAGCAACTTGCAAAAGCTGAGCCATTTTTAATTTGCTTCTTTCCACCCCACAGGCACCATCAGAAACAAAATTCTAATTGTCATACTCACTGATGAGCAGGAAACCCAAATGCTGGGAGTATAAAACCGCTGGAAAACCATCTATGCACTGTCAGTGTTGGGGGAACCAGTTCAATCTTGGAGAAAACCGCTTTATACCATGGGTGTATATGCCAATATTAATTCTGATTTGACTCTTCCCACCCTTGTGCTAATGTAACCAGAACTGTACCACTGAGACACAAGAGAGAAGTACCGGCTGACAAAGGACACACAGGTACAAAAAGTCTGAAGCTCCTTGATGGCTAAGGGGCACAGAAAGTTGAGAGGGGGGAATTGACAACTTAGTCAGTCAGGTGGCTGGAACAGGAAGACAGAAAAATGTGGAGTAGAATCACCTCATTGTCTGCAAGTGCTATTTTTCTAGAAAAATGAGGTGCCGGAAATCACCATGAACACCTCTTCTTCTCTTATACAGTGGATGCTCAGGTTGCGAACGTGATCCGTGAGGGAAGCACGTTCGTAACCCGCAGCAGCGTGTCTGTGCATGTGCGGGTCGCGATTCAGCGCTTCTGCGCATGCGCCGAAACCCGGAGGTAACCTGTTCTGGTACTTCCGGGTTCGGAGCAGTGTGCAACCCGAAATCACACAACCTGAAGCTTCTGTAAGCTGTAATGGCAATGGCGCCCATCTGAGAGATGCTGGATCTGAGAGTTCCGGCGAGTTCCGGCTGAAAAACTAGGTGACTTCCTAGTTCACACTGGTAATATGTTTCTCAGTGTCCCAGTGGCCAGAAGAGAAAATTACGCATATAAATCAATGGAGAAACATTTAAAAATCAACGTAGCTAGGACTGAGCAGTGGGTGGGGTGGTTCACCCAACCCACCCCACAACAAAACCCCACCCCATGCAGGGGAAAGGGGGGGAGGATACTTGAAACAGGGGAACTAAGCATACCCATAGCTGTCAACTTTTCCCTTGTCTTGCAATGAATCCTATTCGGAATAAGGGAATTTCCCTTTAAAAAAGGGAAACATTGACAGCTATGAGCATACCCTGTGGGCATGGATGGGGGAGGGGGTTGCAATAACCAAGGGGGGGTGTTTGTGTGAATGGAGTCATGTAGCTGGAACCCTGAACAGAAGCACTCCTCATTGCAACATTTTGTATATGTATACTATAAAAAAAATGCCGCACTTGTAAATGTATAAAACGAAAAAGTGGAAGTTTGATATTATAAAATACCTAATTGTCAATCTGCCATCTCAAAAGTTCAATGTAAATTCAGCACCAGCTCATAGAACATGTATATCTGTAAATAATTCAAAGATAAATTGTACAGTCACGAGTGTAAAATTGTTTGTATGACAGTTCAAAATATTTTCCATTTTATACTGTCTTATGTTTTATCTTGTATATGTGACCTACATAAAGTTTTTTTTTAAAAGGCTTTCAGGACTCTTAATTTTTTATCTATTGCTTTTTCAACTATGTTTAAAATAGTGTGTATTTTTACGCTAGCGTAGATTCAAGAGCATTTTACAGAGAATGCCATTCCTGTTTTGAATAGTTAACTTTTCAAAACTTCTGCAGTCTAATATACAGCATCGGATACAAATCCAGTTGCTTAAGTTTCCAAATGGGGAAAACAAACAATTGACACACCTCAGTTGTATAATAACACACCTGACCTTTATTGTTAGTTAACGAGTATTCCCAAATCCTAACTCCCCACTGACAAGGACTGTTGTTTTGATGCAAGTCTTAAAAGAAACTGTGAAAATCATGGGTTCCTACTAAACTTTTAATATGCAATAGGAGCCAAACCAGAAGCACAGTCCTATGAAAAGATTTACCAAAAAAGCCCAGTGTGTAACAAAGTACCGTATTTTTCCGTGTATAAGACTACACCCCCCCAAAAAATATAATGTCAAAAATTAAGGGGCGTCTTATACATGGGGCCATCTCCCCCCATTTTCTTAAAACTGAGTCCCCAAAAATAGGGGGCGTCTTATAGATAGAAAAATACGGCATATTGGATTGTATGCGTTTAATGCCCTTATTCCACTGCAATAGCTATTATTCCACGCTGCCTAAAAAATAGCTTCAAAACAGGCAGTAAATATGATGACAGCTTAATGTTGCTATCCCTGTCACATTTTTCTTCCAGGGGTGAGAAATTCTAAGAATGTGGAACTTAAGCAAGTGTCATTTCTTTTGTTAGATCACTGGGGTCTTATTGGGCTTTGGAACGGTTGGGCATAGGTGGAGGCAGAGAGTAGCTCTCTTACTAACAGCCAAACCCACATAAAACCTTAAAGAACGTAAGAGGTTTTTGGATTGGACCAATCTTGCCCGGCATCTGCTTTCATGGTAGCCTACCAGATGCCTGGGACGCGGGTGGCGCTGTGGGTTAAACTACAGAGTTTAGGACTTGCCTATCAGAAGGTCGCGGTTCGAATCCCTGCGACGGGGTGAGCTCCTGTTGCTCGGTCCCTGCTCCTGCCCACCTAGCAGTTCGAAAGCACGTCAAAGTGCAAGTAGATAAATAGGTACCGCTCCGGTGGGAAGGTAAACGGCATTTCCACGCACTGCTTTGGTTCGCCAGAAGCGGCTTAGTCATGCTGGCCACATGACCCGGAAGCTGTACGCCGGCTCCCTCGGCCAATAAAGTGAGATGAGCGCCGCAACCCCAGAGTCGGCCGCGACTGGACCTAATGGTCAGGGGTCCCTTTATCCTTTACCTTACCAGATGCCTAAGCAAAGGCCAAATGCAGTCCCTGAGCACAACAGCACTCTCCCAGCTTGTGATTCGCAGCAACACACATTCGGAGGCATACTGTTTCTGACAGTAGACATACACATGGATAGTATCCTCAGAAAGAGTCCCCTGCAAAAGGCACTTTCCAGAGCTTGCGGAGTCCCAAACTCAGCTCTCTCTGCATCTTTCTATCCTCAGAAACTTCATCGAAACACATCAGCACAAAGGTTTAAAAAAGAATCTGAAAGTGAGTAAGGATTTAAATGGAAAGAGAATAAGGGTTTAAACATCATACCCATTTGCAAGCATTCCCCTCTGCCCCACATTATTGTAATTGAGGGAAGGGCAAAACCGTCAAACACATGCAAGCCAAAAGCAGATGTGCATTTTCGTAATCTGAGCACCACTGAATTTGCTAGTTTTATCTGTTATTATTCGGATGAGAGTACTGTATTTTTCCGTGTATAAGACACCCCCCATGTATAAGACGACCCCTATTTTTTTTTAACCCAAAATTAAGAAATTAAGTTGTTTAGCTTTTTGGGGGTTGGGGGAGGTCACTTCTGCCAATCACTCACCCGCCCGCCCCTGCCGATTGCACACCTCGCCACAGCTACCAATTGTCTGCCCGCTAGCTGCCACCAACAGCCCACCTGCCCAATTGTCACAGCCAATCACAGCCACCAATAGCCTGCCCAATTGCCACAGCCAATCACCAGCAGGCTTTGCCGCAGCCACCAATCACTCGCCCAATCACCACTGCCAATCTCCTGCTTGCTGCTGCCATTAATCACACATCCCCGCTCTGTATTCCCTATCCGTGTATAAGACGACACCCAATTTTTGCCTTTTTTTATAGCAAAAAGCATGGTCTTAGTCACAGAAAAATATGGTATGTATCTCCTTTCAGGGTCACAATTCATTCCACACACCATAAACAATAAATGATCTTGTGGCATTTTAAAAAACTCATACACCTATTATACCACATGCATTTATGAACTAGAGTCTAGCCAGAAACAGCTTGTGCCATAATAAAAACACCAGTCTTTTCAAGTGTCACAGCAATCTTGCTGCTGCTACAGCCAACAAACATGGCTATGGAAACTTGTGACAATATTATGGTGCACCCAACTACCTCTGAATCACGATGGATGATTAGAAAAGTGACAGATGCAGTTATGAAAGTTACCCAAAAATTATAGCTTTACAGAGGTTATTATCATTAAAAGAGAACAACCACCTGAAATTACGAATGGAAAAAGCAGAACACAGTATTAAATATTTACAGCTACCGTAAAAAACCTACACCACAAAACTGGAACAGGCAAGTGTCATTATCTACACGCCAACATGAATTTCAGATCCCCATCCAGTTGAGTAATGCAAACCACTGGAGTACATGGTATATGGCAGGCATAGGCAAACTCGGCCCTCCAGATGTTTTAGGACTACAATTCCCATCATCCCTAGCTAACAGGACCAGTGGTCAGGAATGATGGGAATTGTAGTCTCAAAACATCTGGACGGCTGAGGTTGCCTATGCCTGGTATATGGCAACTGAGCCCACACGCTATTAAGAGGTCAGTGGAAACATAAATAGAACCGCTTAACTGCAGTTACGAAATCAAAAGCAGGCTCTCTCCTCTTTTTCCACCACAAATCCCACCCATTCATAAAAAGTTGGGTGATGAATTGGCACCAACTGCAGTGAACAGCCAACAAGGCTCTCTTCTGACAAGTTTGTTGTACAGCTTCAAACGCAGCTAAAATCCCGATTACTCTTGAATCACAGGCGCTAGTACCCAACGGAGGCTGGTCCATGAGTGTGAATGGGGTGGTGTCTCCTCTCCATCAGCCTGGCCTCAGCTACTCACTTTCTTACTTAGAATCAGTCCAAGGGGTGACACCAGCCGTCCGCTTCCTCTTGCTTAGGCCCTTGTAGAATTCAGCAGCGAGGAGCATGGCCTCTGCCTGCCATTGCCTCTGGCTCCACTGACTGCTGGTTTCCTTGCCTTCAGTCCCAAAAGACACCACTGCTGGTGCCTAAGTAACAACTAAGCGTTGTGAAGACGGTCAGGGGAATTTCGTAATAGATGGGATGGGAGATCTCCTGATTTATAACACCGGTAGACAGATTGCCTGTTTTCTCTGTACATGCCCCAAGTAAATGTGTGAAGTGCGAAAGATCTCCAGTCTACCAGAATTCTTTGTATCATTAGCCGAAAGTCCTTTACAGTGCAATCCTGTACTTCTATTCAGAAGTCTAAGGTGTATTCCCAGCTATGTACAGGATTGCAGCCATGCAGTACAATCCTAGGCATGTTTACACAGAAGTAGCATTCCCGTTTATTTTTTTAGAAAACGCACTCCCTCCCTAAAAAATGCATATAGCATCACAGCCTTACAGTGTGGTGTTCCTCACCTCAGCAGAACTGCCTTCCAGTTGCTAAGCACTGTTATTTATCCGCATAAACCTGCTTCCACGTTGCGTATTACATGGTGCTAAACGTATTTACCACCACATCAAATATAGCCAATCGCAGTTAACAGTTGCCTCTATAATGCACACAGTGGAAAACACTAGTTTTCTGAACGTGCAATTTACATTTCGGGCAGTATATGAAATATTCTGCATGTTAAAAGTTTAACATAGGAAGTGGCCCTTAGTTTATAAACCTTTCAACGATGTCCATAAGGAATATTCTCCATAAAGCAAAACCAATTTTTGATTTCTTTAACATGTAACAAGTGAATTTGTGATTCCAACACTAACATGACTTAAAAATGAATTACCCATAAATGGCATTGGAACTATGAGTTTCAAATAAACAGAAAACCTTAGGCTGTAAAGTCATTGCTGTAAGGTCAATGTTATCGCCTGAAAACTGAAGCACTAAAATTGATAAAGGGATGTTTTGGAATATTTAACAAGTCTGAGGTTTTAAAGTGAAAAATTTTAAGACCTTCATGAGACTCAAAATGTCTGTGCCTGCTTAGCAAAAGATATTAACGCAATGAAAGGTCTGTTTTAACTGTTATTTTTTCTCACACTTCGAAAAGACTACAAATTTCCTACGTGAAAATGCCATCATGCTTGCATGAAAAACAGTAACGCCAAATTCATTATTTCTTACTCCCCACTCCACCCCAACATTTAAAATTCATGCAAAAAAGCAAACTTTTTTGGACCATATTTTAAATTTAATTATACACAGGTTGACAAAAAAAAGGAAACGTATCACAAATAAAACTAACCATCAGATTTAACAAAAATACCTTCAAGTGGTACAGTAAGTGTTCGGTTGTTTGGGAAATATTACAAATGTTCATTTCTGGGGTACTTCAACCGGACTATGGGTACAACGTCTGTTAAAATGTCACTGTCAACTACAGAGCCATACAGCACTACAGTATATCAGTCGTCAAAGAGTCCTACGGTCAAGGTTTTAAAAATTTACCTTAAGAATTAAGTCCCCAGAGTTTTACAGTCACATTTTAAAACTTTTTTATTTCCTCAAATAAATGAAGCAGAACAGAAAAAAAAGAGCGCTCTCCATTAAAAGGCTGCTGTTTAGAAAGTTATCCTTCCTATGTCTTACTTCTTAGTTCAAATTACTATTAATATCATTGATAGTATGGCCTGTATCTGGCTTGATCAGGATGGTGTGGTCCGGAAAGCTGAGCTTGAGAAGGCGGGCCTTGCATTCGCGGCGGCGGCGGTGGCCCCCGTGGAGCCGGCCACATGCCTGGACTCATCCCCCCCGGCTGAGTGAACGGAGGGCTGAGAGTTCCTTGGTCTTCACTGAACTTTGGCAAAGCGTTCGGGTTGTAGTGATGGGGAGGGGGAGCGTTTACATTGACCGGCGGGCCTCCGTGCTGAGGAGGGGGCGGTCCCGGTGGTGGATGATTCATATATGGTGGCAGCTGGGCAATGATGTGTCCGGGGGGAGGGGTGATGGGTGGAGGAGCGGAGGTCATTGGCGGAGGCGGAGCTTGGCTATATACCAGGTGAGGAGTGCCTCCTGCCTGGGGAGGGTGTTGCATGGGGTGGCTGATGGGCGGCGGCGGGGGAGGGGGAGGGGCGTAATGCTGCTGGGGCGGCATGATATGGTGGGGGTGGGACACCACTTGCTGGCCCTGGTACTCGGGGTGGTGGTGAGCAGGTGTCGGGGCCGGTGGCGGCGGTTCTCGAGCGCCGGAATTCGAATCGTCTTGGATGGGGACCGTGATCAGATTGCTGTGTTTCCTGGTCGAGATGCGGAAGGTGTCCTGGCTGACCGAGCGAGGGGGCGGGGGAGCCATGGACATCTCCGCCGGGGAGGCCCGGATGTCTTCGTGAGGCTGGTTGTAATGCTCGTGAGGGACGTGCTGAAGCGGGGGCGGCATCAGGATGTGCTGCTTTGGTGGGATGTGGCTGAGGTGGTGCTTATCGGGAGGCAGAATGAAGCGCTCGGGGATTTCGGCAGGAGGAGGAGCGATCGGAGGGTGGACAGGTTCCAGCGGGGGCCGCGCGACTGGCTTGCCAGCTCTCATGTGGCGGTGGTTGATGTGAGCCTGCAAGTCCCTCTGGGATAAATAGGTTCTCTTGCAACCTTGCACAATGCTACACATGAAGAGAGACCCCCGGACACACTGCTCAATTCGCTGCACGGATTCGTTACAGCTATATCGGGGGGGGGGGGGGGAGGGAGAAACAAGAAAGCGGTTTGCAGGCATTACTACGAGTTGTACAAGTTCATAAACAAACAATCATGGGGGACGGGACGGACAAGATTAGCTGCTTCGTATTGTAATAGCTTATGTATACCTTGGGATAATATTCTGAACACAATCTTTCTCCGTTAATATCAATTTAAAATTTGTGGCAGGGATAGCGCCCTTGGTTAGAAAGAAAACATACTGAATTTTGCAAGGTAAAGTTTAGAACTGAACCCAGCCAGATGGGCAGGGTATAAATAATAATAATAATAATAATAATAATAATAATAATGTTATATTATTTTTATCTAACAATATTGTTATATTATTATTGTTATATTATTGTTATATTAGTATTAATAATAATAATAATTTTATTGTTGTTAGCCACCCTGAGCCCGGCTTCGGCTGGGGAGGGCGGGATATAAATAGAATTTATTATTATTATTTATTATTACTACTACTAATAATAATAATCCCTTAACCTTGTTGCAGACTACTGTGTTGCCTATCTAATATAATTGCTGGATACAACCCCTTTTGTCATGGGTAACTACAGATCCTGTCCAATTTACCAGCATCTTCCTTCCTCTCATCCCCAGTCAATAGCTGAGTTACATGTTACCTCTTAGTGAGGGAACACATGGAGTAAAGTCACACACAACTGATCACCAGAAAAAAGGAGCAGTGCATTTCCCCAACCCACAAAAACACACTCGTCAGTTTAACTTACCCTGGGCACATCTTGTCACCCTTTTTCTCATGTAAAATAGCACAATCATAGCAGAAAACATGCTTGCAGGGTATCTAAAAAACCAGGAAAGAAAAGCACATGAGCAAATCAATGCTTTGCAAACTCTTCACTTTTAAATAGGATACCATCCAATGCTTTGTTCAGAATAGATTCTTACCCAGCTACCAGGACTGTAAGATGTTTTGCACACTAATAAGCAAATAACAGCAAGAATACTCCAAAGCATGTTGCTGAAAATAAAATTCTTACATTTAAAATGTCCACGAAGCTGCAGAGAAATTAGATACCTAGTGGTGCTGTATTTCATACATTTCCTTATTATATAGGCTTCCCTTTCCATCTGCTGGACACTCTTTGGTTCTGCAAGTGTCTCCCAATTAAAAAATACATAACCACAATGTTAGAAATCTGGATTGTTCCATGTACAAATGGGTTGCAAACTAAAACATCCAATATCCAGTACTAGGATTTAATTTTAACAACCCAGTTCTGTGAGCAATCTGAGCTTCTTCAAAGCTAATGACAAACTTCCATTAACTTGGGTACTCTATGGTTGGAGGAAACTGTCCACACCTAAACTACAATAAAAAAACCTGATATGGGGGTTCAAATCCCCACTGAGCCATGAACCTCTCTAGGTGCCCTTGCACTATCTCTCAGCCTAACCTACCTTGCAGTTCTTGTGAGAATAAAACAGAGTAGGAAGGAATAATGGAGGAAAGGCAGGATACAAATGGAATACAAAATAAGAGACGAACGAAACCAACGACAATTCTACATTCAGTTTGCTAAACTGGAAGAGCTTTCACACAAAAAAGCAAACTTAAATCATATGTATAGGCCAGTGTTTTGGAAAACACACTGTTGAAAAAGAACATCAAAATATTTTTTCCATGATATTTTTCCATGAACACCATATCAAATTTAATTTAACAGGGCTCTGCATGATACAAAAGCAAGAGTGATTTTACAGCTCATCAGACAGATGACTCAACTTACACTGTGATTACATTCTAGGGATAGCGCCTACAGCCAAAATCACGTATAGTCCAAACACACTGGCTTCAATGGTGGCTGGGATTGTCAAAGATTCCCCGCCCGCCCCGCCCAATTGTCTGCCCCTTTGCGTATTTTAAAAAATTTGCCAAGCACGTAAAGCTGAATGTACACAAGTTAAACGAGCATATATTGTAAGTTAGCTGCATTGAGAAGACATGGCTATCCATATGACATAACTGTATGATTGTGTTGAGTTGATCAATATAGTTCTGCTTACCATGCGTCCATACATTTTGATTGGCAGCCCACACTTGTCACAGAAATGGACTGGAGTATCATCCTTTTCTCCTAGTAAATTTATCTGTCAAAATGGCAAGCATCGTATTTCATCAGCTGATTATCACAATACACTTGCATATTTTAAATGCATAGAAATCGACAAAAATCCTGGGTACGTTTTTCCGGAAGGTATGAGCCCACTTTCTCTCCCCGTCCCCCCATAACTTTTGTGAAGAGGACAAAAATTTCTAGTCAGTTGTATTAAGTAATAGCAACAGATTAAGCACTATACGGTACAGTGATACCTTGGTTCTCAAACACCTTGGTACTCAAACAACTTGGAACCTGAACACTGCAAACCTGGAAGTAAGTGTTCCGGTTTGCGAACTTTTTTCAGAAGCTGAACATGCTCCGCTTTGAGTGTTACACTTCCGTTTTGAGTGTTACGCTGAGGTCTGTCTGGTTTTGCTATTTATTTTGGGGTTTTGTTTTTGCGGCTTTTTTTGTTTGTGTTTGTGACTGTGTGGAACCCAGTTCAGCTACTGATTGATTTGATTGTGTGACTGCAGTACATTGTTTATTGCTTTCATTTTATGGATCAATGGTCTCGTTAGATAGCAAAATTCACGTTAAATGGCTGTTTTAGGCGTTGTTTTTAAAAATCTGGAACGGATTAATCCGTTTTGCATTACTTTCTATGGGAAAGCACACCTTGGTTTTGGAATGCTTTGGTTTTGGAATGGACTTCCGGAACGGATTAAGTTTGAGAACCAAGGTACCACTGTATTAAAAAATAAAACGCTGTTTAAAAACAACATTTTGACTTTCTAATTTTTAAATCAGAATGTATTTCAGAACTACGGAGTCAATTACTGAACCTTGAAGTCCCAGAAGAGGTGTCCGGGAAATCTTCTTTGATTACTAAACACATCACCACCTTTGCATTCATATCGTTCTTCTTCGTTGTAGTCAAATTCTTCTGTGGAGGAACAAACCAAAAATTTAGATCAACCTTGCTGGTAACTGGTTGTGGGTGGGGGGTTTTAGCTACACTCACACTGACACATAATGCCATTTTGTCATATGCTGAAAGGTTTAGGGCAGATAGAAGAAAGTGCATCACACGGCACATAGTCAAGCTATGGCTCTCGTTCCCCCAGGAGGCTGTGATGGCCACCAACGTGAATGGCTTTAAAAAGAGCATTGTACAAATTCACGGAGAAGAGGACTATCAATGGCCTCTAGCCATGTTGGCCATGCTCCAACTCCACCATTGGAGGCAGGAATACTTCTGAATACCAGTTTCTGGGAACCACGTGAAGAGAGGATGCTCTTGGCCTCGTGTTTTGCTCCCAGGTTTCCCGAAGGCATCTGTTTGGCCACAGTGAGAACAGGATGCTGGACTAGACAGGCCTTTGGTCTGATCCAGAAGGTTGTTCTTTTTGTTGGGAAGGGCACAACAGATTGGATAAAGACAAGCAAGCAGGGTGGATAAAAATCAATGATTTTTTTTGAAAAAAATCAATTTTTTAAAATTTAAATTGGATTTTTTAAAATTTAAATTGGATTTTTACAATAAAAAGCTTTTGGAGGAAAAATCCTTCTACAGATAGTTTTCTATTTAAGTTACATTACAGTCCAAGGGCTATTCATCAGGAAATAAGGATTTGTTTTAAGTTTTTCATGTGTGCTAAAACTCAAGTCTAGGTGTTTTTTTAATTGTTTAACCACATCAGTTAACAAACATGGATGCATATGCTATAATGTTATTGTTTTAGTTAAATGAACTGTTTAAACTGTTATTAAGGAAATGATTATTTTTCTCCTTCCAATCAAGTACAGCAGAAAAGTTGTCCAAATATAGTTAACCCTCATGATAATTTCATAATAATCTATGTATTTCTAATTGTACAACCAAAACAGTAATTTTTGATATAACTGTAAAAACTACTCTGAAAATTTATTATTCCAAAAATGAAACCTTCATCTGGTTGTAAATATTAAGATTATGCAAGCAAGAAAGAGTCTTTCTGTAAAAAAATGATTTAAATCAAGTCTTACTGACTAGTGATTTAAATCAAATCCACCTTGCTTTTGCCTCATGGACCTGTCAGCTTATCTTTTGCAAACTGCCAATTCTGAAATACCTTTTATAAATGGCAAAAGCTGCTAAAGCCTTTTGGAATTATGATATAGCTTCTCTCTTACCTTCTTCACCAGCCTTTGATGGCAACCTATTCATACTTCTCACAGGACGAGGTGGTGTAGGTTTAGCTTTGTTTGCTTGCTTAGAGATTAGCTTTATAGGGATGCGTCGACGAACATCAAGACCTCCCAATGATCCGGAACTATTTGTACCTTGCAAATCATTGTCTATGTAAAAAAGAAGAAGAAGATATGTATCTGTTCTGATTTATCCAAATGCTAAAAAGAATTTTTACCCCTTCAAATTGACCCAATATTCACAGATGAGCACAGTTTTCAAAGAGTTTCTACAGAATAACAGGCTATAAAAACAATGTAAAATTATTATTAACCAGCTCTCACTGACACTAGACTCTCTCCTGAAGAACGGATTTATGTTTAAAAGTACTAAAAAATGTATTCACCTGGTGCTTCTGCGGGAATGATTACAATAGCAAGTGACAAAAATCATGCTTTAATAGATTACCTTTTGCAAACAGCAACCACAATAGCTAAGTCAAACTAAAGCATTTATTTGTAGTGTGGCATAGCCAAAAAGAGGCCCAAATTAGACAAAACTCACCACATGGCAAACATATTCCGAGAGTGTACTACTTCAGACTACAAAGGGAAAACATTCTGTTTGAAAGTTCACACACACAAAACTCCCTACATATTAAAAATGGCAAGGAATAGACTATAACTCCACCCTGTAATGCAGTTTTCTACTTTTTAAAAAAAGTTTGAAGCATTCCATTACATTTCCCCAATCCCACACCTCACCCTGAAGGCGGGGGGAAGCCCAGATGTCATAAGACTGAGAAACAGTGAACATCTGGTTTGTAACTGATCAAAAAAGATTTGCTCAAATACTGTCAATTTAAGGTCAAATAATTATACAGCATTAACTTTACTGGAACAATAGAAAATATCCTTTAACGATTGGCAGATTTAATACTAACTACAAAAACAAAGGGAAGTATTCAAAGGCAGGATTATGCTAACAGAAATAGTTCTGTAAAGCAGGGCAAATCATTTCCATCAATTCCTTCTATTCAATAGTCTTCCATCACCGCCATCCCCTCCCTACCTAGAATAGTATGGGATATAGCAGAGGACTGCACTTGATAAGGGTATTGGTCAAAATGGGGTGCCTTGCCTTACTAGCAGATTTTCTTTTTAAGACAACTATTATGAATTATAGCTTTAAAAAAATATTAGACAAGGTTTCCTTAAAACTTCAACAAATATTTCTCCTTGTTTTTTTAACCTGAAATACCAGTGCAAGCCTAAAGCCTGAAAATTAAAACAAAATAAAGGAATAGGAACAGTAACTAGTAAAAGAAAATGTCACTTTCTTTAAAGGCAATTGTGTTAAATAAGACAGTCAATTATTGAAGCATCATCAGCATATCTTGAATGAGTATTTGACAACAGTCAAATACTCAATCAATTAACATTATCTGACTTACTGCGCCAATCATAAAACAAGCAGACTTCAAAAATTTTGTAAGACTCTTCCCATCTCAGTATGTACTTTATTTATAACAGTATAATTTTTATCACACAGATTCTATATGTCGAGCATACATTTTTGAAGGGGAGGAGAGTAGTTTTATAATGTTTTAATATTATTTCTAATTGTTTTAACTTGGAGCTACTTTTGGACCTTACCGCGAAACCATCTGGTGAAGGATAGTAAAAGGTAAAATGACGGCGCTGTGGGTTAAACCACAGAGCCTAGGACTTGCCGATCAGAAAGTTGGTGGTTCGAATCCCCGCAACGGGGTGAGCTTCCGTTGCTCAGTCCCAGCTCCTGCCAACCTAGCAGTTCGAAAGCACTTCAAAGTGCAAGTAGATAAATAGGTACCGCTCCAGCGGGAAGGTAAACGGTGTTTCCGTGCGCTGCTCTGGTTCGCCAGAAGCGGCTTAGTCATGCTGGCCACATGACCCAGAAGCTGTACGCCAGCTCCCCCGGCTAATTAAAGCGAGATGAGCGCCGCAACCCCAGTTGGTCACGACTGGACCTAATGGCTATAAATTCAAATAAATGAATGAATATAAACAGGTAAATAGAACCATTTCTGAATATCCTCTCATGAAGAACTCTGCATTTTGCAAACCATTGCTTTTAAGAAAGGTTAGCATAACAAAGTTGCTAGGTCAGATCTCCTCCTCAAAACTCAAGTTTTCTGTGACACCTTTAGCTTAACAAACCTGGTTCCCTGTCAGATGTTTGCTGTGGCCAATGGGGAGTTGTAATCCAAAACATCTGGAAGGTGCCAGGTTAGTCCTAATTCCCAAATGAGATAAAGTTGAAGTAAATGTGACTGCATTCCTCCCTGGTTACTCTGGCCTCTTATCCCATCTCTTCTTGTTGTCTGCCATACTGTAGAACAGGCTTCCTCAAACTTGGCCCTCCAGCTGTTTTTGAGACTACAATTCTCATCATCCCTGACCACTGGTCCTGCTAGCTAGGAATCATGGGAGTTGTAGGCCAAAAACATCTGGGGGGGCCACGGTTGAGGAAGCCTGCTGTAGACTATGAACTGCTTGGGAAGGGACCAGTCTTTTCTTGCACAATACATGCCTGATAAAAACTGAAGTGACGCTTTTCATTTTTCCAGCTTCATTAGCTGAAAGAACTCTGCAAATTAGTAGGACTGCTTCTCTTCTTCACCCTCTGAAAGATGTAATCTTACTTTCAAAGAGGATTTCCTGTACTTTTCACCTGTACCTCTCTAGACTCAATTCGGAAGCAGCTCAGTGGTTTCAACAGCAAGGAAAACAGGAAGAATCTTTGGAGCAGTTACCGCATCATCACAAATCAAACTAACAGAAGGCTCATCCAGACTTCCTTTTTGTGCCCCATTTCTAGGCCACACTTTAAAGCTCTATGTCTGAGTACTTTCTCCATGAACACCTGCTCTTTGCTGCTGCATCAGAGCAAACAGCAATCCACAGAAAATCCAAAATACTCCAATTCAGTGTTAAAGAGTGGGTTTTCCTGGGGGTAATGGCAGGGCAAAATAAACAAATAATTGCTTGGCTACAGACTGAGAAAGCACAGACTTGTGCCTAGAAAGCAAAGGGCAATAGGTAAATGTGAATAAGCCCAAAGTTATTCAAATCTAGAGTGTATAATGAGGAATCATCTCATCAGACACGCAGTCTATTCTGTTTGTTAATTCAGTCCTATGTACAAAATAAAGCTAAACTCTGATACTAGAAACTATATATACATGTAAAGGTGTTGAAGAAACTAATAATTGCCTGCAAATTAGGCCACTTACAGTACAATTCTAGCCATGTATGCTCAGAAGTAAATCCTACTTAATTCAAGTGGGATTGCTCCTAGGTAAGTAGGGTGAGGATTACAACCAAGTATTGTTACTATTTGGCTCCAAGTAAAAAGAGCAAAACATACAGAAAAATTCAATGAAGGGTTAGCATTTCTGATCTCTCTCACTGTATAATGAAGTAACTGGAAATCAACCCAAGGTTACACATCTGAGACTCTATAATTCTATCTAAAACTTTGAATTCTATTAAAAACTTTGACGTGCTTTCGAACTGCTAAGTTGGCAGGATCTAAATTGCACCTGCTTCTAAATAATTATTTTGTTCCTTTGTTATAATAGATCCCAATCCATATCAGATGTGTTTCACTGCAAGTGCTTCAAACTAGAACTGATCCATAGTTTAAGCCCACAGCAAATGTTCCTAATTTTTTTATTATTATTATTGCATATTTATTCTACCCTTCCTCCCAGGAGTTCTTGGTGGCCGTCCCCTCCTTTACTACATTCCCACAACAGCTGTGTGAGCTAGATACAGGTAAAAGAGAATGGCCAGGAGTCACTCAGTGTGCTTCATAGGTAAAAGGGGATTTGACCAGGGTCTCCCTGGTCCTAGCCCATCTTTACACATAAGCTGATAGTGACATATTCAGAAATACATCTTATAACTCTGTGGTGGATTCAGCTTTGTCCCCAGCCAGCATGACTAATGGTCAAGGATGATAGGAGTTGTAGTACAGCAGCGTATGGAGGAGCACAGACTCCTCAGCTGCTTTTAATAAATTCCAATATGGCAAACAAAATCAGTAGACCTATGAGAAGATGCAGGCTTTAAAAGGGCATGAGCAACCTAACAGGTAAGTGTTTCACAAACTTGATTCTCCAGCTGTTTTTTGATTACAACTCCCAGCATCCCTAGGTAGCAAGACCAGTGGTCAGGGATGATGGGAATTGTGGCCCAAAAGCAGCCGGAGAAACGCTGCAGTAGATCAACAGCTACCAATGTTTACACATTTTACTTCATGAGAGATAAAAGGAGTTTCTATCAATACTCTCTGTCTAGTAAAGTTGCTTAACCCTTGCCTTGTTTTGTTTGTGTTTTTTGTTTTAAAGCAGCAATAATTTTTAAAATAATTTTATTAGCTTTCAATTACAATCCAATTACAACAATACCAATTTATAATACAATTATTAATACAAATCGTTCAAATACCAAATTATACGATTTAGATAAAGTGGCTCCCCGTGTGCTGGATTTGATGGTTTGCTTTATTTCTGTGTTCCAAAATCTTACTCATTTCCATTACATTCCGGTCACCATAATAATCTCTTTTACAACAACTGCGACATTAATAACTCCTATTCGTGTTGAATGGTTTATGCTTTAAAGCAGCATGATTCAATCAACAACAAAAGCAAGCTTAACCCATTAAGCAACCGGGACACTTTTGCAGACTGCCCCTGTCCGATTCAAGCCGTTGCCTCCCAAATTCCTGTACAGTGGTGCCTCGCAAGACGAAATTAATCCGTTCCGCGAGTCTCTTCGTCTTGCGGTTTTTTCGTCTTGCGAAGCACGGCTATTAGCGGCTTAGCGGCTATTAGTGGCTATGAACGGCTTAGCGGCTTTAAGAAAAAGGAAACAAACTCGCAAGACGTTTCGTCTTGCGAAGCAAGCCCATAGGGAAATTCGTCTTGCGGAACGACTCAAAAAACGGAAAACTCTTTTGTCTTGCGCGTTTTTCGTCTTGCGAGGCATTCGTCTTGCGGGGCACCACTGTACTACCAACTCCAGATAGTACTTCTAACTCATGGGGTGGGGTGGGGTGGGGAATCAGAGGAAGCCATGTTTGCCCTGCTGTGCAATTCCAACCAGGCATTTCACCACAAAATCCTTAACCAGTAAACCCCCCCCCCAAAAAAAAACCCCTGCTAACCTTTGGTTGATCTATTCAACATCCTCTTAAAATGTGGCTCTTTTCTTGGGGGAGGGGTGTTGTTTATTGGGTTGTAGCTTTTATTCTGATTATATATGTTGTGATCTTTTCTGTGAACCGCCCCGAGACCTCCGGGTATTGGGTGGTATATAAACTCCGTATTATTATCATTATTATTATTTTCAGAGTCACGTTCAACCCACATGTAGCGGGGAGTGTGGTGATGGTGGGGAGATGGGCTACTACTTCCATTTGCATGTACAGAAAACGGGCCACCCAGGGCCGGATTTAGGTTTGATGAGGCGCTAAGCTACTGAAGGTAATGGGGCCCTTTATATGTCCAGCTGTCATTTGTCAACAACAAATTGTTGCTTTTTTGTGTTGAATATATGCTATATGGTAACTTATGGACCTAATAGGTATCTTAAGCCATTTGCACACAACAAAATATGTATTTTATCAAAGTTTAGGACTTCCGCTTTGCCGATGATTGCTCTCGGATGCTCGTCTCGGAGTTCTGAGGGGTGAGCACTCACCAAAGGGGTGAAAGAGGGGGCTTGCTAGGCTTCACAACCCCCAAAAGGTCCAGAAGGCCTTCCTGCCTCTAAAAGGACACACTGTGGAGTTGGAGGGGTCTCCGGAGTTGAAGGAGACCACAGATGCCCAAAACAGCGTTCCCTCCCCACGGAGAGAAAGCCTGACTTCGGGAGTGACCCTGCAGCAGAAGCTCCAAAGAAAACAGGCGTCTGGTATTTGCAAGCACGGTCGGTCCCCGGAAAAAGCTATCAAAACATTGGTAATTAAGCATAAATCATATGGCAGCCAGATGCTTCTTTGGGCTGGAAAGCTGTACAAAGTTTATTTGCTTTTTATCTTATATTTTGGAAATGCACATTCAGGGGTTTTTTTCTTTAATTTTTTTGGGGCCCCTAAGCTATCGCTTGTTTAGCTGATTCTTAAATCCGGCATTGGGGCCAGCGGGGAAGCCCCTTTCCTTGATGCTCTTCACGCGGAAGGAGGAAACCTGCTTCGGGGGGCGCCTGCCCTGCTATAGAGGGAGCGAAAGGGGAGCCACCCCAGTTAGGAGGACCCCTGAAGGGCTCAGCAGAGAGGAGGCCAGCAAAGGGCAGCCTTAAAGCCCCGCTCCCTCCAGAGGCGGCCCAAGGCGGCGCCTCGCAAAGCTTGTCAAGGCGCGAGGCGGGCAGGTTAGCAGCCTCACCCCCGGGTCGGAGGACGGCGGCCCGACATGGGCCTACTTGGGGGTAAGGGCCGCGAGCCTTCGCCGCTGAGGGGAGCGGGGCCTACTTGGGAGTAAGCGCCGCGAGTCTTCGCCGCTGAGGGGAGCAGGCGGCCTAGCGCAGCCTGACGGCCCCCCGAGGCCCAGGCCGCGCCAGGCCTCGCGTTTCGAACCGCTCCGCCCTCCCGCTCGAAACAAGGCCGCGGCCCTCGAGGCCCCGCCGCCCTCCTCCGGCTACCGGTTCCGCGTCGGGGCGGAGACGGAGCGGGAGGCCGCCGCCGCCGGGCGGGCGGGGAAGCTGCGAGTCTCCCGCTTCGCCCGCCCGGTCCCCCGCCCGCTCCCCAACTCACCATTGTGGTCCATGGTTCGGTGTAAGGTACTCTGGGACAGGAAGTCGCCTCCGGGCCACAGGATGGGCGGGACCGGAAGCGCGGGAGGCGGCGGGGAACGTAGAGGTGCGAAAGCAGAGGCGAAACCGTTCGCCGGAGGGGCCGCTTCCTGGTTCCTTCGGGCGGGAATGTCCGTCGGCAGTGCCATATAGGGAGCGAGGGAACGGAATCCGGTGCAGGATTTGAACTCTGAGCAGTGGAAGGAATAAGAGAGGGGAAAGATAGGGTGCTGCAAAGGGGGGAGAGAAAACACCATGGCAAATGGGACAGGAAGTCGACAAAACAGGAGAAAGATCTTATTATAGATGGGAATGTATATGTGAAATTTGTGGAAATTTAATAGATATATCTGGGAAAAAGAAAGCGACGGGAAAAAGCATTTTTAGTGCAAACTGTGACTGGGTAGCGGTTGGGCGTCTCCTTCAAGAAGTTTGCAGCAGAGGCAGGATGGATGTTTGCGCTCTCTTTGTCATGTGCTGCATACGAAACTTGAAAAGTATGCGCCGCTGGACAAGCTGCTGTAGTTATATTGTATTTAAATGAAATGAATGAACTGGAAAGTGAAAATAATGCGGCAACGGCCGTTGCTTCTTAAGGGAAACGCGGCTTAAGTCCTTCTACAAATTGCCCTGCAGATGTCAACAGAGCATCCTTGCCGTGGCTGTGTCTCAGCGAAGGAGGCTTCATCCGTAGCAGCTCCGTCCGACTCTTGAGCAGGAGGACCGCGTGAGCATGGCTCGGTTTTTCCAGCCCAGCGTCGCCGCCCTTCAGTCTCGCTCCAAACTCCAGCCTAATAATCCCTGCGGTCCGTTGTGTGCAGAATTCAGATATTTCCACAATTTTTTTTTTGCTTTTTAACCCGAACAGTTTATCAACAACATGCTTTTACGCCCTCCTTGCCCACGGGACCCGAAGCGACGCGGCCTCGCGTCTCCGCCTTATCACCGCCGTACGATGCCCCGTTTAGACGAGGGCTGCTCGGGCTTCCGAAGGAACCCAGCATTCGCAGACCTTGCGTAACTCTACCATATTGGTGAGTCTAAGGCCGGCCCCGCTGAGACGCCTCACATAAGCTCTAACTGGGGATCTCCCGTAGATATACCAAAGTCTAGACGTATATACTACTTCGGTTCTGACTTTCCTTCGCTTCTTCGTTATATTTAACGCTACCTCCGCCCTAAACCCGATCGGTAACTTTCCGCGGTAACTCCCAATGCAAAAAGAGAGAGAGAGAAAAAAATATCGAGGTAATAAAGGAGCAGCTCCTTAAAAAAAAAAAATCGGAAATCGAGGCTGTTTGCTCCCTCTCTACTTTTCTTGTTTCTATAGTCTCCCTTTCGTTTCGTTCAGGACGCTCACCTTCTCTTCCCGCTGAAACCGGCTGCTCTCCGGCCCTACGGAAGGGCGGAAGGGCCAGAAGGGTCAAGGTAGCGTTCCGTAGTGTTCTTCCACGGCTTGGAGGCTCGGGGAAGAATCCGCCGTCACATCCCCAAAGGAGATTCTCGCAGGCTTTTTCTTTTTTTGCCTCTGCTGACGTCCTGGTTCTTTTTCCGTCATCTTTCTTTGCTGCTCAGGACGTTTCTTCTGTTATTTGGAGGGGAGAAGCTGTGTTTTGAGCAAGGGTTTGCTCATCATTCTTATCCGCCCCATGAATGTTTAGGGCTATTGAAAGGCTCCTAAAGGTAAAGGTAAAGGGACCCCTGACCATTAGGTCCAGTTGTGACTGACTCTGGGGTTGCGGCGCTCATCTCGCTTTATTGGCCGAGGGAGCCGGCTTACAGCTTCCGGGTCATGTGGCCAGCATGACTAAGCCGCTTCTGGCAAACCAGAGCAGTGCACGTTTACCTTCCCGCCGGAGCGGTACCTATTTATCTACTTGCACTTTGATGTGCTTTCGAACTGCTAGGTTGGCAGGAGCAGGGACAGAGCAACAGGAGCTTGCCCCGTTGTGGGGATTCGAACCACTGACCTTCTGATCGGCAAGCCCTAGGCTCTGTGGTTTAACCCACAGCACCTAGTCGTACAATTTGTGGCGATTTCAGAGTCTCGTCCATTAAAAGCAGCCTCAGCAAGTTGACAAGGGCATTGTGGCTTCTTAGGGCCGGCCCCACCCTGAGGCAAGGTGAGGGAACCAACTCGGGCGGCAGAATCCACAGGGGCAGCAGATCCTGATGTAGATCACAGAATCATAGAGTTGGAAGGGAAACCCAGACAAATGGGTGGGTTGTTGTGGACTCGAACTCGCAAGCCTGAGATTGAGTCTCAAGCTCTACTGACTGATTTATCCCAGGAATCCTTTTTATCCCCCATCCCCTTGTTCCTGGAGTGGATCTTCACTCACCGCTTCTTCTCTGGCAAGGAGAGGGGGCACTATTTTGTGGTTCGCCTCAGTTGCCAAAATTGTCTTGGGCTGGCCCTGTGTGGCGAACCAATGCTATTTTGGCATGAGCTTTCAAGGAGTGGAGCCCTTCATCAGAATAAAAAGAGTGTGTGGTGCTTGAATTGGTCTGTAGTACGCAAAGGCTTATGTGCAATAAAATGTATTAGTTTTTAAAAGTACTTTGGTTTTGCTGCAACTGACCAACATAGTAGGTCCTCTGAAATTTCAGCCATTGAGACTCCAGTCTGTTGATACATGCAGCTCTGTTGAATCAGGATGTAAGGTTGTCAGTTCTGTTAGCCAGTTTTGGTATTTTTTGGTGAGGAACGACTTCAGATATGTATGCAAATAGTTTTTTTGTTTGTTTGTTTTTTTAAAAAGCAGCTTTGTGGTGAGGGCTCATTGGGGCAAAATCCCTTCTGAATATAGCCTGGCTTATTTTGACACTGCTATGAAGCTGTAAAATATGTTTTAAGTGTTTTATTGAGCTTGAAGTTACTGTAGCTATTTGATCAAAGGGCATTTTTTAAAAAAACCAATTGTTTGCAATTAATAGGATAATGCTGCAAGCTTAGCAAGATTAAAAGAGTTTGCTTTTTTCTCAGTTGTCTTATGTTTTTTGTTTTGCAGATGTGGCCCGATAATTTTTATGTGAGTAGTCAGTCCAGAGAAATCCTTCAATGTCCGCTAAGAAATCCAGTGGATTTGTTTCACTCTGAAACTATTGTGAAAATATGTGCTCCTATGGTTAGATATTCAAAGTAAGTGCCATTTTCAGATTGCTTCCTATTCCCATATTTTCATGGGCTGTAATAAACAATCCCATCCAAGAAAAGTGTACTTAAATTAGCTTAGCTGTGAGTACACACACAGCTTTATTGCGGTCCATAGTCCCAAAGTACACAGTACAGCAATGGAATATAGCAACAGTTATTGAGGTATAAGAGCGGTCTTGCTAGCCAGCAGAGGAGCTTTAGCTTTCACTTAGCTGTGAGTACTTCGTTCTGTTTGTTAGTCACATTTTATCAAGGCTTTGAGCCAATGGGTCTACTTTGATGTGAATGCTAAGGACTGCAGCAACTAATTCAAGCAGGTGAGCAGTGACAGCAGCAGCAATGGGTTGCTAGAGTGGCTGAAGCAACTGTCAAAATTGATAATTTCTAAACATTGCTAGAGGCTTCTATACACAGTGAGGCCGATTCACAGTCTCCTCTAGAACTTTATCAACAAAGAAATATGTGTTAAGTATTTTGCAGTTGCCTGCAGGATATTTCCAATTTTGACAATTTGGTGGGAATGTACTTTTTAATCAGAACTGTGCTGCACAGATGAAACTGAATGGTCATCTAATCTCTCTTTCCTTTAATATGGCAGCAGCTAATGCAGGAAAGACAGCTGAACTTGGTTATCAGAATGATGTCAAATAGTTGCCTCCCTTTCTTAGAAGTACGGTGGTACCTTGGTACTCAAACGGTTTGGATCCCGAACAAATCGGCTCTCAAATGTCGCAAACCCGGAAGTAAGTGTTCCGGTTTGCAAATGCTTTTCGGAAGCCAAATGTCCGACGTGGCTTCGCTTGAGTGCAGGAAGCTCCTGCAGCCAATCAGAAGCCATGCCTTGTTTTTGAACAGTTTCAGGAGTCAAATGGACACTCAGAATGGATTAAGTTTGAGAACCAAGGGACGACTGTACAGTTCCTGTTATGACAGTTGCTAACCTGGAGGGACTACAGTGGTGCCTCGCAAGATGAAATTAATCCGTTCCGCGAGTCTCTTCGTCTTGCGAAGCACGTCTATTAGTGGCTTAGCGGCTATTAGCAGCTTAGCGGCTATTAACGGCTTAGCGGCTTAGCGGCTATTAACGGCTTAGCGGCTTTAAGGAAAAGGAAACAAACTCGCAAGAACTCGCAAGACGTTTCGTCTTGCAAAGCAAGCCCATAGGGAAATTTGTCTTGCGGAACGACTCAAAAAACGGAAAACTCTTTTGTCTTGCGCGTTTTTCGTCTTGCGAGGCATTCGTCTTGCGAGGCACCACTGTACAGTGGTACCTCGGGTTACAGACACTTCAGTTTACAGACTCCGCTAACCCGGAAGTAGTACCTCAGGTTGAGAACTTTACCTCAGGATGAGAATGGAAAGCACGCCGCGGCGGCGGCACGGCAGCAGCGGGAGGACCCATTCCCTAAAGTGGTACCTCAGGTTAAGAGCGGTTTCAGGTTAAGAACCTCCAGAACGAATTAAGTTCTTAACCTGAGGTACTACTGTATAGTTTTTGGCTGGAGCTGAGTCCAAGCATGATGGATGGGTGCCTGGCTCTTAGCTCCTTTTGTGCTATCAGCTCAGCTGGCTGGGCTAGAAGGTACTCAGAACACTTGCCCAGGAATAGCCTAATTAAATTTTTATATTTTTGAGAAATCACATAAAATAAATGTTCCAGTTGCCACACAATGAAACGTAATGTGCCTCAGCCTGTTGAATCATATGAACATATAAACACAACTGCTAACTCCACAATACACGGTTTGAGAATGGCATTATCTTAGCTTTTCCCCCCCTTTTGGCCACTTATGGAAAAAGAGCATTTGAAAGCCATTTTAAAAATTCATTCTCTTTATATGAGAAGTGATTCTGTTGCACTTAGTGTTGTTCGGAACAAAACACCAAAATGACATGCATTTTGTTTACCCAAAAAGTGTTTTCATTAAAATTAGTACGATTTGTTTCTCAGATCTTTCGGTGTTTTTCAGATTGCCTTTCAGAACGTTAGTCCGGAAATACGACTGTGATTTATGCTACACTCCAATGATTGTTGCAGCTGATTTTGTCAGATCTGTAAAAGCTAGACACAGTGAATTTACTACAAACCAAGGTATTGTGTTTTCATTTCTTCAGATTCATTAGATAAAATGCAAGGGCCACTTTGGGCCCTTTTTGATGCTCCTTAAGCTAGGGGTCTGTATAGAGTCCTACGAAATTACTTTTATTTAAGCTAAAGTCCTGTATACAATGAGCACTAAGACTGAGTTCTGAGTAAACATGCATAGGATTGCAGCATCACCAGAACAGCTGGTTTCCCACCTTAGTTCCGTCAAACTCCAGACATAACTATGTTTTGGAAATCACAAATTCTAACTGCCATGCAATAATTGATAAAACGCATTTTACTACCACACACATGGTGCTCCAGCCCATGGCATGTTGTTCCTCTATCAGAAGCAGTATTCTATGGCACTAGGACAGTGGAGTCTGTACCCTACATATGTTTGCATTTTTATGAGGCTTGACTGCTTGAGTAAGGACATGGAATTATAGATGGTTGTTCTGGCATAGCAGGGAACTTTTGTGGATAATGTTCCCAGCTTCTCCCTCCCCACTTTCTTCACTTATTTATTATTATTACAGTGGTACCTCGGGTTACATACGCTTCAGGTTACATACGCTTCAGGTTACAGACTCCGCTAACCCAGAAATAGTGCTTCAGGTTAAGAACTTTGCTTCAGGATGAGAACAGAAATTGTGCTCCGGTGGCACGGCAGCAGCAAGAGGCCCCATTAGCTAAAGTGGTGCTTCAGGTTAAGAACAGTTTCAGGTTAAGTACAGACCTCCGGAACGAATTAAGTACTTAACCCGAGGTACCACTGTATTTTGAAAAATTATCAAGACTTCATGATTTACATCCTAAGATAATTGAAATAAATTTGTGGAAGGAAAGTTTTCCATTTTCTCCCCCTCTTACAGCCACCTGCACCCCCTGAACACTTTCCCAGAGGCTCGTCCTGACCAATGTAGCATGTGGGGGGCAGGCCCTATTCCTGCAGAAGGGAAGAATTGCCCAATTTTGACCTGAACCCTGCCCACTTTTCAGTGATTTCTCCCTCTCTCAGCAGATCCCCATCCCATATTGTTCAAGATCGTCCCTGACCCTTTGGTGGCTGGCAGAGCTGGGGTGTGTGAGAAAAGTTTTCCTCCCATGAATATCCTTAAATTAACCCTTAAATCTTAGAATCAGACCCAATACATTGTATGTGTATATGTGGTGTATTTTTCATTATTATGAAATGTCATTTTATCAGGTGATCGCCCTCTGATTGTTCAGTTTGCCGCTAAAGATGCACACGTTCTAGCAGAAGCTGCTTGTATCATCAGTCCCTTTGCCGATGGCGTAGATGTAAATTGTGGCTGTCCACAGAGGTAAAATTTTAAGAAACTCAGGGAGCAATGAGTAAACTGCACATTTTAACTTTTTTAATTTCAGGTATTTATATCCTGCATTTCTGGACATAAACAATTAAAATATAAAACACAAGAAAAAACATCTCATTGCTATTACAAAATGTTAAAAGAGCAGTCCAAAAACAATACACAGCCTAGCATCATTTGCATAAAATGGATTAAAATGCAGATTTGAACAATAAAGGTACAGTTTAAACTGGTAGAGCTGCAAAAATAGAGCTACCACTGAACAGGCCAGCCTAATAGATCTTAATTGTGTGCCTACAAGGAGGGTCTCTGAGGCCAACTGTTCTGGTCCCGTGGGATAACCAAGAGCCGAGGTCCGAGTCCAGTCCGAGGTCGAAGGTGCGATATGAAGGCAGTCTGTAAAAGCTGAAGCTGGGTGCAGGACAGGGAGTCAGGAGAGGTCAGGAGCGCAGGCTGGAAAGCAGGACAGGGTTCAGGCAGGAATTGGCAACCTACAAAGCTGCTCCCGCAACTTGGGACTGGGGCTGGCTGGCTTTTATCTGCCCCGAGGCATAGGGCGGCCCCGATCCTCAGGTGACTCGCCTCTCCTGGCCTGGAGGCGAGCACTCCTCCTGCAGGAACTTTGTTTCCTCCGCCTCTCTGCCCTGAACCTCTGTAGCTCAGGAGAGGCTGGAGGGTTACCGGACCCAGAGGCAACCTCAGCTTCCTCTGACGGGGCTGTGAGTGGAGCACCTGGGGGGGGGCACCAGGCGGCGCATTGGAAGATGGCCGACAATAACATCTCTCCGACCCACACGAGGTAATAAAGAGGCTGCTATGGGAAGTATGCAGTCTTCCTACCCCCCCAAGGATATGGGGGGACAGCCTTGCCAGCAACGTCCATAATGCACCCCCGGATTCGAAAGAAGGGGGTGCAGGACATTTGGCATCAGCCCTCGATGGGTTTGGTGCTTCCTGACGCTGTCTCCAATCAGCGCCCTGGTTCGCTTCAGCTCGAAAATATAATTGGAAATATATAATTGGAATGAAGCTGAAGCACTTACATCAAGCAAAGTTCGAGAGATAAGGCTGCTGATTAATGCCTCTCTGTGTTTGGAGCGACGGGAGGAGACAAATAAATCAAGCGATGAACCACCATTATGAGACTGGTATGTGCGGAGCGAAAAAAGAGGGGGGGTGGAGGAAAAAACTTTTATTTTCTTTGCCTCATGTGAGTATTTATAAACCTCCACCTCAGAGAGACGAATCGTCGCCTTTTACTAATCGCAAGCAAGAATTTAAGAGCTGTGTGGAGTGAATTATTGATTGAAGAGAGGACTGGTAAATATGGAGTGCGGAGGAAAAATTCTATGACGCAGTTTTTAATGGCGTCTTGCTAAGACAGGCTTGTCGAAGAAAGACGAGGAGAGGAGGACCAGGGTCATTGGAATGTAAATGATGGATTGAATGTGATAACCTGGCAGAGCCCCTTTGTGATATATGTGGCAAGCTTGGGAAAATTGATAGGACGGACCGAGGATAAATTTTTTTGAAGAAGGGGAGGAATGGCGGCTGACCTTACGAGATATGACTTTTGGAGTGTGCAAAATCCACGCAGATGTTGTTTGTTCTTAACCTGCTTGCGAAGACTATCAGAGATTGCAAAGAAAGGAATACATGATAACAACATGAAGATGAAGAAGTAATAAAGAGACTATCTGGACAGATCAGGATAGAACCGTATGATAAAAGCAGTAACAGAAGTGATGCTTTGATTCTCGTTCGGAGCTTGATGTAACGGTACCCCCAACAAAATTTTAAAATCTGGCTGTATAATTTGGAAGTAATATGATTTGGAAATAATGTGATTAGATTGGCCTGTTAATAAAAATTATGTTTTAAAAAAAGAGAGAGTGGAGCACCTGCAGGCAATGGGTCCTCCATCCCCTCAGGAGCCAGAGCAGACTCAGCTGGTGCCTGCACCTGAGGATCCAGCACAGGTGAGGACCCTTCAGGCTCAAGCCCCAGCCCCGGCTCAGCTGGTTCTGGAGACGGGGACTCCTGTGCAGGCTGGGATTCCTCAGGTTCAGAATCTGAATCCGAATCCCAAGCCATCACACCAACAGGTTTGCATAGGTGCAGGCAACCCTCTGAATAATCTGGCTTCAAATTATATAACTTTTTATGAATGCACAATTAACGTAATTGGGTGATGATTTAACTTCAGGAAGAGCATTTCTGTGTCAACGTTTGACTGAAACCAACCATTAAATAGAGGCTAACTATAAACTTATGAGGTTGTATCCAACATGCCATTCAACTTGACAGTAAGGTTTATACCAGCAAAGCAGGTAGGGAAGCAATTTTGGGTGAAACCCCCCCAATAATATCCCTAACCCTTAAATCTGCTCTAGATGGTTGAGGTACACTTGTGAGCTGATAGGTGAAGCTTTAAAGGGGAATCACTGGAGATAGCTTCGCTGCCCATCCTGTAACAGAGGCCAAGCAACTCTGTTAGATACAACCACTGAATATGTGCAGAATCCTGGCTGCTTTCCATGGGTGTTTGCAGACTGGATTTTTTCCCAGAGGAGGCAAAGTCAAATACTTCCGATAAATAAACATAGCATGGTAACTAGTGTTAGAGACCATTTCTGAAGCTCTACTGACTGACATGAGGTCTGGGTAGATTTGACCTCTGAGAAACTTGTATTTCTCAGTGGGTAGACAAGCAGTCCATTTATAGCTGGACCTGGTGTGTAGATAATGTTTTTCAGGCAATGCTGGAATCTTCAGGTCTTTCTCTGTCTCTGTTCAACTCCTCCAGCCTTCAAGGTTTGGTTGCATCAGAATCTCAAAAGATATCTTACTAAATACACAGAATATGGCGAGTGCTTTGTATTAATATAGGGTTTAAACTAGTGTTGCCATATTTCAAAAAGTAAAAACCAGGACAAGCGAAAAGGTGTTGAGCTTTGAGGTTTTTTTAGGAAGACCCCAAAATTGTTGAGCTCCCCCCCCAAAAAAATCATAAAAATTGTTGAGCTTGTTTTAGGAAACCTCCCAAATTGCTGAGCTTTTTTAAGGAAAACCCAAAATTTGTTAGACGAACCCCAAAGTTGTTGAGCTTTCTTTTACAAAAGCACCAGAAAACGCAACAATTTTTCAATTGACTTGTCTAAGATCCAGGGCAAAGCACTGCCTTTCGGAAATTCCCCAGGACGTCAATTCTGCCTCTGAAATCCCAATAATGTCCAGGAGTATCCAGACGTATGGCAGCCCTAGTTTCATCCTTCTATAACAAAGGAAACTTGTTAGAATATTAGTCTGGATTTCCTGAAACCCTCATGTCATTATTTTGCTTCCTCACAAGAATGAGAAAAGGAAAAATTAAGCCATCTATTCTAATATGCAAACATTATTTTGCTATTTCAATTCAAGGTGGGCTATGGCAGAAGGTTTTGGTGCCTGCTTAATAAACAAACCAGAACTGGTGCAAGAGATGGTGAGGCTGGTAAGAAATCAAGTGGAAAACCCCATGTTTTCAGTATCTATTAAGATAAGGTAAGTTTTGATACCACCTACATAAAAAAATACATTAAATGTGTAATTGACCAAGTGTAGAGGAAGTTCCTTACTTGTCACTCAGCCAAACCTACCTCTCAGGACTTTTGTCAGGATAAAATGAAAGGGAGGGGGTGTTATTTCATTAATTTATTAATTACCTTTCACATAAGTCTCAAGACACTCTAAAAGCAAACAATAACAACTAAAATAGATTAAAAACATTTAATTAATGAGTTGAAATATAATTCTTAAATTTTTGAACATTCCCCATTTGTTCCTTGGTTCTCAACTCTGTGCCATTTTTTCATGCCATTCAGATAATACATGCTGAATTTTGATGTTTTTGTTACTTGTAATGCTAGGATTCATGATGACCTAAAGAGAACTGTAGACCTGTGTCAAAAAGCGGAAGCAGCTGGAGTGTCCTGGATTACAGTCCATGGGAGAAATGTAGAAGAAAGACACCAGCCAGTACACTATGATGCAATTAAAATAATTAAACAAAGTATGTCTATACCGGTTATAGCTAATGGTGACATTAAATCTTTAAAAGATGTGAAGGACGTTCATCAAAAAACAGGAACAGATGGTAAGAACAACTTGTGGGCTCATTTGGGCTCTGCCCTCTCAATAAATGGGAAATATATGTGTATATTTTATCCCTGGCATTAAACTTGAATTGTTTGCAAGAAATGAGTTAAGATGGAAGGTAGTTTTAATGGATTGGTTCACTTAGTATCCATTAAGCAATGTTTCTAAAGCTACAGTCCTACGCCCACTTACCTGGGAGGAAGTCCCATAGAAAACTGAGGAATTTACTTGCAAGTAAACAGGCGTAGGATGGCACTGTTAAACTACAATTCTAAGCAGAGCTACTGAGGAGTAAACGCCATTGAACTTGGGAGCAGTTACCTCCAAGTAAACATGCATAAGATTTCACTGTAAGACAAGTAAAGGTGTGAAAACATAAAAGTGTAGCATACAGGGAGGTCAAAAAGTAAATATGTGAACTAGAACAGAGTGACTAAACATAAAATATGCATATATCAACTGTAGCAGATGGAAAAGTTATCTGGCAGCCATGCGGGAAAGTGATCTTGCGACAGAGATTATCGCTTTATTTTTCACTGCGAAAGAACTGAGGACAAAATTAACTTTAGGTCAGAGTTATAAGTATGTTAATAAGTGCGGTTGTAATTGAAAGCAAAAAAAAAAACTGTGTTCACAGTATTTCTAAATTGGACCGATGTGGGGCTGAAATATATTTAGATGACCTAGGACTTAATTTGGCACTGTACATGCTGGAGACTCAAAGTGCCTTACAAAAATTTCCACTGTGTTGCAATACAGTCTTATGCATGTTTACTTAGAAGTAACTCCCACTGTTTTCAATAGAAATTGCTCACAGGTAAGTGTTTGGAGTGCAGCTGTAATATCTGAAGAAGCAGTCCCTTTTACTTATTCATCTCCCAAATTACATCCTCTCTTCCCATTTCCAGTCTGTTCCATCTTTCCTTTGTTCTTACTTTCTTTCCCTCCCTCCCTCCCTCCCATTTAGACATATAACCAAAGCCTTTTGTTAAGCCCTGCTGACAAAAATGCCACTGTCATATTATTAGACTTGCACCTTCTAAGGGTATCTGATTTAACTAAACTCCCATGGTAATGTGTCCAACACAGGGCCTTTAAACAAATAAGATAAATTATGTGTAGTTTTAATTTATTGTTTGTATTCCTTTCCATGCTAGGTATCATGGTTGCTAGGGGGCTTTTAGCCAATCCTGCCATGTTTGCAGGCTATGAAGAAACGCCTCTGCGGTGCCTGCAAGACTGGGTCGATATTGCTCTTGAACATGGGACTCCTTTTGCATGCTTTCACCACCATTTGATGTACATGCTGGAAAGGATTACTTCAAAGCAAGAAAAGAAAGTTTTCAATGTTTTATCAAGTACATCGGCTGTTTTAGACTACCTTAGAAATAACTACGGTGTGCACTAACTTTAAAATATAAAGACTTCGATTTCATTGTTCTACAATGGGACGTTAAACTCAGAATATTTTATTTTCTATATGAAAAATGTTTTTATCTCCGAATTGTTCTTACCGGAGTCCCTCAGATGAATGTATTTACAATGTTTTAACATGTTCTTAATAATAAAGCTGTACAAATGTTGCATAGGACACAGTCGTGCCTGAAATTATTAAAGTCCGTGCAATATCACTTCATGTTGACATTCGTTTCAATAGGGTGTACTCGAGACCTGTAGCTAATAGCCAATTTAAAATCTTCAGTGATCATTTAGTTACGTATAGTTCCTTCAAAGTGATATCTGTAAGATTTTTGGAACCAAGCACTCCTTTGGTGTCCTACGTGTATCTGACATGGAATACATGCGGCTTATTAAACAATGGAATAAAAAACGGTTGAAAAATACATTTTACTAAGAGATTTGAAAAAAGATGGTACGTTTAAGTGATCTGAGAAGGAGTTTCAATGAGAAAGGATAGGGATAGAGATAACTGCCCTCCTGGCTATGGGGCAGGTCAGGTTGGTAGATCTGGAGCAGGGCAGTCATGGTATGGTGGTATGAGACCCAGGCCTTCTCTATATATGCGAGACATACAACTTTTTAACCCAGGAAAATCTCAAAAGTTGGGGGTCGTCTTATACGGCGAGTATATCCCAAACTCTATATTTTAACTGGACTTACATCATAGGAGCCTACACAACACAAAACACTGTTGTTGTATGTAGGTTTTCTTTTGTTTTTTATCTTCTCTTATATTTTGGAAATGTACATCCAGTTTTTTCCCTTTAATTTTTTTAGGGGCCCCCAAGAGTGTGGGGCCCTATGCCAGGCTTCCTCAACCTCGGCCCTCCAGATGTTTTCAAACTACAATTCCCATCATCCCTAACCACTGGTCCTGCTAGCTAGGGATCATGGGAGTTGTAGGCAAAAAACATCTGGAGGGCCACAGGTTGAAGAATCCTGCCCTAAGCTATAGCTTGTTTAGCTTATACGTAAATCTGGCACTGTATAGGGCGGTATATAAATTCAATCAATAAGTAAAATAAATAATAATAGCCAGTGAATGCAGAGGCTGTAAGTTTTAAACCAGGTATCCCCAAACTCGGCCCTCCAGATGTTTTGGGGCTACAATTCCCAACATCCCTGACCTTTTTATGAATGGGTGGGATTTGTGCTGCAAAAAGAGGACAGAGCCTGCTTTTGATTTCTTAACCGCAGTTAAGCGATTGCCCTATTTATGTTTCCACTGACTTCTTAATAGCTTGTGGGCTCAGTTGCCATATACCAGGCATAGGCAAACTCGGCCCTCCAGATGTTTTGAGACTACAGTTCCCATCATCCCTGACCACTGGTCCTGTTAGCTAGGGCTGATGGAGTTGTAGTCCCAAAACATCTGGAGGGCCGAGTTTGCCTGTGCCTGCCATATACCATGTAATCCAGTGGTTTGCATTACTCAACTGGATGGGGATCAGAAATTCATGTTGGCGTGTAGATAATGACACTTGCCTATTCCAGTTTTCTGGTGTAGGTTTTTTATGGTAGCTGTAAATATTTAATAATGTGTTCTGCCCTCCAGATGTTTTGAGACTACAACTCCCATCATCCCTGACCACTGGTCCTGTTAGCTAGGGGTGATGGGAGTTGTAGTCCCAAAACCTCTGGAGGGCCGATTAGGGGATGCCTGTTTTAAACCGTGCCTCCCTTGCACGAAGAAAACTAGCAGGCCAGGGAGGGACGGAGGGAGCTTCTACCATCTCTCTGGGCCTGCCGCTTTTCTCCTGGCAAGGGAGGCCCGCTCGCTTTCCGCCACGGAGCGGGGTCCGCCTCGGTCCCCTCACACACAGCCGGGTTCGGGCCTCCTCTCGAACCAAAGCGCCGCCGGGGCTTCGAGCGTCGGCGAGGCCTCCCATTCGCTGCCAGGCCCGCGCTCCCCGCCTTCTCCCCACCCGGCTGTTGGGGCTCCGCCGCTCGGCCCGCCCGGCCTCTTGCAGCCGCGGCTCTTTCCCCCTCCCTTCGCCCCGCAGTTTCCGCCGCCGCCGCCCCCGCCGACTCGCGTGTGGCGGGCAGAAAGCGGCCCTGAAAGAGCTCGCGGAGCTGCGGGTCGAGGCCGCAGGACCCCGGAGGACGCCTCGCCCCCTTCGGGTGATGAAGGCAGGAGGGAAAAGGCCGCAGCAGCAGCGCCTCTTTGGAAAGCGAGGTAAAAGAGAGGAAAGTTAACCCGGGGTCCGTCCTCCCCACAACGGCTGCAGAGGCTTCCCCTCAGAAATGGTGGCGGAGGGGAATTTCGAAGCGTGAAAGGGCCACGAGTATTGGGTACCCCGGGGTGGGGAAGGGGCGTGTTGTACCCCGGGGTGCGTGTGAGGAGAACGAAATCTCTTCCCGACACGTATCTGTGGCAGTTAACGGCGTGACAGAATCGGATTCACCCCTTGTACTCCGGTCGACAGACTCGGGGGCGGCAATGGGGTCGTTTGAACGCGGACTGCAGGGCTTCCCCATATCCCATAGATCGCTCTCTTTGGGGAGCGGGGCCGGGTCCATTTCATTTCATTTCATTTCATTTATTTTATTTCATTTCATTTTATTTTATTTTATTTTATTTTATTTTATTTTATTATTTTATTTTATTTTATTTATTTTATTTTATTTTATTTTTAATTTAATTTTATTTATTTATTTATTTTGCCCAATGTTGAACTGTCACGCCGGAAGCCCTTGTTTGTGTTGGGGGTCACATTAATCCGAAGCTCTTCAGCCTGCCTTGTCTGTTTTGAAACCATGGTGATCTCTAACCGGGGTTTTCCGTCTCTGCAGATCCCTCACAGATAAGATGACTTTCCAGTGGACAGCTGTTGCAGCCTTTCTCTATGCCGAAATAGCAATATTACTCTTGCTCTGCCTCCCGATTATTTCTCCTCTGAGGTAAGGATATTGCCGCAGGGGAAATGACCTCCGTTTCATCAGAAAATAATGGAAAGAGAAAGTACAGATTGGATTGCAACATTGGCAGCAGGGTTTAGGACTGCCTTTTGCAAATTATTTTGTGCTATAAGCCTACAGGTTCCATTCTTCGGTATTTATAAGAGCGTTTAAAAAGCTGACTTGATACTTATGTTGTTTGCTCCAGGGGCCAATATGTATTCACAGGTTGCCCCCCTCCCCTTTTCATCTTTGCGTAACAGACAAAATAGCTGTGCTGAATCTCCCCAAAGCAATAAATAAAATAAGCTGAACTACTTCCAGTGAGAAGAATGCCTGCTGGTGATAAGACAATCAAAATGGCAACTTTAAAAACTCTTTATTTATTATTTGTATATATTACCTTTGTTAAGTTTTTTTTCATAATTTCGTGTGTGTGTGTGTGTTTGGGTGGTTTTTTTGTTTATTTGTTTGTTTGTTTTTTAAATTCTACCTCTGATGCTGCTCCCACAATAATCTTAACAAAAGCATATAATAGGCATTGAAAATTTGTAAGATTTAGAACTCCATCGGTCACACGGTAGTAACGTTAATGCCATTGTTTTGCTGATGATGCTCAGACGAGCTTTTTACAAGTGTGGTCCTTGATCAGAATTAATATTGCATTGACAACAGTAATTGATAGTGGTCCATTGCCAGTGGTGATGTATTAGAATCTTTGGTCATGGTAGCAGTGGTCTTCTTTGCATCACAGTAATTAGAATACAAATACTGTGCTGTTTGCTTGTATATATTTTCTGAAGAGAATCTATATAATAGTAACATAATAAAAAATAATAATTAATTCCTCGCCCATCTGGCTGGGTTACCCCAGCCACTCTGGGCGGCTTCCAACACATAAAAATGCAATAAAACATCAAACATTAATAGTAACAATCTGATCCGATATAAAAGTAACAATAATTTTAAAATAAACAACTTATATCAAACAAAGCAACATTCAGCAATACATCAGAATCTAATAGTAAACAGTAAAATTAAACACCAATAAATAATAATTAAACAGTTCACAGTTATCAACCACAATAAAGAATTACCAGTCTACAATCAATAAAAATAACAGCAAATCACAATGCATAAAATACTACAAAACTGTGTAAAACAGGCATCCCCAAACTTGGCACTCCAGATGTTTTGGGACTACAACTCCTTTCACCCCTAGCTAACAGGACCAGTGGTCAGGGATGTTGGGAATTGTAGTCCCAAAACATCTGGAGGGCCGAGTTTGGGGATGCCTGGTGTAAAAGGATCAAATTGGGAAACAAAGACACACAACTTTGGGCTGCCACAAATTCTTAGCACAGGCAGAACTTTCTTAACTCTCCTTGACAAGTTGCCAGCTGACCAAACACTATAATCATCTTAGATTCCCTAAGTAAGTTACATCATCAACATTAATAAAGGGTTGTGTATATGAAAACTAAGATAAAGCAAAGATAATTCACGTGGAATTTTGACTATGCCTCATAGTCTAAAGCTGGATCAGAAGTGGTCTCATTAAGTTGAATGGGGCTTATTCCAAGGAGAAATTGCAACCTCAGATTTCTAAAGGGGTTTTCAAAACTCAGCAGCCTCTCTTTTTGCCACCAGTATCCTAAGACTTAGGAAGGAACACTGATTGGGATTTGAAGATCAGTATTATTTATTATTATGATTTATTTATTAGCATTTATCAGTCGCTTTATACAAAAGAAAAGTGTCAAAGCAACTTGACAGGATAAATAAAACAAATAAAAGCAATTTTTTAAAAGCCAAGAAAAGAGGCATTACATGCATCCTAACCTAATCAGACTATCTATAAAATGTTGGTATGTTCACAGCAGTGGTCATCAACCTTCATTCTTAACTGCTTGTTGCTGATTAAGAGACCTTTGTCCTTTTCCGGGGACTGTAGGTTCAGAGCTGCTTTTCCTGCTAGTCATCCAGAGTTAGGCAATATAAAGCCTGCTTCTCAGATTCTTTAGTATAATTTTAGCTTTGTTTAAAAAACAGTTTTTGCTAAAAGTGACTAGATGCAATAAAGGACAAGGGCAATGTACCTATATCAATGCCACCAGTTGAAGGTTTGATTATGCATGTTACTGTGATAGTTTTACTAACAAGATAATTGAAGGTGTGATTTAAATACACACATCAAGGGATTTTCGTCTTCAGAATAAGGCTTTAAGAGGATCTGAAAGCAGCAAATTAGTCTCATTAAACCTGGATGCTAAAGATACCTAGTCTATCTCATTAGAAGCAAGCAGCCTTGGCAGGTCTAGACTCTGAATTCCATAAGTTATACCTGTTACCATCATTGTAGCTGTAATGTGATGAACAAAGGGATTTTCTATCTGTCAGTTCTTGGAGATACAGGAACCTCCTCAGGGCTTGGGCCCAGTAATACTGTCTGTACTATATTGCAGAATTTTTGTGTACTGTATACTTGCAACTACAGAGAAATTGCATTTTCATTTCAAGCTGTACAGTACGGTTGCATATTGTGTGCAATTAACTTGCACAATTTCAGCCTTATGCAGTTGAAAGCTGGCCAGCTGAAATCCCACAAATTAATTACACAGAAGGCAGACATCTTAAAACGCCTTTGCACTGGGTTTTCTCAGCATGGAAAGAGCTTTTAAGCTTTCTTTCTTGCTTACCGGGTTCTGTAATGCTCTCATGAAATCCTGGACAGTCCTGCAAGATCTTGTATGAATACCCCAGAATGTCTGTGAGAGCATCCTAGAGCCTGGTAAGCAAGGCAGAGAGATTATGATGATGATGTTTTATTAACTTTTTATACCACCCTTCATCCAACAATCACAGGGCAGTTTACAATATAAAATACATGCCACAATAACAAACAAAAACAACACCCCACCTCCCGTTTAAAAGTTCTCTGTCTTTCTTGGATAGTGAGGATGGTCATGTGGGGGCGGTTCCAAGGGGGTGGTTTGAGTATACAGTACATATTTTTGCATATATGTGCCCCCCCTAAGCATAACCCCCAGGCAAGATGCCATTGTACTGTACTGTAATTTTAAAAGGTGCTGAAAAATTATTCAGTGGATTATAGTGTGCACTTCATAGTAGTCTTTTTACAAATGAAGCTTCTTTCAAACACTGCAATTTTGTTTTACAGATGGGAGAAGGTTTTTATGATCTCTGTGTGGAGCAGAATCAAAAACTACTGGAACAAGGGGTTCCTTACAATTATAGTTCTGTTAATTGTTTTATTTCTGGGTGAGTTGGATATCTCTCTTGTTTGTATTAGTATTCATATGCATGTAAGTAAACCAACAAAGTTAATGTGTTTGAGGGATTATTATATTTACTGTGAGTTATCTTTGCTGTGAATAGTTTGAGAAACCAAACAAAAAAGTTAGTGTTACACTTTTTGAATCTGAGGCTGTAACAAGCCATATTCTGCTGGCATGTTAGCAGATAACAAAACAGAATTCAGATTTGGTATGGGAAACCCAGTGAACACTTGTGGCAGGAAGTGATTTTGAAGTAATCAGTAGGCGGCGCTATTTCTCTTTGGAGTAATGCTTGAACTAAAAGGAAAACAGTTGCGCAATGAAGTTTCTGGGAATTTTACTGAGCTCTGTCATCACTGAATTTGTTTTTTTGGAGGAAGGGAAATAGCATTGCATTTTAAGCTACTGCTAAATATGGAATTGAATGTGTTCCCTGATGATTACAAAGTTAGCTGTATCTTGTAGCTTGTGGTTTTTAAGTGCTATATATTAAACATCTGTTAAGAAAAGCCATCCTTTTAAAATATAAGGAACATTACTATTTTATAAAATTGCTTAATCATAAAGCTTGCTGTAGGTTATAGATTATTTCCGTGGTCATTACTTGATAAACAGTCAAAGTCCTTGCTCTGTGCCCACAGAAAGTACAAATCTACTTCCAGAGGGATTCCCACTGCCAGTAGCCAGAACAGGGCAGCTATACTAATAAAAGTTAAAGAAGTTTTATCGGGGGAGGGGGGACAAAAGCTTTTTGATGCAGAAGCATTATGTACAATAATTGATAAAAGAAGGCAACGGAAAACAAATGCAAGTAACTCTCTCTTTTTTACTCGTAGATGCTGTAAGAGAGGTGAGGAAATACTCAAATGTTAACTTAAGTGACAAAACTGCACATACAAGTGCCAATGCATTGGATCACATTCAAATGAAACTTTTTCGGTCACAACGAAATCTTTATATCTCAGGATTCTCTCTGTTTCTTTGGCTGTAAGTATAGTTATGTACTACTTACTACTTAGTAATTCTGTCTTGTGCCTCTTGTAAGAAACTTGGTCCAAAATGGAAAAAAAAGCATGACTCAAACCCCAAGTTTGTAAAAATAATAATAATATGCAAGTTGGGTGAGCGAAAATGGAGGGTAATGGTGATTTATGCATGTTTGAGAGAGACAGATTTACTAATGGAAGTAAATAATTAAAAAGGATATATTAAAGTGAATATGGGGAAATGAATATGACTCCCCCAAATGCTGTATTCTGAATTAATACAGTCCTCTCACTGAATTGTACTACAGTGGTACCTCGGGTTACATACGCTTCAAGTTACATACACTTCAGGTTACAGACTCCGCTAACCCAGAAATATTACCTCGGGTTAAGAACTTTGCTTCAGGATGAGAACAGAAATTGTGCGGCGGCGGTGCAGCGGCAGCAGGAGGCCCCATTAGCTGAAATGGTGCTTCAGGTTAAGAACAGTTTCAGGTTAAGAACGGACCTCCGGAACGAATTAAGTACGTAACCAGCGGTACCACTGTATTTCAGAAGACAGATGGTAGTATCGGTTGTTTCAAAACACTGCCTCTTGCATCATAATTTTTCTGCAGATGAAAGGCTTGCTAATAAGGTTCTCATATGTACCTCCCATGGTACTGTGATCCTGTTTGTTTGAATAGGATTGTATTCTAAAATCCTATTCTGAAGCTGGATGACTCTAGGATTTAACACAACAGATATTCTGATAGAATACCCCAAATGCACAGGTAGAACATTAGCAAAGCAGCCAAAATTGGTTAGAGTCTCGAGTTGGACATGGGCAGTATAGAAGTTTAGGGCTGCCTTATGTCCTGGACCAGGGGTCTGCAAGGTTTATCTTGCCTGGGCCAGATAGGTCCCATGGAGATCCCTCTGTGGGCCGGATTGCACGCGTGCCCACAATTTTCTGCGCATGCGCAGACACAATTTTTGGTGCCACAGAAGCGAGTTCGGGGGCAGCTCTTGGTCCGGTCAAACGACCTCTGCAGGCCGCTTCTGGCCCATGGCCCTTAGGTTGCTGACCCCTGTCCTGGACATTACCGGGATTTCAAAGGATGTGATGCCTGGGGGGATTTCCGGAAGGCAACGGTTTGTCCTGGATCTTTGGCAATTTAACTGAGGAATCAACACTATATTGTATGTCGCAAGCATGGGAAACCCATAGGTTGAATGTGGGCCACAGGCAGATTTTATCTGGCCTCCAGTTCTTGCAGTCATAACCTGATGGTTCAGTAGGGAGGAGAAAGGGCTTTGCCTTTGTGCAATTGCAGCTTGTTCCTCTGCAAGTAGATCAAAGCAATGTCTCTGCAGACTTGCATTCCTCACAAGTATAGGAAAAGTAGTACAGAAAATTTCATGCAATTTTCAGGCTGCAATTGCATTTTAAATAGCTATAAAACAGGGCTTGGAGTTCAGCAGTACATTGACCTTATTTGCACTCTTCAGGGATTACTGTTGAGATTCTACCTCGCACACAGTCAGGCCCAAGAAAGGTTGTTGGAGAACTTTGGTTTTTTTCCAAACTTCACTTTTTAAGCCTGTGAGGAAAGTAAAAGGTGAAACTCTAGTGGAGCTACTAAGAATTAAACATATGCATCTATTGTAATGAAAAAATAGCTTTTTTTTTGCATATGATTTTGTGTGGGTGGAATAGTTACTGATAGTTTTTCTCTGGGGTAAGGTGACACTGCTCCTGAAAAAGGTTCCTCACTCATTCTGTACTCCTGCAGTCTATGGCCATGATATGTCAGTTCTGGGCTGTTCTGGCATTTCCTTGTTTGCTTCTCCTTTCTCCACATACTAAGTTCATTCCGTTGGCATAACTGGCATATCTCTTTCCCTGAGCACAATGTGAGTATGTATAGGATTTCTATGCTCTCTGATTTAACTGCAACTAGCGAAACTGAAACTACCTTTACTGCTGCGGAGTTCAGACACTAAACCAGGGGAAAGAATGGTGGCTAATGAGATGTATTTTTAACATTGTCAGAAAGTATTTTTATTTTCTGAATAGCGGTGGCTATGTGGCAATAACTGGGGCTCACATCTAGTGTTTAGATAAAATGACTTCAAAGCACCTGGCCAATCTAGGTCCTGGTTCAGCTGCAAGTTGTAATAGCATCTTAAAAAATAAAGCAGTTCATGTTTCACATAACAGAGCATCTTTTCTCAGCATTTAAAGTAAAAAGTTATTGAAGACTTTAAAAAAAATTATAACACGACTTATACATTGATACTGTATTCTTTTCTAATGGGTTCATGGCTTTTCTGGTTTCCACAGTGTACTGAGACGTACCATTTCCCTTATCACTTCATTGGCAAAAAAGATGGGAGACCAGAAAGCTCTAGAAATGGAAGTAGAAAATATCAACAAAGTTGCCAAGAAGTGCTTGGAAGAGAATGAAAAACTTCAAGTATGTTTCACAGTTGAATGGGTTGTGTTTTGTTTTTAAGTGCATTTTACCACTTTGACCCGGTTCGCATGCTGCTCTAAGCTAAGAGTGAATGCGTGAGTATGAGAGTTCCTGGAGAGGAGAAAGGGACTGCGTTGATCCATCTGTAGTGTTGCTGATGTGAGCTAAGCCATGGTTTGGCTTAGCATGTCACCTGACTGCAGGTTGTGGTTTGTCCCACTTCATACAAGCCACTTCAGGTAAACGAATGACAACTCGTAGTTTGGCCATCGTATTAAGCGTGTGTGTGTGTTTTAAAGAAAGTCATACTAGCCTTGTAAATTAGACCTGGGTGCTATCCAGCCCCCCGCCCCCATGACAATAACAATTTGTCCTAAAGCCATAAAGCAAACATTTTGCAGTATTGAGGTGATATTGTTTAATCATCCGTCACCTTTCTGTATAGATACTGAAAGGCTTGTTTGGAATTTTTGTAATCTATTTTGCATATATTTACAAGACCCTCAGACCTCATGGATTTTTTTTAGAGAGCTCACACTAAAATCCATTAACAATTTTGACACAAAACATTAGTCATACCTTCATATCTCTATCACTTTTCAAGCAATATAAAAGTGGAACAAAGTTTTTTTAGTTCCCTCAGCAGCTCAGAATCTGTTTGGCGCTGCTTCCTTGGCGCTGTTTGGCGCCTAGTCTAGAGGAACATGATGCTAGAATACACTGAGTCATTTCTGGTGAGGGACTCCAGTTCTGTGCTTGTTTTCTTTGTACAGAGATTTCTTAATACAGGGAATCATTTAAAAATATCTGATCTTCAGAATTTGATCAACTCATTCTCCCCCCCTCCCTCCTCAGTGTCTCTCATATTCTGAGGTGGTCACGTTCATCTGCTGCATGTGTAAACCAAGAGTGATTCTACACTAGGTGTTTGTTGTGGAATTGCTTTGTTTGCTTGCTGTTTATGGGTCATCTGCATGTTGTTCCCATCAAAATCATCCTCCAGTGTTTCCTCTATGCTTCTTCTGTCTTTTTCAACCTGCACAAAATCAATTTGGGGGAGGGGAGAGCACAACAGTAGCTTAATCTCTGCAGCTAATAGATTGTCTTAGCATTAGTTTTGAGATGTGCTGGGTTAAGATTAGGGTCAGTGTGATTAAGTGAGTTGTCTCACCCTTAATTCCCACCAGTAGTGTGGATGGATGGACACACAGACACACACAGTTCTATACCCCTCTGAAGTATAGAAAGTCAGTTGTAATTCTCCACCTAGTTTACAGTGGAATTACGATGAGTGGGTGCCGTTAGGAACTGCTAATCTGGAAGCACCCCAAGCCTTAATTTCACATGGGTAAAGACACATTGTCACTTTCATCGCTATAATTGTGTTTCATTTTGGTAGCACAGAAAATATTAAACAGATGGCAGGCATAGTGTTACATACTTGGGCTGTGAGCCTGTTCACCTCATCCTACACATGATGATCCGTGTTCATACACACAGATTAAACATGGAGATAGAAACTTTGGTGGTCAGTTGTTTAGAATGGAGGGAGGAAAAAAGGCTCTGGATTCAGATTCCCATCACCATAAAATGTAGCTGTCAAAGTCAGCCATTGAATCAACTCTGCTTGCACAGTCTCATTCCATCAAGCAAGACTATACGTGGGAAACACAAATGCAACCACCCAGAGTGGCTGGGGAAACGCAGCCAGATGGGTGGGGTATGAATAATAAAGTTATGATGATTATTGTTGTGTGTGCGGTATCCAGTTTTGCAGGAGAAACACATTTATGAAATGCATATGAATCCTCATGGCTTTTTACAGCATACGTAAAATGGTCCAGGGGTGAGATCCAACATAGTTAAAATGAATGTCCGGTCATGTATTAGGGCATATCCTTCCTCTTCACTCCCTATGCACATCCAAAACTTGCACTGGAAGGTTGGGGGACCTTCCAGTTTAGATTGGGGGGAATGAGGGGGGTGGAGAAGCCAAAAGTCCTATTACTCAAGCAGCTAAACATCTTTGCACGCTGTCCAGATTCCCTGCTTGAAAGAGCTCTTAATTGAAAGTTACACTGGCAATTAAATGGAGGCTCAAAAAGGCAAGGCCAAAAAGAGATGAATGTGTCAAATATAGTTAAAGTGTCAAACTTGAACAAAATGAAGAAGACGCCAAACCTTTTGACTTACTAATTATAAAGATTTTAACATATCATATCTGTAACTGTAAGTTAGTAATTAATGCTTTCTTTCTTTTTGTTTGTTAAGGCATATGTAAATATATTATTCTAGAAATTGGGTTGGTCTCTAATATTTTGAATTGATAGGAAGTCCATAGCAGCAAAGGCCTTTATTCGGGATCAGGTAAAGGTTAATACAGAAGCATTCATAGCGCTAGGGAAAATTAAATGAGAACCTTTGTTTATAAAACGATGGGTCTAGGTGAGCAGAAAGTGTGTTATGCAAATTACTGTGTTTCTTCCAAACCACCATTGAAGGAAAAAAAGCAAAATGTAGGCTCTGCTTTTTATTGCACCTGTTTCACTTTTTCTTATTGTTACAATTACTTTGAAACAGTAATTGTAATCAGGAAAAGTAACTAATATTTTTTCCTTTTACCAGTCAATGAAAGCTAAATGTGACATGGGAGAAGTGTCCGATGAAGAGCTACAGGAAGAAGTGAAAAAGCTGAAAGACGAATTAAAGAAAACTTCACATGGTACTTTTTTGCCATTTCACACTGCTTTATCTTGTGGTTTTCTGTGTTGAAAGCCCCCAAAAGAGGGTTTTGACCATAAAATATTGTATAAAAGGTACTTTGTCGGTAAAGGGCTGGGTGATGGCCCAGATTTGTGCCATGCAAGGGCAGAAGAAAACCAATAACAGAAAAATCAAAGACATAAAGATTGGGCCTGAGGTCAGGTCTTTGTGCTAGTATGAAGAAATTACTTTTAAAATGTGCAACATTAGAAACTCTGAAGTTATGAACTGAAAGTAACATTTCTTTAAGAGGAACAGAAGAGACCCAAAATTGTTCTCCTCCTCTCGTAACAAGACCCCCCCTCACTTATTGTTTGCTTCTGTGTTTGACTTGGGCTGTCTTGATGAAACAACACTGAGATAAGGCAGATTTTTTCCTGGTCGTGTGTGTTAGTTCTGGATCTTGCAAGATCTGTTACCCTTCTGTATATTTACTAGGCTGAAATGAAGGTCTTGTATAGCATTGCTCCTGACCTTGTGAAGCCCAGACAACTAAAATGTACTTCTTTGACTGTGTGCAGAACATTGCATAACCATTATGTATTTTAAAGCAAACTTACAAATGCATCCATTTCAAAATCCTAGCTGGAACAACTCTCTATCCTAGTTTATACTGACTTTAGTGAACACTTTCAAACCCACTGAGAATTTTTGCCAGTTAGGATGAGTGCATTCCAAATATTTAATTGTGAGGTTGATTAGAAATAAGAACACATGAACATATGTATTCTGGCTTTCATTCAGGAAGCTCAAAATGTTTTTTTTTAATACCACCAGCCCTGCAAGTTATAAATACATAGTGAATCTCTCAGCTGAATACAGATTATTGTATCCAGATTTTGGAGGCTTTTAAAATAATGCTGCCATCACATTTTTATTCTATGCAGAAAGAGTTTCCAAGTGAAACTAAAGCTACAATTCCATCCATAGCATTCTGAAAGTGCCCAAGAACACTATCGAAATTCAGTGGACCCATGGCCAAGAATCTCAGTTAAACAAAGCATTTTCTTTGTGAGAAATTGTGCATCTTCTGTGGATTTTATATCCAGAACTACAATTTTGTGCTTTAAACATTAAAGTCTTAGTAAGTAAAACGGTTTATTGATTGTGCGGAGAGGAGTGCAGTATAGTTAAAAATGCATAAGAATTCCATTAGAATTAAAGGGAGGGTAACCCATCTTTAAAATTATAATCCATAAAACCCATGGAGCCACCCACAGTCTCCTTAATTGCAGCAGCACACCACTGAGAGCATCCAGCAAAAGCTCAGGCAAACAGATCAGTCTTTATCTGGCCCTGTAATAATAAAAGCATCAGTACCAAGTGTACTTCTAGGGTGAAGGCATTCAAAATTCAGGGTGCCACCCTGAATCACCTCTTAGTGTAGTATTCCAAAAGGTGTGACAACAACCACAGCTCCCCCTGAAACTAAGGAAATATGATACAGGGAGAAGAATTGCTTCAGATATTTGGGTCCCAAGTTGTTAAAGGTAGTTATTGTCAGTACCCCGAATTCAGCCTTGAAATATATGGGTAGCCAATGCAGATCTTTCAGAATCAGTGTGAAAGTGATTCTAGCTACCTGCTCTGGTCAGCATTCTGGCAGCCATGTTCTGTACTAAATGTGGCTTCTGAGTCATTTTCAAGGAGAATTAGAGCTGGGTGTCACCAGCGTACCATTGGCACATTTCTTCCAATCCCCTGACGGCATCCCACAGTAGCTTTTTATAGACGTTGATCATGGGGGACAAGATGGAACCTTATGGGACCCCAAACTACAACTGCCTTAGAGGCTCCACAGGTCACCCAATGCTAATTTCTGAAATCTGTCCTGTAGGTAGAAATGGAACCACTGTATCACTTCACCCTCAGCTTCTAACCCATAGAGCCAATCCAGTAAGATACCATGGTTGATGGTAACAAAAGCCACTGAGGAAGATCAAGGAAAATCGATAGGGATATCTTCCCTCTGTCCCAACGAAAAGTGCCTGTCAGGGTGACCAAGGTCATCTCAGGGCTAGAAGTGAGCCTAACCCGGATTGAAATAGGTCTAGTTATTTCACTTCTTCTAAGGGCGCCTGGAGCTGTCTGCCTGCCACCCTCTTAAGCATCTTACCCAAGAAGGGGGTGTTAAAAAGAGCCAAAAACAGATTAAAACTTGCATCTACTTTCTGAACATATGGCTAAAGGTAAAGGTAAAGGTACCCCTGCCCATCAGGGCCAGTTGTGACCGACTCTAGGGTTGCACGCTCATCTCGCTCAAGAGGCCGGGAGCCGGCGCTGTCCGAAGACACTTCCGGGTCACGCGGCCAGCGTGACGAAGCTGCATCTGGTGAGCCAGCACCAGCGCCGCACACGGAAACGCCGTTTAGCTTCCCGCTAGAAAGCGGTCCCTATTTATCTACTTGCACTTAGGGGTGCTTTCGAACTGCTAGGTAGGCAGGAGCTGGGACCGAACGACGGGAGCTCACCCCGCCGCGGGGATTCGAACCGCCGACCTTTCGATCGGCAGGTCCTAGGCTCTGTGGTTTAACCCACAGCGCCACCCACATCCCTCCAAACATATGACTAGACTTGTATAAATAAATAAATAAACAAACAAAATGAAGGTGGCAAAAAGAGTATGGTGAAGTCTCCTGTCTCATATAAATTGGCAGGGAGTTCCAAAGTGTAGGTGCTGCCACTAAAAGATCAAGTTATTACAAATGCAGAGCAGGTATTATGTGGCACTTGTAACACTGCCAGCTCCTCCAGTCAAGGTGGTCAGACGATGTTGTCCCTCCCCGATATACACGCAAACTTAATTACTAGATAATCATGTCAGCATGAGAGCTGTTATGATTTGTTATGATTAGGAACTCCATCTGCACTTTAGACAATTCTGAATTCAGACACCTTTGGCAAGTCATTGTTCTCTCAGTCCATCTTCCCTATCTGCAATATGGGAATAATGTTGGCCCATTGGGATTTTGTAAAGGTTGCTGATGTGTGCATTTAAGCCCCTGAAATATGTGATAAAAATGCTTAATAGCAGCAGTATTGATGCCTGTGTTCATTTATAAATATTTCCAACACACAATGGTATACCTGTTTAATTATGAGTTTTAATTACATGCCTCTATGTATCGGGTGTTCTCAAAAAAAGATGACATTTCAAATGAGGAGGAAAAAGTAACGTTTACACAATGTTTGCTGGCTCTTATAAACAGACATAGCTTGTATACAAAATAAATGTAATAACATTGTTCTCCTTGATGAACTCTTTGCTATAGAGTTTTTCTCTGTTCATTCAGACAGCTATGCAGCAAGTTAACCTATAATGTTGCAACAACAAAGTCATTTTTATGATCAAAATTGAAAGTAGCTTTGTAAAATTCGACACTAGAACTGACACAGGAGAGGGAAAATATTGGTGTTCCTGAATGTGTTCAGTTTTTTAACTGACATTTTCCTAAAGAACCAATGGCAGGCAGTTGTCTTATTTGAAGTTTAAAAACGGGCTCTTAAATTCAGATTTAAAGGATTGAATTATGTTCTGCTGGCACAACAAGACTTTTATCTTCTCTCTGCCCCAATCCCTCCAACTTCTCTCCAAATGTGCACCTAACCATTTCCAGCTGGTTTTGAGAGTACACAGGTAGGTTGCACAGTTTCGGCATCAGAGATGGCCCAAATAATTTAAAGTCATTTTATAAAAGTTGACAAACTTGCTTATTTACTATATGAATAGGGGGCATAGAAAGGTTACATATGGACTGCGGTTTGTTCTTTCTCACTGGGCCAGTGAGGAAGAATCATGTAAAACTTGTGTTCCAGACTTCTCCAGTAGCTCTAAATCACCTAGGAGGTGTCCCATATATAGCAGCAGGTATAATAATAATAATAATAAAAATAATAAGTATGTGTTGCCCATCTGACTGGGTTACCCCAGCCACTCTGGGCGGCTTCCAACAAATTAAAACACAATACGACATCAAATATTAGCTTCACCAAACAGGTGTCATCTAAAAGTCAGATATTTATTTCCTTTACTTATGAGGGAAGGGAGTTGCACTACCGAGAAGGCCCTCTGCCTGGTTCACTGTAACCTCATTTCTCTCAGTGAGGGAACTTTTCAGAAGGCCCTTGGAGCTAGATCTCAGTGTCCGGGCTAAATGATGGGTATCATGCCCTATTCTCAAAATGACTGGGAATTAACCTAAAGCTACTCATAAGGCTTCTGTTTGTCATATAAACATGCCATGGGAATATATAACCATATCTTACATTTTACTGAGCTTGCAACCATGAACATCTCAGCAGGCAATAAATCCATGAAAGAGGATGGACAGACATTGAAACAGCATGTGCCTCAGGGAAGGGCAAGTGTCAGATAGGGGATCTTGTTAAAGCTCAGGGTGGAAAGAGTGTGGTTGGGGTGAGTAGAAACTGGCAGAAGACAGGAGAACAGCATGGGCTGGAGGTTGGAACGCTCCTGGGGAGAAAGAGGGGGGCAAGCAGAAGACAGCTTGGGGAGAGGAGATTTTCCTGCAGTCTATTGAAGGCCCATTTAGTGCATAGGGAATTTATTAACTAAAGCCTGGGCTGTGGGCCTCTGGTTTCTCTGTAGTGTGTTAGGTTATACATTCTTTCATGAATGTGTATTATATGTAAACCCAGCATTACATGTAAAATGCAAAATCATTCACTCTTTATATATAAGCAAAATTTTGAATCAGATACTGTGTTCTGGCATCCTAAAGATTCATGTTAGTGTCTTACAGTAGTTGGCAACTAAACTGCCAACATTGCCTCTGCATCAGACAGCTGAAACATTTTTTTTCATTCCTTTTATGCCCAAGGAGCTTGGGGCGATGTACAAAATACATACAATAAAAAGGTACAATAGCCAACATACTTGAAAATATTTATAAAATTCAGAACCATTAAAACACAGCAAAACCATCTGTTGCTGTTCATTATTGAAATAATCTAGCTTCTTTTTGTAAAATGCCAGAGTAAAAAAACCCACCAACTGACATCTGATCATAATAAAGCATGCAACACAAACATATCCCAGGAGAAGGGGCTTCTAGAATTGGAAGGCCTTGTTGTGCAGCCCTGTATGGTGAATCCTTGGGGGTTAGGGCATAAGCAGAGCCCCCTGCTCATTTTAATGCTTGACTTGGCTTATTTTATAGAAGTCGATTCTGTAGATATATAAGCCCTGTAATATATACACTTTAGAAGCCTTGAACCAGCCCCAGTAGCACACAGATGTCCATTGCAGTGCTTCTAAGATTGGTGTTACATGTTCCCATCTGACTGAGCAGCTTCATTCTGCAACTTCCAGGCAGTCTTCAAGGGCAGCCCCAGATACAACGCATTATAGTAACCCAAATGTAAGATTGCTAGAGCTTGGGTTACTGATTCCAGACTATCCCAGTCCAGAAATGGCCCATAGCTGGTGAACCAACATTAGCAAGCAGTAGGCACTCCTAGTTTGAGTTTGAAAATAAGTTTTTCCTGTACCCGGGTAAAATCCTTAGACATTCGGCTGGGCTATTTGTACAGCTCACATGCATTTGTAACGCATGTTTGTCTTTTGAACTACATTGGCAAATGCTTATTATAGGGCATATGTGGTAATAAGCACTCTGTTACAGGTAGCAAAAATATTTCACCTTCAAGGGACCTACAACTCACTGCTGACTTTAGGGTGCAGTGTTCCAGGCACTGCTGAACAACTTCCTTTTGTTTCGACTGAAGCTTAATGCAAGTTCTACTGAAGTGCATCTATTTTACTCTGCTAAATGTGGCTTGGGACAAATAACCTTTTCATAGCATGTAAAAAGCTGTTCAAATACTCCACTCAGATGCAGTAAAATGAAAACCCAGCCTTCTGGCAACTTCAGGGCAATTCTACCCCATTTCAGTGAGTAGGTCCACAGAAGGTTGCTTCCTATTTCTAAGGACACTGAGAACAGAAAAATCTAACTGAAATAGTGTCATTATGTTGTCCGTGGTATATTTGAAGAGAACGGAACGCCAGTATTAAATTTGTTGTATTTCTGTGTGTTTAACCATTTTGTGCACTTAAACACTATTTTATGTTACGTTTCATTGGAATATTAGGATATAGGGTGAAGTGAGCCTAGCATGATGCCATGGGCTGGCTGGATGCTGGTGGGAGGCACCAGCTGGGGAACCCCCAAGGGGGCACCCCAGGGGAAGAAGGCTCAGAGCCAGGGAAATGGTGGTGGGACAATGAGGAGTAGTTAGAGGGAGCAGACTGGGAGGTGTTGGAAGCTGTAGAGGTAACAGGGTGAAGCGGAGATTGGAGTGGAATGGGGCCAGGAGACAGACGGTCAGGTTACGGAAGAAGCTAGGGAATCTGAACTACTCACAATCTGGTATCATTGGAAAACAGCCCCTGAAAAAAAATATTCCATGCAATTTTATATAGGCACTATAGTGCTTACCTGCCCACCCACATCCCACTAACTCCCCCAGAATGTCATCTTATCGCTCTAAGTCTAGACTGAGGAAGGTTTTTTGTATGCTGGACCTTGACATTCTTCTGCTAAGAAGACCTCACCCATCCTGTCACAAGTGTATTTTTGTCAAAACATAGCAACAATGCAATAAATGTTTTTCTGTGCTCACCTTCAACTATCTCCAGATATCTTGGTTATGATTAAAGACAGGATTGTTTTTAGTTACAACTAGAGCACCTTGCCAGTCCTTCATAAAACACTCAGTAATTAGTTACTGTTGGATCAAGTTACCGAAAAATGGAATTTGCAATCTATTATAATGGCAACTTCTTTAACATGAATAAATGCTATAGAGCCAATTACTTTTATTATTTTTTTAACCCTCGGTTGCTTCTAAGATTTACACCACCTTGTGATATATTCTAAAAATAGGAGGATAATGTTCTTAATAGTACTTTTTATAATGTATTATAAAATAGGAAGGCTTTGATGTATTAAATCATATATAGTAGTCTTGCACCACCAAAACCATACTATTATAACAGAACTTGCAGCAATGCTTCACTATCTCATCTGTTCCCTACGCCACTTTCCTTTCAGTACCTGAAGCTCCTTTTTCCTTCCACCAGCACACAGGTCTCTAGACGTGACGTTTTTCTCTTCCAAGCTGACCTTTCACATTTTTCACACAAACTTCAGCATTCTTCTGTATCCCCCTTATGCAGTTAGTATGTGTTGAACATCAGTTGTGTAAAAGCAGCTCACGCATTGGCAAGGATTTCCTGTCATGCGGCAGTCATTTGTTATCCTGTTATATAGCACTGTAATCTTAAAAAAAACAAAAAACAAACCAGGTATCATTTAATGCACAAGTATTTTGTCCTAATGCTGTTATTCATGTGTTGAATAATACTACTCCTATGTTATGCAGCTCTCAGCAAGGCCAAAGATGACTTTTCTACAACTCAGAAGCGGTGTGAAGGCCTTAGAAAAGAATATGACCAACTTACTAAAGAATACAACAGAATGCAGGTAAGGTGGTGGAAGCAGTTGATTTGCTCGAGCAAGACTTCCTGGAATTAGACTAGCCGTGTTGTGTGTGTTGAATCCAAAAAAAAAATTATCAGACAACAATCTTTAATTCTGTGTACGTCTGGACAATGTTCTTTCAGAATAATGAGAATACTTAACTCTTAAGTTTTCCCAGAACAGTTGTTGAACTGGAACCTACTTTGTTTTAAAACAAACGTGAATTATTTCATCAATAATATTGTATGTTCCTTGAATAGTAGCACAGAGGAAGAGGAAGAAACTCAAAAAAGGGGTTTCCCCTTCTTTAAAAAGATTCTGAATTTGGTTCACATGTCACAGTAAACCATAAACCATCATGGTTTACAACACGCAAGTATGTCACCCCTGCTTTTCACTCACATGGGGAGGAAACAAGCAACAGTATGCCTAAACCATTTCTTTATTTTGTTAATTTATAATTTGCCTTTCACATGTATCTCAAGACAGTTTAGAAACATACCATGAAAACTGCTGAAAATAGTTTTGAAAGTCAACTAGAGATAGGTTTAAACCTCAAGATCATGGTTTGCTTCACTCCCAGCAAGCCATGATCTTTGCCAAGGTTTGCTCTCAGCTTACTAATCATGCTTTGATCCCTGGTTCCAACATAATGTTAAACCAGGGATTGTGTTTTGTTTCTTCTGCCCGCTAGCTGGGAGGAACAAAACAGCCCAGATAGGAATATTCACAATAAACAAGTTAGAGTTGAGCAAAACCATCAATTGTAGCTATTAGGGTACTTTTTACAAGGCTAATTGCACTGGCGGAGAGGCAATTTTGTGACACCTTTATGCTGACAGTGCTCCTTCATACTGCAGTAAGACTTGAAAAAGACTTCTATTGGAGCCAACAGAAGGCTTCTTTGAAGCTTAATTGTTGAGGAGACAATTTTCAGAGGGGATAGTCACAGCTGGAGAGTTTAGCCTTCCCTTCTTCACTGCAACCCCCCTCCCCTGCCACACTTAGGCTTGAATGAAATATTTTATTGGCTACAGTAGAGAGCTTTTCCTATCCCAAGCCATTGTTGGGAGTTCGTATCTTCCTCAAGATTGCAGCCTTTTTCAAACCTTTTTTTAAGGTGGGGAGATGGAGAGGGGGACTGTGCATGTGTGAGAGTTTTCACGTGTGTGTGTGTGTGTGTGTGTGTTTGCTTGCAGTGGAGGATGAGTGGTGCCCACAACAGTTTCTTAGGTTTCCAAACATGCCAGGGATTGGCAGCCTATAGTGTACACATTAACTCTGTGGTCATCCTGATGCACAAGTTACCCTGTATAAAGATAGCTTCACTCCTTTTCTCACATGTGTCTCCTTACCTTTACAGTGTTCTTCAGGTGGAAAACATGATAAGAAAGGCCAGTAAATGCAGCAGAAGGACATCATTAATACACGTGCATCAACATGAATCGTCTCTTGTTCCTGTCTTTACTCTCCTAAGCTTTGTAAAAACAAGGTCTATTTTCTTTAAAGGGAAATGCTCTGCGTTCGTAGCTGAAACGCTAGGTTGCCAAACATATTTTATTTTGCAATGGAAATAGTGGCTAGGATCCAAAGACCTACTTTACTTGTGTCAAAGGCGCAGTGGATGTTTTGCTTTGATTTTTGTTCTTGTTCTTATTTGAATGGCAGATTCCCATGGCATGTCACACAAACTCCATTAAGCTGCAAAAGAGATTTGCCATGTCTCATGGAGGGCTGGTGTTCAAGAAATACAAGTCCATACCTCCTTTGAGCACACAGCTCTATTTGTGTGGTTATTTGGATGCAGACCAGTAAGTGGTGTGCTGTCAGTATACTGTGAAGAATCTTTTTAAGCCTATAAGGAAAATGTAAAGCAGTTTAAAATGGAAATTTCCATTAACCACTGTTCAGTTTCTATCCACTGTTTTACACTGAAACTGAAAAAGGTAGGAGATTGTACAACCGCCAGCTATAGTAATGTAGAAGAGGCTTTTTAAACTACATCAAACCATGATGCTAGAAGAATAAGCATAGTGAAACGTGCTACATCCAGATAACTTGACAAACAGTAAAAAGCATTAAAATAAATTTTAAAGGACTTCACATTTAATTGCATAGTTATTTATAGTTGAGAGTTTCTTCTTTCCCCATCTTTAGATTTTTACTATAGTATACTTTACTTCATGTATTCAAGAATTTTAATATGTTGTATTTCCTTTCTGCAGTGGGTGATACCCCTGAAATACACATATATGTAACTTACAAAACAGGCTTTTTATGGTGATTAGTTATTTGTGACATTTGTTTCTTTCTTAAAACCTTCATTATCTGCAACTGAAAAGTTTTATTTTTATTTTTTTACATTGGTTCCAGTATGCTGCTTGGATGTTGATTTGTTAATAAAAGAGATTGTTTAAGCTTGGTTTATCTTCCTACGTGTCTTAACTTGGAATTCATAAACAACAAACTGCTGTGTTTACTTTGCTCCTGTGACAGTGAAATAATTCCATAAGAATTTATTTGGGCAAAACTAGCCCAAATAGATACCATAGTACACTCTGTAAGGGAGGAACTGGTATTTTTATTTAAAAAAATCAAAGATTTAGAGCGGTGCTTCTGTATACTAATACCAAAAAGTGCAATGAGTATGCAGAGTTTCATGTTTATATGCATCTGAGCTTGTTGGGGAGAATGTTGTTTGTGTAAGTAAATTTTTTGTTTTGTGTTTCTCTAGTTTCTTCAGCATATGAGAGAAAATTGAAATCTGTTGCATTTGAGTCTGCTGATTCTCTCTTGAAACCTGCGCCCACATGTTTGCTGTTTAAATACCATTATGATGCACTCCATTAAGCTGATCTTGCAAATTCTGGGGACTGTACTGAACACCAAATTTTTATTGCAAAACTTAGTAAAGGCACTGCCAAGTTATGACAATACGTTTGTTGAGTTCTTGCATTAAAGATCTTGCCTACTCCATGACCTGTAGTGGTGATATATTGCTGTGACAATATATATTTTCTGTGACAACTGCTAGTCTGAAGGATGAGGATACAACCTGAGGATCTGGTTAGATATGGTCCCCCTCACAATGAAATTTGCCTACCACTGTGTTTTTATGTGCAATACTTGAAATCTCAACCAGTGGAAAGTGCATTTGTTTGGGATTTTATGGAACTTCCATTTGCGCTAGCTCTTGTCCTTTCCCCACCAATTCCCCGTGCTACTCTTTGAAGTAATATGGAACAACACAATCCCACTGTGTCTTGCACACCTGAAATCAGGGGAGCAGGGGATTATCTACAAGGTCTTGTCCATGGGTGCAAACATCAATGAGTGGAGGGCAAGCAAAGTGATATGATGAGACAAGATGGTCCCAGACAAGAAGGGTGACCACAAACGCAAGATACTAGTTTATCCAAATACTTTGCCTTTAGCGGTTTTATTGTATGCACAATGGCACAGACTCCATTTAAGTTAACTGCAACTGCACAAGTAATTCCAATAAATATAAAGGAAAATGTCTTATAAAAAGTTCCTGGTCAATTGTTTTGTGTGTGTGTGTGTGTGTGCGCGCACACACACACACACACACACACATATATATATATATATATATATATTAGTTGCTCTCCCATTCATCTGTCTGTTGCAAAGGGATTGGTTTCTTTAAAAGTCAGTTTTCTCCTCCCAATAGGGATATGAATTGCTGTACTGGTATTTCCCTCTCCTATGGGGCCATCAGTAGTTAGATCACATGAATACAGTGGTTAAAAAACCTCTCAGGAATTTTACAAAAATGTACAAACTGAGATGGATGTACACCAGAAGGATAGTTTACATATGTGTGGCTATGGAGTTGTTTCTTTGACTCAGCAGGAGTTCTTAAAACTTTACACCCAGTTCTTTTCTATTCACAGTTTACTTTTATTTTTAAATAAAAGAATTTCTATTCACAGTTGAAAGACCAGCCTTTTATCTTTTTCTGGTTTCCTTCATCTCTGGCCCTTTTCTCTTAGGGAAGGGAGACCTCTGTTCCTCACCTCCTGAGCCTCTGCCTCAGCCCCAAGGCTGCAGCACGCCTAGGGGACAGGGCAGATGAGGAGGCACTGGGTGGACTGTGCGACTGAGGACTACTGGTGGTCCTCAGTCCACCGTTTGAGAAATGCTGTCCCATCTCCTGAAAAAGATACTATTCTGATGTTAGCAGCAGGTGATACAAAAGTTGGCTGTGGTGATAAATAGGTAGTAGCTCTCCTATCCATGTGAAGGACATCGTACAAATGTGCTAGTAAATATCGTAGTTGATCACATATTTGAAACAACAAAAACACAGAACCACAAACAATACCTTCTGTAGGTGAACAGGCAGAAAAAAACTGAAAAAAGTCATAATGAAAAAAACACTTTTAGAAGAAGAGAGAAGAGAATGACAAGCTTAAGTTTATGACAATTCACTCTATTTTTATTGAATACAGTAAGAAGAACCTGCTATTTAAAAAAACACAGAGAGCTTTACATAAGGTGTTGTGAACTGAAGTAATGAGTAAATTTTCTCATCTATAAATGAATTGTAGGATCTAATTTAGAATCAAATTATTATATATTTGTACACATGGAAGTATGTTGATATCTTTGTCTGCGTATAATCAGTTTATGTATGATCTGCACCAGTATGCAGCTGACACCTGACCCTATTTCTCCATGTCAACCAAACTAATATAAACAAAAACAAAAAAGAGGGAGGGAGAATAATACAAAGTCCTCTTTCACAGGTTTATTTTAACTTGTCCCACACAGAGAAAGGTGAACCCTCCCAGCTCTCACCTGGGAGCTTCCCTTTCTTCTTCCACCTTCCCACCCTGGGAGATCTTCATTGTCTCTCACACAGGGTCCTTTATCAACTAACCATCACCTGCATGTTAACTCATAGAATCATAGAGTTGGAAGAGACCACAAGGGCCATCGAGTCCAACCCCCTGCCAAGCAGGAAACACCATCAGAGCACTCCTAACATATGGTTGTCAAGCCTCTGCTTAAAGACCTCCAAAGAAGGAGACTCCACCACACTCCTTGGCAGCAAATTCCACTGTCGAACAGCTCTTACTGTCAGGAAGTTCTTCCTAATGTTTAGGTGGAATCTTCTTTCTTGTCGTTTGGATCCATTGCTCCGTGTCCGCTTCTCTGGAGCAGCAGAAAACAACCTTTCTCCCTCCTCTATGTGACATCCTTTTATATATCTGAACATGGCTATCATATCACCCCTTAACCTCCTCTTCTCCAGGCTAAACATGCCCAGCTCCCTTAGCCGTTCCTCATAAGGCATCGTTTCCAGGCCTTTGACCATTTTGGTTGCCCTCCTCTGGACACGTTCCAGTTTGTCAGTGTCCTTCTTGAATTGTGGTGCCCAGAACTGGACACAGTACTCCAGGTGAGGTCTGACCAGAGCAGAATACAGTGGCACTATTACTTCCCTTGATCTAGATGCTATACTCCTATTGATGCAGCCCAGAATTGCATTGGCTTTTTAGCTGCCGTGTCACACTGTTGGCTCATGTCAAGTTTGTGGTCAACCAAGACTCCTAGATCCTTTTCACATGTACTGCTCTCAAGCCAGGTGTCACCCATCTTGTATTTGTGCCTCTCATTTTTTTTTGCCCAAGTGCAATACTTTACATTTCTCCCTGTTAAAATTCATCTTGTTTGTTTTTGCCCAGTTCTCTAATCTGTCAAGGTCGTTTTGAAGTGTGATCCTGTCCTCTGGGGTGTTAGCCACCCCTCCCAGTTTGGTGTCATCTGCAAATATGATCAGGATGCCCGTGAGTCCATCATCCAAGTCGTTGATAAAGATGTTGAATAAGACCGGGCCCAAGACAGAACCCTGTGGCACCCCACTAGTCACTCTTCTCCAGGATGAAGAGGAACCATTGATGAGCACCCTTTGGGTTTGGTCAGTCAGCCAGTTACAAATCCACTGAGTGGTAGCATAGTCAAGACCGCATTTTACCAGCTTCTTTACAAGAATATCATGGGGCACCTTGTCAAATGCCTTGCTGAAATCAAGGTAGGCTACATCCACTGCGTTCCCTTCATCTACCAGGCTTGTAATTCTGTCAAAAAACGAGATCAGGTTAGCCTGACATGACTTATTTTTCAGAAATCCATGCTGACTATTGGTGATCACAGCATTCCTTTCTAGGTGCTCACAGACTGTTTGCTTAATGATCTGCTCCAGAATCTTCCCTGGTATTGATGTCAGACTGACTGGGCGGTAATTATTTGGGTCATCTCTTTTCCCCTTTTTGAAAATAGGGACAACATTTGCCCTCCTCCAGTCTGCCGGGACTTCGCCTGTTCTCCAGGAATTCTCAAAGATGACTGCCAGTGGTTCTGAGATCACATCTGCCAGTTCTTTTAATACTCTTGGATGCAGTTCATCTGGCCCTGGAGACTTGAATACATCTAAACTAGCCAAGTATTCTTGTACTATCTCCTTAGTTATTCTGGGCTGTGTTTCCTTTGCTGAATGATTTGCTCCAAATTCTTCAGGTCGGGCATTGTTTTCTTTATCGAAGAAGACTGAGGCAAAGAAGGCATTGAGGAGTTCAGCCCTTTCTGTGTCCCCTGTTTGCATTTCACCATCTTCTCCTCTGAGTGACCCCACTGTTTCTTTGTTCTTCCTTTTGCTACGAACATACCCATAAAAGCCTTTATTGTTACTTTTAACCTCTCTAGCAAGCCTGAGTTCATTCTGTGCTTTAGCTTTTCTGACTTTGTGTCTACACGTGCTGGCTATTTGTTTGAATTCCTCTTTGGTGGTTCCCCCCTTTTCCATTTTTTGTACACATCCTTTTTTAATCTTAACTCAGTTAAAAGTTCTTTAGATAGCCACCCTGGCTTCTTTAGACACCTTCCATGTTTCCGTCTCATTGGTATTGCCTGACGTTGTGCTTTTACTATCTCCCTCTTAACAAACTCCCAGCCATCATGAACTCCCTTTCCTTTTAGTATTACTGTCCATGGGATCTCACCCAGCACTTCCCTAAGTTTTATGAAGTCGGCTTTCTTAAAGTCAAGAAATTGAGTCCTAGTATGCTTGGCTGCTCCTTTCCGCTGTATAGTAAACTTCAGAAGAGCATGATCACTCGCGCCTAATGATCCTTCCACTTCTACCCCACTAACCAGGTCATCAACATTGGTTAGGACCAGATCTAAAATGGCTGTTCCTCTTGTTGCTTCTCCCACTTTCTGGACAATGAAGTTGTCTGCAAGGCCAGTGAGGAATCTGTTTGACCTTATGCTCTTGGCTGAGTTTGACATCCAACAAATATCCGGGTAATTGAAGTCCCCCATTACTACTATCTCCCTTCCTTTTGCATGCTTGGCCATCTGTTCCAGGAAGGCATCATCTATGTCCTCTGTTTGGCTTGGGGATCTATAGTAAACTCCCTCTTGAGTAGAGGACCATTCAAAATACAAAGCCTGTAGCAGAACAGAAACAAAAATGGCAGAAGGAAGAAACAGAAGAGGAAAAGGAATTAAAAGGGAAATAAATATTAAAAATGAGTAAAAAGGACTTCCCACTATCTGCCAGCTATATCTACAAGGATTCTTCCAAATAGATGTTAAATCCAGAGTAAACTCCAGCTGTTCCTCCCTCTGCTAGGCGATGTTTTTTCCAGTCTTCATTCATCCAGGCATCTCAACTTCATTCATTCCAAACAGAAAGTCCAAAAGAGGTTATCTGGTTATTATAAACATGAACAACAGTCCAATATTAAGAAACATGCTCTGTTCTTTATGTTGTTGCACTCCTCTGGAAGAAGCATGCGTGTAGCAAAGGTTCTCCTGAATTCCACCTTGTCACTAGAGACCCAAGAATCTCCAGTGACATAGAGTGCCTTTTCCTATCTGTAGCCGGTTTTCAAGCCACACCTGTTCCTAGACAGGGATAGCTTGGCCACAGTAATTCGTACTCGGATAACTTCCCATTATTGTAATGTTCTGTATGTATATATTTATTACAACAAAACTCAAATTCTGTTACTTGTTTTGTATTGGAATAGTTCCTATTTATATTTACATTTATCTACCTGGTTCAGCCAGCAGATTCATTAATATACCATATAAGGAACAAATAAAGTAAAGATGCAGAGGGTCCACTTATTTTCACTAATGAGGTCACTGCCAACTGAAAAGAAGTACTGACAACCCTGGGAAACTGCAAGAGCTGGGGAAATATTATTTCCATAAACAATTTGTGCAGGGGACTTTGTGATTCTCTTTCAGCTAAGCATGTTGTTAAGCATGCAACTGTGAAATGGCTCAACTTTGTGCTCCAACTTCCATACTAATTAAGAATACTAGTTCAAGCACATGGAAGAATTGTCAGATTTGGGCTTTGAGTCATAGTGGTAGTGTGGAGAGCCAAACTGGAAAGGCTACCATAACAGAAAATACACAGGAGTAGAAGTGGTGACTGTTTTGGGACCAAATGTAGGGTTGGGATTTTCCAGTTTCAAATGCCACAGTTCCAGTAACTACAAGCCTACCTTCTACAGTATTTCTGCGATGACAAAGCATGGCGTCTCCTTGATACATAGTAAAACACTAACTGCAATGTGCAACTTACTTATATATTGCTAACACATGAAACTGCTGATTTGTACAACTGGTATCCAGTTTTTCCTTTAGCAAAAGTCTAAGTAACTAATAGCTATTATAGTTCCTGTTATCATATGCCTTGCATCAGGACAAAGAGAAGGAAAAGGAGCCCGTACACTTGAAGAAAAATATAAACAAACATGAGGACAAGGATACATTAGCATACACAAAATATTGGTGTTTTGAAGGCAACAACCTCCTGATTCTCTCAGCATATTAATTAGGGTATGCATGCATCCCAGTTCCTTATTCCTTTCTATATATATTGGCAATTATTGGCACAAAGGCAGTAGGCTAGTGTTTCCTGGGTGAAACTGAAGATTTTGGGCTGGATGCTTTGCTAGGGTTTTTCATAGAGGAAACACATTCGCGGTGCCAGTGTATAATGTGAAGCACTTGAAAGCTTAATTTGGGGGTGCACCCTCAGTTCCTTGTTATTTCCCCCCCTATATGTTGACTATTACTGAATGGGGTAATATACTTGACCATGTCATGCACCCAAAGCAAGCGTTGGGCCAGTTGTGATGCTAGGGAACCCCAAAGCTACAATCTCCTCCTTGTTGCATCCGTGATATGAGCTGGCCCAAAGGTTTTTGTAGTGTGCCCCCGTTCTCCTAGTTCCTTACTCAATTCTACATAGTCACTAGGGGAGCCACATTTGGCAGGCTGTTGGGCCAAAATGAAGTGGCGCAGGGATTTTCATAGAGGACTCCCTCCTAGACTTGCGGCTGTCTGATTTGCGGTGGCTCAAAACTTAAGGTGGGGTGTGCACCCGCTTCTTAGTGGCAAAGCAGATTTTGGATTTTGACTGAAGATCCTTATTGTGGACCTCAAAGGGGACATGAATATATATGGCACTACTAAGAGTATCTTAAGATGTTCCTGAGCTCCACATTATGCCTGCTAAGGCCAGGACCTTTATAGAATTGACATTTAGGTTCCTGCTTAAAACTCCCCAATTCACTCACACTTTCTATCAGGAGGTGATCCCAGGGGTGCTACATTGAATAAAATATGGGGCCTCAGGTAATCCACATAGTCACATGATGTGGCAAAATGTCCATCAATTTTGGGGGCCCTGATTCCCTCAATTTGGGGGGGGGGGCAAAGGGACCTTGGCCCCTAGGAGTTGGTTCCTACGGATCCAGCTATCTCAGTGTATTAATCCCACCTAGTGATCTGTGATGTGTTTTGTTCTTATTTTATGAACACACTTTTGTTGTTGATTTTACGCTGTTCGCTGCCTTGGTTTTTTTAAACTTGGTGGCACAGCTTTTTTATTTTTGCAAATGAATGAATGAATGATACGGGCCAGCCCAGAGCTTAACTTTGGAACGCATCAGGGGCAGAGAAAGTCATGTCCGTGAGGCAGCTCCTTCAGCTCCGCTTCAAAGGTTCATGGGGTTGAGAATGGGAAACAGGTAACGGGAGGGAGGCAGGGAGGGAGGCGGCCAGCGAGGCAACCTGTCACATCGGCTCTGTTTGCCTGTAAATAAAGGCTAAGCGGCTGAGGCTGAGCTGGCTGTATAAATGCTGCGGGCGGGTCCCACGCCTTGGCCAAAGCTGGGGCTCTGGGGGCGAGCGCAGGTGAGGAGAAGGAGGTGCGCTCGCGTATTTCTTTCAAAGGCACGAAGAAGAAGAAGAAGAAGAAGAAGAAGAAGAAGAAGAAGAAGAAGAAGAAGAAGAAGAAGAAGAAGAAGAAGAAGAAGTTGTTGTTCTGAGGTTCTTCGGCGCTTCAGGACCCGGACAGCGGCGCTGCCTTGGCGCGCAAGAGCGGGCTGAGGCGAAGAGGCAGCTACCTGTGGCGAGCGGTGGGAACGGAGCGCGCGGGAGCAGCTGACGCGGTTGGCGCGGATTTGGCGGGACGCGAAGGGGAGCGAAGGGAGCGCGCGGGGCGGAGGCCGGGGTGGTCTGCGGTTGGACTACAACTCCCGTCATACCCAGCTAGCGAAAGCAGCGGTCAGGGATGATGGGAACTGTAGTCCCAAAGCAGCTGGAGACTCCAGTTAGGGGGAGACGGGGCTAGGCTAGACTGTGGCGCACGGAGAGGGAGGGAGGCTAGCGCAGGATGACACGCAAGAAAGGGGCCGGGGAGATGAAAGAGAGAAAGAAAGAAAGAAAGAAAGAAAGAAAGAAAGAAGGGTGGATCAGGGAGCTTAGGATATAAGTAGACAAAACAGAATTTGCTTTCCCCCCGGCCCTTTCCTTAAAGGAAGAGGCGCCACAATATCGTCAGAATGGCTCACCCGTGTCTCTCCATGTGGGGAAGTTGCTAAGGCTGTTCTCCCCACCCCCTCATGTGCAGAATGTTCTGGCTTTTAGGAAAGAAAATAAGAAGAAGCAGAGGCCTTAGTGATCAGATTGAAGAGTTTGGGGCCGTCTTTTTTGGGGGGGGGGTGTCAGACGGCCTTCAGAGCAAAATAATGGGGCTCCCTTGACCAGAAAGAAGGGAGAAGCTGGCTGGAGGCTCCCTGAAGAGGAGCAGGAGCCGGCCGTCTCTGAAGCTCCATCCCCTGGAAGATGCTTGTGTTGCCAGAGGCCGGCTTCACCTGGCTCTCCCAGGTGTGGGCGAAGTTCGCAGGGCATGCTGTCCTTGATGGCTGGCTGCCTCTGGAGACCGTGTGCTTAAGGGACGCTGTCCTTCTCCTTCATTGTTTCCACCTGTAGGCAGGGCAGGGACATGGCCGCAGGTGGTGGTGGTGGAGGCGATGGAGCCCTCCCGGATCTCAGTCGCTATGTGGTGTCCCGGCCCGTGTACAATGAGCCTACCTTTCAAGAGGAGAATGAGAGGAAATTGGTGGTGCCCAAAACACTCCGGGAACGAGTCCAGAAAACGTGCAGGTGACTGACCGGCTGCCATACATCACGGTTTGGTGGCGGGGGGCAGGTGACACCTAAAAACTGAAAGAATCCTGGATCGAAGGAGGGTGGGCCATGGCAGGGGAGCAGGTACATTTCACAGTGTGACTCGAGCAATTTAACATTTTGTCCTTGGCAGCTGTTCAAGAAGAAAAGCCATTCAGGTAACCAAGACCTTATTCCCTATTTTGGAATGGCTGCCTAAGTACAGAGTGAAGGAATGGCTCATCAGCGATATAATTTCCGGTGTCAGTACTGGACTTGTGGCTACTTTACAAGGTAAGAGAGATCCAGTCTTTCTCCTACTATTATTACGGGGTGAGGGGGGTGGGGATTAGAATGTGATGAAGTTGCCTAAACTCTGTCTTGCAGTTGTGGGTCACCGCCCTGATTTACTTAACCATTTTTTAAAAGACTCGTCAGCAATCTGGAAAAGTTCAGAGCTGCAACTTCATTTGGAGCAAAATAAGTTAGGATCCAGCTGAAAATCTGGCGATCTTGCAAATCGTGGGCTGCAAAACATGAACAGCTCCTATTTGTACGTGGAACTTTGTTTAAGATGTGGAATACAGACGTCAATAATACCTGTGTAGAAAGGTACTACTTGATGTAGATATCAAAAGAGTCTATTGTAAGATTAGTCAATACAATACTTTATTTTCTATCATTTCAGGCTTGGCATATGCACTACTGGTTGCAGTTCCTGTTGGATATGGTCTCTACTCTGCTTTTTTCCCCATCCTGACATACTTCTTCTTGGGAACATCAAGACACATCTCAGTTGGTAATTATATATTTCTCATGTTACTATCGGACAACTATTAATTACAGAATGTCAAACTTATTCAAAGGTATTGGAATATCTCAGACAGTAGTTTTAGTGGAACCAGTTTACTAATATACTTTTATGGTGGCATCTTCTTATTGTGTTTGAGTAGACTTTTATACTTATCGATATTTTTCCACAAAGTGTAGAATTGTAGAATTGCAAGGGACCACAAGGGTCATCTAGTCCAACCCCCAAAATGCAGAAATATTTTTGCCCAATATGGGGCTCGAACCTACAAACCTGAGATTGAGAGTCTCGTGCGCTACCAACTGAGCTATCTTTCTGCCATGACTACTGGAAATTGCTTTGATGCCTACATTATATGTATGTAATCTCTTATTTTGTTAGTACTGTTCCTTAGCAGAGCTATTTACAAGACATCAGGTTCAATGCCAGTTTTGATTCACTTAGGCTCACGCAGGTCCAAATGTAATAGTTAAGCACTTTAAACTCAGCATGATGACTTCAACGTATTAACTGCTAATTCTATATGACAGACAGCTGTGACAATAATGCAGAAAATACACACACTCAAGGACTCTAGTTTATGATGTGTATGACAATCTGGATCTTAAATCATTTTTTTCTGTGGTAGCTTTGGGTGATAGACAATGTTAGCCATTCTCCGAGTAATAATAATAATAATAATAATAATTTATTATTTGTACTCCGCCCATCTGGCTGGGTTTCCCCAGCCACTCTGGGCGGCTTCCAACAAAGATTAGAAATACATTAAAATGTCACACATTAAAAACTTCCCTGAACAGGACTGCCTTCAGATGTCTTCCGAATGTCAGGTAGTTGTTTATCTCTTTGACATCTGATGGGAGGGCGTTCAACAGGGTGGGTGCCACTATCGAGAAGGCCCTCTGCCTGGTTCCCTGTAGCTTTGCTTCTCGCAATGAGGGAACCGCTGGAAGGCCCTCGGCGCTGAATCTCAGCGTCCGGGCAGAACGATGCGGGTGGAGACGCTCCTTCAGGTATACTGAGTAGACCCATTGAAATCAATTGACAACTCGAGTCCATTAATTTCAAGGGGTCTGCACTGTGTATGGCTAACACTGAGCAGCACCCTGATTGTTTAAACTGACAAAACATCATCATCATCATCATTTATTATTTATACCCTGCCCATCTGGCTGGGTTTCCCCAGCCACTCTGGGCCGCTCCCATACACATACAGCATTAAACATTAAAACATTAAACATTAAAAACTTCCCTAAACAGGGCTGCCTTCAGATGTCTTTTAAAAGTAGGATAGTTGCTTATTTCCTTGGCATCTGATGGGAGGGCATTCCACAGGGCAGGCGCCACTACTGAGAAGGCCCTCTGCCTGGTTCCCTGTAACTTCGCTTCGCGTGAGAAAACCACCAGAAGGCCCTCAGCTCTGGATCTCATGAAACAGTGGTTTTATTATTGCTTTGGATGTTTAGTATAATTTAGTGCTTCTACATTTTAAGCTAATTTTTTTTTTTTTATTGTTAGCCGTTTGAAGCACGCTGTTAAGAAATGCTGTGTAAAATATATAAAATTATTCCCAACAGGACCTTTCCCAGTGGTCAGTTTGATGGTGGGCTCAGTAGTACTGAGCATGGCGCCTGACGAAAAATTCCACATGGTCAGCAGCAACATGACAGGGCTGAACCAAACAGTTATAGATATCGCATCAAGAGATGCCGAGAGAGTGATTATTGCCAGCACCATCACTTTTTTGGTTGGCATTCTCCAGGTAAAGCGGATTGGATAAAACTGTCTCAAATGTTGCTGCTTTTATACTTTATGAAAGAACTGATGAATAGAAGAAAGAGCTTCATGCTAAACACTCACTATTTTCCTCAACTAGAGCCAAAATGTACTCAAATAATAAAGTAGAATGCAAGTTTGCTTGCCTCACATTTATTGTTCTGCACAGTTTGGGAATGCCAAGCATTTGTATCCTTTTATGTCATGGGATTCGCATGTGGCGCTGTGGGTTAAACCACAGAGCCTAGGACTTGCCAGTCAGAAGGTCGGCGGTTCGAATCCCCGCGACGGGGTGAGCTCCCGTTGCTCGGTCCCTGCTCCTGCCAACCTAGCAGTTCGAAAGCACATCAAAGTGCAAGTAGATAAATAGGTACCACTCTGGCGGGAAGGTAAACGGTGTTTCCGTGCGCTGCTCTGGTTCACCAGAAGCGGCTTAGTCATGCTGGCCACATGACTCGGAAGCTGTACGCTGGCTCCCTCGGCCAATAAAGCGAGATGAGTGCCGCAACCCCAGAGTCGGCCACGACTGGACCTAATGGTCAGAGGTTCCTTTACGTTTACCTATGTCATGGGATTAAAGCCTTGCATTTTGTATCTTGTCTCCTGCAGCCAGAAAAAAATGGCTTTTTAGTCTTCTTGCATTTCATTTTAAAGGTGGGAAAGCCAGACCATTAAACGAGAAAAGAACTATTGAAAATCTATTTAAAAACAACAAGCAAGGCCTTCCTGTAAATCCATACAGCTGGTCATCCTGGTACTTACTCTTAAGTCCTACACAAGTTGAGACCAGGATACGTGGAGGAATCTTTTCACCAGCTTGCCCATGTACTGAGATGATAATTGGAGGCTCTCCTCTGGGTGACCCAATGGGCAGAGGTGCGGTGGGTTAAAACTGGGAGCAGGGACTTCTCAGTTGTGGCACCCCATTTTGGGGAGTCTTTCTGCCTGGCACCCACTTGATTGTCTTTGGTGCCACATGAAAACCTTGATATTTTCCTAGACTTTCAATTTTTAAATGGTGAGAACATTCCATGCTGCTAGTTTTATTTAATGTTTTAAATTTTTTGGCTATTTATTTAGTGCTCATTCTTACTGGTTTTATACAACAGAATACAAATAAATAAATAAATTGCATAAACTGGAGCTAAGAGATTAAAACAGACAAAAGAAGAGTCTTGATCACTCTATGTTAGGTGGCTAAATCCTGAATTTTGTTAAAATCGTGGGCTATTCTAATGCTTTCTAACTGTTCATAAAACTATTCCGTGCTTCTTCTTTTTCCAGCTAGTGTTCGGATTTCTTCAGATTGGTTTTATCGTGAGATATCTTGCTGATCCACTGGTCGGGGGTTTTACAACTGCTGCAGCCTTTCAAGTGTTCGTTTCACAGCTGAAGATAGTCTTAAACGTCCCAACCCAAAACTACAATGGGGTCCTTTCCATAATCTATGTAAGTGTGTCTTGCTGAGCTGGGGGTTGCGCTTGGCCTGATGGAACGGCTGCTATAGATGACAGTTGAGGGAGGAGACTGTTGGAGCTAGTGTTTCAGCCAAGTGGATGTTAATTTAGCTATTAGATCACTGTATGCATTTATATACAAGTGGAGCCGGCAACAAAATGCTCCAGCGTGGAGTTCTACAGCCAGCCATATCTTCTTTCAGGGTGCTCCACTACATTCCCCCTCCCTCCCGTTTTCTATGCCTCCTGCAACAGTTAGCCATCATTCTGTGACCAGTGAGCCTACTCATTCCTCCTTGGCTGTTTTGGGTTTAGTTTTGGTTTTGCTCCCTTGAGTTTTCCCTTGAATATTTTTTCTTCTACTTCAGACTTTAGGATTTCCCAAACATGTTGCTATGTTTTTGGCTACACAGCCATTTGTTTTTTTTTGGACCTGAGTTTGCTGTTACCTGATACAAGTGGGACTTGCAGCACAATGTTGCATTTTGGAGCGCTTGTCTTTGGGATTCTGGTCAACCTGCCGTGCCCACTTTGTCCCCTGCCAGCTGAGCATGCTCAATCCTCATTGAACAGTTTTATGGGGTTCTCCATCTTACATTCCCCCAGTCCTAATTTTCTTTTGTACTTCTGCAAGCCTTGGGCTTCCCCGCAATACACTGGTACCTCGGGTTAAGTACTTAATTCGTTCCGGAGGTCCATACTTAACCTGAAACTGTTCTTAACCTGAAGCACCACTTTAGCTAATGGGGCCTCCTGCTGCCGCCGGAGCCCGATTTCTGTTCTCATCCTGAAGCAAAGTTCTTAACCTGAAGCACTATTCCTGGCTTAGTGGAGTGTGTAACCTGAAGCGTATGTAACCTGAAGCGTATGTAACCCGAGGTACCACTGTACTGTGATACCACTTGCTTGTGCTTTGGTCTTACCCATACACAAAGAATGAGTTTGCTATTCGTATATAAGGCAATAAACACACTCATACAAACACAAGAGATTCACAGCACAATCACATACTTGTCTTCTAAGAAGTACGTCTAACTGAGTTCAATGAGAGCCAGTGTGGTGTAGTGGTTAAGAGCAGTAGTCTCGTAATCTGGGGAACCGGGTTCGCTTCCCCGCTCCTCCACATGCAGCTGCTGGGTGACCTTGGGCCAGTCACACTTCTTTGAAGTCTCTCAGCATCACTCACCTCACAGAGTGTTTGTTGTGGGGGAGGAAGGGAAAGGAGAATGTTAGCCGCTTTGAGACTCCTTACAGGGAGTGAAAGGCGGGATATCAAATCCAAACTCCTCTTCTTCTTCTTCTTCTTCAATGAGTCTTACTCCCAGGTATAGGGTTGCAGCCTTGGCTCTTTAGTATTTGCAGCTGTAGATATTAGTAGCTGACAGATATTAGTTTCTGCGCTTTCCTGAACCTGTAATCGTTATTGTGTCTTGGGTCTCATCTGCACAGTCATGGCTTTCCCTTAAAAAAATATTGGTGGCCCTAGTTTGTTCAGGATACCGAGAACTGTTAGGCGATCCCTGTTTCTCTTACAGAGATCACAGAGTGTTTTGACAACCAATCACTCTTTCCAGTAAAGTCATAACTGGTAATATACAGCTTTAAGTGAATAGTGCAGATGGGACCTTAGATGAGAATGTGGTTTATTCAAACTGAATGGTAGCATTTCACATTGTCTTTTTTTATTTTTAGACCCTTATTGATATATTTAAAAATATTGGACAAACCAACATTGCCGATCTCATTGCTGGCCTGCTGACCATCGTTATTTGTATGGTAGTCAAGGAAATAAACGATCGATTCAGACACAAGATCCCTGTTCCTATTCCTATAGAAGTGATTGTGGTAAGCCAACTACTTCAAGCTCAAGGGATTCGATTGACAGGAGAACAATATCTGTTTTCTCTGTTCGTAGTGTCGCAATCCACCCCAATCTCCAAGCGGTGTGAGATTCCAAGGGTCCCAAGTGCTTACCCAGGGTTTGCGTTTACTTCGGGAATGAGGCACAGTGGAGACTGCGGTGTCTTTATGATATATGGTTTATTTGCACATTAACACCCCAAAAGGGTCTTGGTTCTCCCATAGCTGCAGCCTTGGATTCAAAGAGAAATCAGACATTGTTCTCAAATGTTTCTCTGACCCTCTCTCCAGTTCACGGAGGGGCCCCCACCCATTTGCCATCTCGCACCAAGCACCGTAATCCCCTTAATCTACTGTAATGGCTCATCACCCAGGCTATCGCCTTGTCAGGAAGCTAGCTAGGCTATTCCAAGAATTAGAAGCCTTGATTAACACTTGCTGGATCCTGGGATGAAAGGGGTCTGGCAGTCAGTGTAACACCCCGAACTCATAACAACAACATGATGTTATTTCTTTTTATTCTAGACAATAGTCGCCGCTGGCATTTCATATGGTGTTGACCTGGAGAAAAAGTACAATGCAGGCATTGTTAAATCTATTCCTAGCGGGTGAGTGCAGATTGTTCATTCGGTGGGCAGCTACATTTCAAGGACATACTAATGGCTCAGCTTTTAATAGAAACTGTTTAGCCACTTCATACATAATTTTTTATCTACATAGAATCATGGAATTGTAGAGTTGGAAGGGACCCTGAGGATCATCTAGCCCAGGCATTCCTAAACTTGGCCCTCCAGATGTTTTGGGACTACAATTCCCACCATCCCTGACCACAGGTCCTGTTAGCTAGGGATGATGGGAGTTGTAGTCCCAAAACATCTGGAGGGCCGAGCTGAGGGATGCCTGATCTAGCCCTTGCAGTGCAGGAACATGCAGCTGTCCCACAGGGATCAAACCTGCAACCTGGGCATTATTAGCACCACACCCAAACCAGCTGACACAGATGTACTCAAATGTAGGGGGGGGGGGAAACAGCTCAGTCATGTATCAAGTGAAAGTGGAGTCAATTTGACTACATCATGTGCATGTGCTAAACTCCAGCTGGTAGAATTGCACAATGAATATATACATATGGTGAAACAAAACCAGGTCCAATCTTCACATCCCCTCCCCTGCTCTGTGTATGGTTAAATATTAGAAGTAGCTGTAAGAGAAAACACAGAGGCTGGGGTGTTGGGGCGGGAAAAAGGAGCAGCTTGGCAAATAAATTGTTAAGGTTCACCCAAGGTGAATCCAAGACATGTTTGATGTATTTGGCTGGATGGAGAGAATAACATTATTAGATAGTTGTGCTTGTTGGACTACACAGGTGCATATAATTCAGGCAGTAGGGTAAACACATGGAGGCATGGCTGTGGGATAGACAAGTGCCATTACTGCAAGCACATTTACTATGAACAGTTGGTAATGCATTTTATCCAAAGGACTTTCATGTTACAAGTGGCTATTGCCTTTTGGGGCTCTCCAACTAAATGAAGAATATACAACGTATTTTGCAACAAATAATTTTGCAAGTAAATCTTGTCTGTTTACTGCAGGGAGAAGCACCAATGGGTTACATCCCCACCTCCCCAAATTGTTTCATTATAGAGTCAAAAAATGCCATCATAATAATAATTAGTCATAGTTGTCATAGTTTTTGTAGAAAAAACACAAATGCACACAAACATATATTTTCCTCCTTTTATATATATAGGTTTTTGCCTCCCGAACCTCCAGCGGTCAGCATGTTTGGAGACATGATAGCATCTGCCTTTTCCATTGCCATTGTTGCTTATGCAATTGCTGTGTCCGTGGGCAAAGTCTATGCAACCAAATACGACTATGCTATTGATGGAAATCAGGTATGTGAAACCAAAGCACTTTTTATAAACTGTGAAGCGAAAGCTGAATCTTATTTATGGAGAGGAGCACGCTTATTTTTCAGCCATTGTGGGGGTGATTATAGGTGAAGTTACTTAGTGGTTATATTAGGAAAATAAGTAATTCAATTGTCAGATTTAAATGAGCAGTAGACTATTTCCCATAAGGCGTGCCAGATTCTGCCTCACTTTGTGGGTGCCCGGCGTACACCTATGACATCACGTGCATGGCATGTGTGTGATGTCATGCGGCAGGAAGAGGCCCAATGGGACCCACAGCAGCCTCTGAAAGGCCCAGTGGGACCCATCACAGCTTCAGGAAGGTCCCAACAAAATTTTGTGTATGCCCAGGCACCCAGGACTCCCCCACAGATGGCACCAGTGTTTCTCATCAAGGGTGGAACTAGATCTGAGAGCAACATGGAATTGGTACCAATAACAGACCCATGTTGAGCCCTTCCCCAACTCTGTATTATTTGTCCAATCTTCTTTAGAAGTCAGCCAAGTCCGTGACCATCTCTGCCTCCTGTGGGAGAGATTTCCACAGGAGAACTATTTGCTGCATGATGAAGTACAGTGGTGCCCCGCAAGACGAATGCCTCGCAAGACGAAAAACTTGCTAGACGAAAGAGTTTTCCGTTTTTTGAGTCGTTCCGCAAGACGAATTTCCCTATGGGCTTGCTTCGCAAGACGAAACGTCTTGCGAGTTCTTGCGAGTTTGTTTCCTTTTTCTTAAAGCCGCTAAGCCGTTAATAGCCGCTAAGCTGTTAATAGCTGCTAAGCCGCTAAGCCGCTAATAGCCGCTAAGCCGCTAATAGCCATGCTTAGCAAGACGAAAAAACCGCAAGACGAAGAGACTCGCGGAACGGATTAATTTCGTCTTGCGAGGCACCACTGTACATTGTTTTCCCTGCCCCCAAATCTTCCAACATTCAGCTTTATTCAATATCCATGAATTCTAGTGCCATGAAGGAGGGATAACCTTTTCTTCTATCCACTTTTCCATGCCATGTATAACTTCATAAACTTCAGTCACGTCACCTCTTAGTCGTATTTTCTCTAAACTAAAAACAAAACAAAACGCTGCATCATTTCCTCACGGGGAATTGCTCCACCCATTGATCATTTTGGTTGCCCTGTCATTTTATGCAATTCACTTTCCCATTAGCTGCTAGGAAGAAGTATTTCTTTCTCCATATATTTTTTTTAGATATTCTGCTTGAACCAGATTTCTAATGGAGCATTTATCTTTGCTGTCTTTTTTGAGTAGTAAGTAAGAATGCATATCTGAGATGGTATGAAGGCTATTTCTATGGCAATATTCAATATATTGTATCTGGAACTAGGGCAAGTACAAATTAAACAATTGGAATTGCCAAGCATATTTTTTTTTCTTAAGGCAATTAGGGTTTTTTTTTTAATTCTTCTTCCCATTGTTTCTTCTTTATAGCTGTGTCTTTACATTTATATGTCTGCTTCCAGGAACAGCTATGCATAAGCCTACAGAGCTCTGCCATTGGTCAAGTCCTAAAAAGGAACTTGTTCCATAATTCCACACTATTTTATTTTATTAAAGATTTTCTTGATTTACAAAAGTGTGTGCAATGTCTCTCTCTCGTATCCCCCCCCATATAACATTCTTACAAATCAGTTTCATTTGTTGAGACATTAGGAAGAAAAGGGGGAAAGAGGTGGGGGGAGATGGGATGGGGTGGGATGGCAATGTTACTATTTTACTTACTATATGTGGGGTTTGCTGTCAGCGTTGCTTGTGCAGGTTCTCTGTTGTTCACTTGTGTTCCTTTGGTGGTGAGAGAGGTTGGGGTTGGCCTAGGGTGTGGTTGTTCGTTTGTGGTTGGCTGTGGTGGTCTTTGTTTTCATGTGTGAGTGGGGTGGGTGGGTGTTTTGGATCAGGTTAGCCATACTGATTTGTATGCTGTTGGATAATTCCACACTATTAAGAAAAATTACTGCACCTCGAATGTACCATAAAAGTTCAGCTACAACTTCATTTGATTCAGTTTTGAAATTGGATCTAGTCCTTCCCAATTTACAGTTCAAAATAATATTTATGTGTAGGAGCACTGGCAGAGGAAGAGGAGTGCAGGGGGAGCGCACCGCCCCCACCTGTTCTCTGCCCCCGGTGCCGGAGCATGGAGCTCTGCCACTGTGTAGGAGAAAGCTTTTTTTTTTAGGAAAAAAATTGTATTAACACCAAGATCTTCTAACCTTCTAGGAATTTATTGCCTTTGGGATCAGCAATATTTTTTCAGGGGCCTTCTCTTGCTTCGTTGCCACCACTGCTCTGTCCCGCACAGCAGTCCAAGAAAGCACTGGGGGGAAAACCCAGGTAATTCCACTCGATCAGAATAAACTATAAAGACAATTCTAATCCTTATATTGCTTAGCGCACAGTGATTCTTCGAAATCTCATTGTTAACGATTTTGTGGGTGGCGTTTTTGAATGGAAAGCCAAATCCCATCTCTTGCGGGGGTGCAATTAGTGCCAGCACTGTCCGTTAAGAGTTTGGGTGTAATCTTCGATACCTCCCCTTCTATGGAGGCGCAGATTACAGCTATAACAAAGGCGGCATTTTTTCATCTCCGCCAAGCTAAGCAGTTGGCCCCTTATCTCTCTCGCCCTGACCTAGCCACTGTGATCCACGCGACGGTCACCTCCAGACTGGATTATTGTAACTCGCTCTACGTGGGGCTGCCCTTGAGACTGACCCAGAAACTCCAGCGGGTGCAGAATGCCGCGGCGAGACTCCTTATGGGGTCTTTGCTGCGAGATCACATTCATCCGGTACTATACCAGCTGCACTGGCTCCCGGTGGAGTACAGGATCAGGTTTAAGGTGCTGGTTTTAACCTTTAAAGCCCTATACTGCCTAGGACCCTTGTACCTACGGGACCGCCTCTCCTGGTATGTCCCACAGAGGAACCTACGGTCTGCAAATCAAAACATCCTGAAGGTCCCAGGCCTCAGAGAGGTTAGGCTGGCCTCAACTAGAGCCAGGGCTTTCTCGGCTGCGGCTCCAATCTGGTGGAACGCTCTGTCACAAGAGACTAGGGCCCTGCGGGACCTGACATCTTTCCGCAAGGCCTGCAAGACAGAGTTGTTCCACCAGGCCTTTGGTCAGGGCCCAGCCTGACTCCCTCCTCTGGCAACCTGCACAGAATTTTGCTTAACGGTTGCCATTAATTTGATTTTTATTAATTTTTATAATGAAATGTTTTTAGAATGTTGGATTATTTGATTGTTTGATTATTTGATTGTTGTTAGCCGCCCTGAGCCTGGCTTCGGCTGGGGAGGGCGGGATATAAATAAAATTTATTATTATTATTAAACGTTTCATTGATTTCCTGGACACCAGCTTCCCTGACATAAAACGAAGGGGGCACATTAAGAGAAGACTATAGCACCTGAATGGTATTACCTTAACTTGCATGCAATAGGAACTCCATAGATAAATAAATAAATAAATAATATCCCTGAGCCCAGATTAAATACAGTGATGTTGGGGGTGGGGGCAGTCATCTGAATGCTTCATTGATCACTCAGGTATTAAGTGAGTATGTAGCTTAAGGGGGTTTCAAATGAAAGTTTGCGGGGCCCGTCTCAAGTAGGAACCTGGGGTTTTTGGAGGACACTGGTGGCGCTGTGGGTTAAACCACAGAGCCTAGGACTTGCTGATCAGAAGGTCGGCAGTTCAAATCTCCGTGACGGGGTGAGCTCCCATTGCTCAGTCCCTGCTCCTGCCCACCTAGCAGTTCAAAAGTACGTCAAAGTGCAAGTAGATAAATAGCTACCGCTCCGGTGGGAAGGTAAACGGCGTTTTCGTGCGCTGCTCTGGTTCGCCAGAAGTGGCTTAGTCATGCTGGTCGCATGACCTGGAAGCTGTACGCCGGCTCCCTCGGCCAACAAAGCGAGATGAGCGCTGCAACCCCAAAGTCGGCCACGACTGGACCTAATGGTCAGGGGTCCCTTTACCTTTACCTAATCAGATGACCGCAAGTTCACATTCACAGTCAGTCAGTAGTACTTTAAAAAGAAAGCAGCTGCAGCTAGGAAGGACGTTAAATGAAAGAAAGTTTAAAAGATAAAAGAAAGCTTAAAAACATCCACTTTTTTAAAAAATTACCACTATACCACTTAGGTAAAAACTTGCTTATGGTAACTGAATTGCTTTTGAACTTGTCCCTGTGCTCCCCCACCAAACAACAACAACCCACAATCTATAATAAGAATAAATAGCCTACTAAAGCCTGTTATACAAAAAAACATACATTATAGAAACTCTATTTCCTTATTATCTAAAACATCTTTTTCAGATTGCTGGAATAATCTCAGCTGGAATCGTACTGATTGCCATTGTAGCCTTGGGGAAACTGCTTGAACCTTTGCAGAAGGTATTTTATTATTGCACTTGTCATCGCACCGTTTTTGGGTGCATAAACTTAAGTAATGTTTTAGTCCTCTTCCTGATAAACAGAAAGCATTCCCCTGCTATCTTCCTGTTCCTGCTCACACACAAAGACTAACATGCAAATACACATACTGCCCGTGTTTTCCTTGAACAATACAGGTTAATGTGTCTTTCTTTCTTTGCAGTCTGTATTGGCAGCTGTGGTCATTGCCAACTTGAAAGGGATGTTCATGCAAATATTTGATGTACCCCGTTTGTGGAGGCAGAGCAAGGCAGATGCTGTGAGTTCTTTAACGTGTGAACCATCAACTCATATTTTGAATTAAATGCTTACCCTTTGCTTTTCATTTTAATTCACAATAAATAAATAATTGAGAATCTCAGGTTATTGGGGGGTGGGGGTGGGAATAATGTCCTGCATAGAACAAATGCACCAATGTACAGTGCTGGATTCCCTGGTTACTATGTCAGGTTTCCAAATCATTGAGGGTTCAGGAGACAAACAGTTCCCTGTGGCTTCTTCTTCTGATGTTTGTACATAGACCTAGTTCTCACTGGTGTGGTACAGCAGTACTTGAGCTGCATCCACCTCAGGAGGCAGCAGTGGGGCATTCTGCCTCAGGTGTCAAAATACCTTGGACCACCTGCAGTGTGTAGGCCCCAATCCACTGAAGCAAAGGCCTCCCCTATGAGATTGCCAAGACAATGGTAGGATAAGCCAAGCACACAATGCCAATGGCTGTACACATGCCATGCATTTAAAGCACTTCCTTCTCCTGCAAAGAATGATGGGAGGTGTAGTTCATCTCTTGAAGAAGAAGAAGAAGAAGAAGAAGAAGAAGAAGAAGAGAAGAGTTTGGATTTGATATCCTGCTTTATCACTACCCGAAGGAGTCTCAAAGCGGCTAACATTCTCCTTTCCCTTCCTCCCCCACAACAAACACTCTGTGAGGTGAGTGGGGCTGAGAGACTTCAAAGAAGTGTGACTGGCCCAAGGTCACCTAGCAGCTGCATGTGGAGGAGCGGAGACGCGAACCTGGTTCCCCAGATTACAAGTCCACCGCTCTTAACCACTACACCACACTGGCGTAGAGCTACAATTCCCAGTTATCCTTAACAAAATACAGTTCACAGGATTATTTGGTGGGGGCAGTGCTGTCCTTTAAATGTATGGTGTGTAAACAGCTAAAGACAAAACCAGCGTTAGGGACAAGCAATCGGTTTGAGTAAAACAAAAACAAAACTCATCCAGTGTAGACAAGGTAAGTTTCAGGATCAGGGATCTAGAAACTGGTGTTGCTCCAGCAACTGGGAAGCTCAATGTACAGGCTGATATAGCCTGGCCTCCCACTGCTGCTGGTGCTTAAGGGTGTTCTGAAAGCTGTTCCTCTTAGAGAGCACCCTTCTTCATAAGAAGACCTTAGCTGCACAGTGACTTTTGACAGTGGCTTGAATGCTTGGATTTCTGTGCTCTAAAGGGTTGTGAGGGGTGGCTTGACCTCTCCCTCAGACCCCACCAGGGACATTTTGGCGTAGGGCTGCCATATATCTGGAATTTCCTGGACATAGCTGGGATTCATCTGCCCAAAACGGTGCCTGGGAGGAATTTTCGAAAAACAACTAAAATGTCCACGAAACCTCGGGTGTATGGCAGTCTATATTGGAAGTGCTGATTTTTTGGTGATTTTCCTAAAAAAATAGGAGGGAGATTTTGCAAAAAAAAATCTGACAAGGTGAGGGTGCATTACCGGATTGTCACTATTTGAAATATGGCAACCCTACACTTGGGTTGGAATCCATCCTGAGGGTCTGTCAAGAAGATCCTTTAGAGAAAGTTCCAGACAGATTCCTTCAGGACTGGTGATGGCAGACTCTGTTAGATCCCTCAAGTATTCAGTCAATTGGAGGGCCAATTTATCCTCCAATGAGTCAATGTCTGGCTACAAGTCAAGTCTGGGCATGGCACTGGGAGATTCACATGACTCCTTTGTATAAAACAAAATTCACTACACACAGAAAAACAACCAGTTAGTAAGAAGGCTAGATTAGAATCTGCTAACATGGTTGATTTCTGTATGGAGGGATATATTATTATTATTAATTATATGAAGAAGCATGGTTTGCATGTTCCCTCTGAAATAACACTTCCTGCCATGCCTGTGGGATTTCCTCCCATGTGAGATTTCCTCCCCCAGCTGCTTCCTCACATCTTCTCATTTTTCTGCTCTACAAAAGTCTGCTTTTGGTGGTTGGCTGAAATCACCCTGTCTACTAATGGGATATGGTCTGACTTTTCTTGTGTTTTCTTTTCCAGATGATCTGGGTTTTCACATGTATAGCGTCCATCATTCTGGGACTAGATTTGGGGTTACTTGCTGGTCTGGTGTTTGCACTGCTGACGGTTGTCCTGAGAGTTCAATTGTAAGTAACTATTATATAGGCAGGGGCAGTTTCTGCCATTGCACTCCCAAGAAGACAAGTAAATAAATGAATACAAAAGAAGAAGAAGAGTGACACAAGTTACTATTGTTCTGCTATTGCAAGCAAACAGTGTCACTAGTTTTAAAATTGGAAAATGAAAATGAAATACAAATCACGCTGCACACAGCTGAAATTACTTCCACATAGCCCGTTACGAATGAGAAAATAGAAAATGCATAAATAGATATGATAATTTGGAATAGTGTAGACAGAACTAGGCCAACAGGCTGTAAATAGTTTGAATCAAAACCACAGTAAGCTCCTGAAAGAAAGCATAGACAGTTCTGTTCTCTTCTGGTACTGCTGTTGACATTTGGTCTTCTTTGAAGTGCTCCTAGAGGCTGCAATGATAATCGTAGAGGAAAACGCTGAAGAAGAACTTTTACATTCTAAAGAGATGACCCACTGTGATGCACAACAGATTCGTTTTAGTACCAGAAATCTTTGTATCAGGGCAAGGCAGTGTGGCGGTGAGGTTGGGGCACCGCAGCTATATTGGCAAAGCCAGTTCAGAACTCCAGTGGTGTTGCACAGCTCTGTCCTTGCTGCCACCCTACCTCATCCTGGTAGTTGGTGATGCTGTTGAGAGGGCAGCAGACCTGCACTGTTCCATTGCATTGGCTGCTCTTGTTTAAGAATTCCTGTTGTTGACATATTCTGCTTATGACAGAGAGCAGGTATCACCCCTCATTGTTGACTCTGCTGCCTGGAAACTCGAGTTCAGCAACACCTGTTTGGACCACAAGTTCCCCATCTCCAGTGTAAATGAATGAAGATTAGGTGGAGTATTTGGGGGAGTGAACTGAATTTAAATCAGTTCGTGCTTAGGCTAGCTCAAAGAAAGTTCAGGGGGTGTCAAAGGAATGGAAGTCAACAAATAGTTCAATTGCTTTGACACACACTTTAGAAACTTGAAGTGGCTCTATTGTTGTGGAGGATGCCGGGGAAAGTATTATTCGAGATAAAGACTGAGAATTATGGTAAAATTAATAGTTAATTGTTAAAGGATGCTGAACTTGGATGTCTGAGTTGTCAGTGTGGATCGTGTTGGATCCCACCACGGAGCTCAGGAAGCCATACTTCCTTCATGGCAAAAATTATACTGTCCGGTTAATTGATAACTCATTATTATGTAAATACCAGTGGTTTAATGTTCTCCTAAGGAGCACAGAAACATGACACTACTTCTCATTTTAGAATTACAAGTTGTATACTCTTCAGCCAGGCAGGTGGCTGTAATGGATGCTTTAAACTAGGCTTCTCAATGTGGTGCTTCCAGGTACTGTTGGACTACAACTCCCATCATCCCAGACCATTGGCTTGCACTGGTTTGGACTGGGCAGGTTGGAGTTCAAGCTGGAGGGTACCAGGTTGTGGGGAATTGTTTTGAAGAAACTCTGAGCTGTGTAAATAAAGCAAAGTATTAGGGCACAGTTTATGCATTTTGCAGAATCAAACTCACCTTTCTGTATCTTTGGGAAGATTTTTCTCAGTTTTTCTACTTTTAGATGATGGTGAGGAGTTTTGTTTTTTAATACTTCTCTACTGCAACAAATTGCATTTTAAGTTGTTTCAAACTGTTTTAATATTGACTTTTATTTGTTGCAACCTGACCTGGGATCTTGGGGTGAATAATTTGTAAAAATAATAACAACAAAGAAAATTTGTGTGTCTGTGAGAAGGGTATAAATCCTGTTTTTTTATGGGTTAGCATTCAAACACCTATCCAAAGTGGAAGAATCTAGGGAAAGTGTTACCACTTGATTTCGCTGGAGGTGTAAACTGGGGCAAAAAAAAAAAAAGACTCAAGAAACATGCTTGCTGCTCTACCTGTTTTGTGTAAACAAATTGGATCATGGTCACAGAAGATCAATGCCCTGGTTGAGCTTTAATTCTAAAGTGTTTCATGATCCTCCCTCATAGCTGGCTGTAAAGTAAGACAACACAGTAGTCCACAAACAACAAGGAAGCCAGAATAGTTGTCCTCATAAAATCAGGTTTAAGAACCATTCCACTACTAAAATAAGTAAGTCCTTGTCAATTCACATGTAAGGAGTTTTTTTAAAAAATACTTTCCGTGTCTTGCTATCTAGCTTACAGATTAAGTAAGCTTAATATCAGTTCAGCCAATGTTTACTTGCAACAAACTGTTCTGTATAATACATTAATTTAACATTAGGTTATGTACTTTGATCAATGTTTTGTTTTGTTTTTGTCAGTCCTTCCTGGGGTAGCCTTGGCAGCATTCCTGGCACAGACCTATATAAGAACATCAAAGAATACAAAAATGTAAGACTTTCTAACAAGTTAATATTTCATCAGATTACTTTTTTTTTAGAGTTGCTTGGAGGTTTACTAGTCTTTATCCTGCAGTGATAGGATGGCAATTGTTCAAGTATTATAGTGAGGAAGGGAAGTCTTGTTGGATGGGGTAGGAATGCAGTGATCCATCTAGCTAGCTAAATGAAGGGCATTGTTGCAAAAGATGAAGTGGTATTGCTTGCATCAACTTTTTTTTGCACCATGATTTGTGATTTGAGTGGAGAAACGTCTAGATTCCCTGCATAAAGAGTTGCGGGGTGTAGGGATATCGCGGAGTGGACAGTGAGGTCCGGAGGGAGCACACTCTCCACCAGCAGGCAGCCATAGTCTGCCTGCACGTGTGACCCTGGGGTGCAGGAATAACCCCCCCTCAGACAAGCCACAGCTGTCGGAACATCGTCCCCTATGTCTGACCTTTTGCGGTCTCAGCAGTCAGCGGTGTCCTGTCTGTAACCTTTGTCCCTGAGACCTTTTGTCTCCTTCGTCATACACTGTGCAAGGGGAAAATGACGCTGCGGAAACAGATGCCAAAATAACTTTGTACCACCCCACGATCTCGGGACGGAAGATGTGTAAAGGTCACAGCCCAAAAATGTATCTGCCTAGCTTGCACATTTGTCTCAATAAAAGGAGGCTCCACAGGACTGGCAGTAGCTCGCTTCAGCCCACCTGTGCGCAGCTCACATGATGATCAACACCTGTCTTGGGCCTTCACTTCAGCGGGGGGTGCCCTCATTCTTTAAATATTTAGAATCCTTCTTCTGCAATAAAGTACACTTTTTTGTACGAGCAACTGTGATGGAATGGCCAACCCATCCCCTAAATGGACCCATCCCCCAAGTTTCTGGTAACCTTTCAGTGGATAAAACTGCGCCTGATGACTTTGCAACAGACCTTGGAGAGGAGATCTGTGGTATTCCAGGAGCCCATGTAGACAGAGGTGAAAGCTAGGCTGTCAGGGAAGTAATAATGTTAGCAGAGTGGTTAAAAGGGATCAAAAGGAGAAAGGAGTCAATTTAGCAGCCCGGCACTAGCAGAGTGGCAGAAAAACCCACACAAATCCGTGCTCATTTCAACTGAAAAATGGTTTCTGTAACAGGTTGTTGAACCAGAAGGAGTGAAGATTCTCAAATTTTCAAGTCCAATCTTTTATGCTAACATTGATGGCTTGAGAAGCAGCATCAAATCCACTGTGAGTAGCCTGTGATATTTCTGAACACTTCCTATGTGCAGGAGCCACAATCCAAGTATGGATGGAGGAGAATTTCATTTGGCCTGCATCTTAAGCAAAATGACCTAATTCACACATCTCAGACTAATGTAGCAATTAACACTTAATTATCCTTCAGACTTCACGCATCTTTGAATTTATATGATATAGTTCTCAGCTCAAAGATGTACCAAAATGCATATTTTAGAACAAAGTAATACATACATAGAGATAAAATACATTTTTCTGTGTATAAGACGTCCCCATGTATAAGACAACCCTTATTTTTGTTGAGCTTTTTTTTTTTTTGGTGCTTGCCCCATGTATAAGATGACCCCTTGTATTTATTATTTATTGTTGGTTTTTTGTATCTTTACCTTTGTGTATGTATGTATGTATGTATGTACCGTATTTTTCGCCCCATAGGATGCACTTTTCCCCCTCCAAAAATGAAGGGGAAATGTGTGTGCGTCCTATGGGGCGAATGCAGGCTTTCGCTGAAGCCTGGAGAGCGAGAGGCGTCGGTGCGCACCGACCCCTCTCACTCTCCAGGCTTCGCGCAGATCTCCGCAAGCCGTGGGAGCCCGCGCTGGGCTCCCGCTGCTTGCGGAGAGTTGCCTGCATGACGAAGGCTGGGCACGCTGAGCTCAGCGTGCCCAGACTTCGCGCACCTCTCCGCCAGGCGTGGGAGCCCAACGCTGGGCTCCTGCTTCTTGCGGAGAGTTGCTTGTTCTGGGGGCTGGGGAAGCTCGGACTTCCCCTGCCCCAGCCCCGCGCCTGGGGGGGGGAAATAATTTTTTTTCCCTTCCCCCCCCAAAAAAAAACTAGGTGCGCCTTACAGGATGGTGCATCCTATAGGGCGAAAAATACGGTATAAGACAACCCCCCCCCATTTTTTACTCAAAAAATATAATTTCTTACTCATTTTTTACTCAAATACATGGAAAAATATGGTGTGTATTATTTAAATATGAACTTCCATGCAGATTTCTTTTTAAAAAAAGATCCACAGATTAATGTGGAAGTGGAACTGAATTGACTTATTTTGCATGTAGTTATTCATCATGCAAAACTGACACAGACCAGAAATAGTGATTTGTCCATCTCTAAAAACAAGACAGGGCTGAATCGCCAGGGACAGTCTAAAGAAACAGGATGTGTTAAATTTGCTGAAGCTAAGCAGGTCTGATCTAGTCAGTGTCTCGATTATGCATACTGCTTTGAATTCCATAATGGAAGAAAGGTGGGATAGCAATGGAATTTTTTTTAAAGACAATGCACTTAAGCCCATTGATTTCAATGGATTGTGGCCAGTGTTTTCCCCCCCTCTCAGCTCACCATTAACACAAATAATAGAATACATTTGTTCAATTCTGCAGGTGGGATTTGATGCCATGCGAGTATATAACAAGAGGCTAAAGGCTCTGAGGAAGATACAGAAGCTAATCAAGAAGGGAAAATTGAAAGCAACCAAAGTAAAGTATCATTATTCCCTCTTTACTCCATGGTTCAAAGGGGTTTAACATAAACAATGGGCCTGAAATAGAAGCACTGGTTTTGTATCTGCCTCTCTATTTTGTTTATGCAGCAAGAAATTACTAATATTTGTAACAGGAAACAGGAAATCTAAATGGGAGGTGATGGATCAGAAATTTGATCTTGCCTGGAAGATGCTCTGTGACTAGCATAATCTATGCTAGTGGTTTCTGTTGGTATAAAAATGGAGTGTTGTCTGAGAGAGACCGACTGTTACCAAATACATTTTCTGGACAACATCTACTGTATCTATCACTATGCTTTCCTTGGGCAGAAAAACAGGGAGTTCTGGCAGAATGAACTGAGACAGAGGGACAGACAGACAGAGAGCATTGCCACAGTGCTACAAGAGCTGGAGCAAGCAAGTCAGGCAACCAGGTTAAATTAGAAGGTAACTAGGTCTATGCATGTCTGCTCCCAGATATGTGAGCATAGGATTACAGTGTTGGACACATATGTAGGTAGCCCGGATCCTCAAGACCCAACTAACTGAGCTGTGGATAGAGTTCAAGTAGAAGAGCAGGTCCCTTTTCTAACCTAGAGTTGTGTTGCCCTGGCAAGGGAGAGGATCAGCAACCTAAACTTTACTGGCTGGTTCAAGAGTGGAATCTGGTTAATAAATAAAAATAAATAAATAAACCTTTATTGTCACTACACCACCTGTGTACAGTGAAATTAAACGAGCCCCCCCCCCCCAGTCTTGTTTGCCCTCTGTGTGCTTCTTGGAAGTCAATTACAACACTATTTTTTTCCATTCAGCAGCCCAACAGCCCACGGATAAAAACTGTTCTTTAAGCTGTTGGTGTGGCTGACTATACATATGTATCTCCTGCCCAAAGGCAGGAGATTAAAGAGGTGCTGGCCAGGGTGTGAGTCATCTCTAAGAATTTCCCTTGCTCTCCTGAGGCAGCGGTCTCCCGCAATGTCATCTAGCGAACTCTGGAACCCATGATATCATGTGCTGTTTTCACCACCCTCTGTAGGGACTTCCTGTCCGTGGCTGTCAAACCAGCGTACCACACTGTAATACAGTATGAAAGGACACTTTCTATTGTGGCCCAGTAGAAGGAGATCATTAATTTTTGTTTGACGTTGTTCTTTCGCAAGACCCTGAGGAAATGGAGTCTCTGTTGGGCCTTCCTAACCACCTGGGTTGTATTGATTTTCCAAGTGAGGTCTTCACTAAGGTAAACTCCCAGGAATTTAAAGGAAACGACTCTCTCCACACAGCCCCCCCCCCCCCCGTTATACAACGGGGCTAGTTCCCCTCTCTTCCTCTGAAAGTCCAATACCATCTCCTTTGTCTTGCTGATATTAAGGTGCAAGTTGTCCTCTAGGCACCATGTGGAGACTTTTTGAACCTCCTCCCTATATGCTGATTAATCTCCACCTGTAATTAGACCCATTACTGTGGTATTATCTGCAAACTTAATAAATGTAGTGGATGGATCAGATGAAATACAGTCATATGTATACAACGAGTACAGGTAGAGACTCAGCACACATCCCTGTGGGGTGCCAGTGCTGAGCTTCAGAGAGGTGGATATGTCAGGCCCAATCCTCACTATCTGTGTGTGATCCCTCAGAAAGTCTTTAATCCAATCACATATGATAGGGGAAAGTCCAGGTCCATCGGCTTTTTAATAAGAATGTCCAGAAGGATGGTATTAAAAGCCGAGCTATAATCAATAAACAGCATTCTGACATATTTCCCCGGTCTCTCCAGATGACTTGCTGCAAAGTGAAAAGCTGTGGCTATGGCATCAACTGTTGACTTATTTCTCCTATAAGCGAACTGGTGTTCTTCAAAATCCGGTGGAAAACATGTCCTAAGGTGTTGAAGAACCAATCTCTCAAAGCATTTCATCACTACAGATGTTAATGCAATGGGTCTGTAGTCATTTAGGCAGTTAATTGCTGTTTTCTTTGGGACTGGGACAATAGTGGCTGCTTTCAAACATGGTGGTACACAAACAGTCTGCAGGGAGAGGTTAAAAATCTTGTCAGGACCCCTGCTAATTGATCAGCGCAGTTTTTTACCACTATCCCCAGCACCCCACCTGCGCCAGCAGCTTTACTGGGATTCACTGCCTGCAATGCAGCTTTCACTTGATGGTCATATAGAATAAATGGCTGAGAGTTTATAGGCTGGCAGTCAGGAGCCTTGATACTTGATCTTTCTACCTCATAGCGGGCGAAGAAGATGTTCAGCTCCTCTGCTAATACATCATCAGCCGTAACCGTGTTCCTTGTATCGCCCTTGTAGTTGGTTAGGTGCTGCAGTCCCTGCCACACTTGTTTTGTGTTGTTATCGGCTAGGCAATTCTCCACTTTAAGCTGATATTGTTGTTTTGCCATCTTAATGCCTTTCCTGAGCTTTGTTCTTGCCTCTCTGTATATGTTCAATGGCAATTCGTTAACTGATGGAATAGATGCAGGATTGTGCTCATCTACCTGTGCACATAGCAGAGTGGAGACTGGAATACAGTGAAGGATCTACGTTCCTGAGAATTTCAACATTTATATCTCCATAGTTTTTTCTGGGCACAGAATTTGATGTTTGCTTGTTTGTGTAAACAACAGGTTGTTTCTGACTCTGTCATGCTTAACGGAGGCTCACTGGAATCAATGAATTTAAGTCAATGAAAACTAACTTATGTTGGAAACAGCCCAATGATTTGTTTTCCTTTTTTTCTGGCATGCAGTATAGCAAATGTAATTCTTTTATGCAATTGTGTGTATGATATGTGCCTATACGCATAAACACAATATGACAGTTAAATAATTGTGGCTTCAATATTGAGTCCCAACAAAGCAAATGCCCATTCGGATCATATATAAAGAAAACTTGAAAGTCGTTTTAAAATATTTTATTAGGGCGGGGGAAGTCTACAGTTTTGTTTGTTAATCAGAATTTTGCTGACTACACTATGAATTTTTTTTTTTAATCAGAATGGTATCATCAGCGATTCTGGTAGGACTAATGAATCATTTGAATTTGATGAGGACCCAGAAGATCCTGAAGACCTTGATGTTCCAACTAGAGAAGTAGAAATCCAGGTGGACTGGAATGCAGAACTCCCTGTCAAAGTCAATGTCCCCAAAGTGTCTCTTCACAGTTTGATTTTTGACTTTGGAGCTGTATCTTTCATGGATGTAGTAGCAGTGAGAGTTATGAAAACAGTAAGAATATTTTATCACCTTATTAAAAAAAAAGTTTTAAAGAACAAAATAATTTGAATTTATGGGATTGCTAGATCATTCTGTGATTCATGTGCGATATGTGGGTTTTTCTGGCTGAAATGGTTAGTGCTCTGTTGACCTGTGGTGAGATGCGCTAATAGCGCAGTTGCGCCTGAGTGCCTTTTCTGTTGTTGTGGAGTAGTTAGTTGCCTTAATCCCTGCATGGGATGAAACAGATAGTGGTGGTGATGGTGTCAAAGAAAGCAATCATACATTTTATAAAAATTGTAAATAGCAGGTGTGTGGGGCCTGAACCCCAATTTGTGACTATGAGAAGGAGTGAGGGGCTTAAACTCTTTGTTCCCCACTGTAAACTTGATCCACAGTAACTGTCTCCTTCCACCTGCAATTTGCAATGGAGGAAAAGCTCTCCTTTACAGTTGGGGTATGGTCCCCACACCTGCTGTTTACTTTTTGAAAAACCATCCATACAGTTGTCAATTAGGCACACAATTGAACAAGTCCTAATTGCCTGCATGGCCCTAATAGACACCACTGTGTATTAAGGAGAGGCCTATTTCATTCTACACTAACTGTGGGCTGAAATGTGGTGTCAATCAGTTCTAGAAACAGGCTACTTACAGAAAATGTCCTTGAGAATACATTTAAGATAACTCCAACCTTTTTCTTTTCAGATTGTCAAAGAATTTGAAAGGATTGATGTGAGAGTGTACATCGCATCACATTTAGGTAAACAGATATCAATCCATTTGCTAATAATGGACTGTGTTCATTCAGAGTAGCAAACAAAGTGCAGAGGCTGCATAGCAGAGTGCATGCTTTGCATGCACCAAGATTGGCATAGCAATTCCTGGTAGAAAGGACTGGTTTAAACAGGACTCATATGGCAAGGCTGGGAAGGTTCTCTGCCTGACACCACTGAGTACTTCTGACAGTTGGAGTAAGTAGTGGACCAGTTGGACCAACAGATTGACATGGTATAAGGCAGATTCAGATTCATATAATAGGGAGGTGTGGGTTTCCTCATGATTCTGCATACCATATTTTTCCATCTATAAGACGCCCCCATGTATAATACGCCCTATTTTTGCGGCAACAACCAACCGCCAGTCCACCCTCAGCACTATCCCTATATAAGACGGCCCCTAATTTTTGACATTATTTTTTAGGGAAAAAACCCTAGTCTTATACACGGAAAAATACGGAAATTACTGAGTATCTTGCAGACCTAGTTGGAGTGAACAGCATTTTAATGATAAACCAATAGAAGGGAAACAAAGAGACAGCCTCTACTAGGGACTGGTGCAATGCTAGCTTGGAAAGGGATATTTTCGTTCCCAGAGCCAAATTAGACATGAAGTCAGGACATCTGTGACTGGATCTCCTGTTGTTTTGAAAAGATTGCTAGCAGCCACCAGTTTGTGGGAAGAGGGAGAATCCAACCAGGACCATGGCAGTGAGAAAATGACTCTTTCCCATCTGATGTTTTTCTGATTGAAATAATCTTCAAGCTGCTATTTCTCAAAGGGGACAAATAGCAGATACACTGACTGTCACACAAGGGGATCTGCAGCCCCATGCAGATCTTGCACACGATGTCTGCAGCCTATCCTGACTGTTGGAAACGAAGCGGTATCAGAGGCACATACATGCACCTTTGGTGGCAATGCCTGATACTAACTGAATTGTGGAACTTAATAACTAATCTCATTGGGGTAGTAATCATTAAGGAGATAGACCCTGCAATACAGATTAGGGTTTTGATCATACAGTAAGCTCTCAACTTGCATGGGAATTATGTTCCAGGGATAGTGCCTAAAGCCAAAATCACATATTGCATAGTCAAAACACATTATGTGCAATGGCAAGTGGGATTGCCAAAGTTTTCCCCTAGGAGCCCACCCTTTTAAAAAAATATTTTTTTTATTTCCAGTTGTGTAAAACTGAATGTGCACAAGTTAAATGCATGTAAGTTGCGAGTGTACTGTATATGCTCATTTTTCTATGGAAATATTTGTATAAGGGTCCTGTAAAGACCGACTTATTTACTAATCCGTATGTATTATTATATGCTGTAGAATAATATTTCTTTTTGGTCTTTGTGGCTTTTGTGTGAGTTTAATAAAATACAGTAAAAACAGCTTGATGCATATAGGATGAGGAGAGACTGAAAATACTATGAGAGCTATTATTTATAATTTTGACCGTACAGGGCTATGTTTATTTATTTATTGTTTGTTTGGTTATTTATTTATTTATTTTTGTGGGAGGAGGTTGGCTGTGAACTTATAATTTTGCTAAAAAGGAAAAGAATTGAATAGATTGTGCACACAGTGATGTTGGGGTAGATCTGAGTATGCGATTTGCTTTTTATTTGGTTGTTGTTGCTGTTTTCAACTCTTCAGAGCACATTATCAAAACACTGGACCACTGTGCATTTTTTGATGATGCCATTCAAAAGGACATGTTTTTCCTGACTGTACATGATGCCGTACTCCACATACAGAATCAGAGCATGCAGAGAGACATCCAGGATCCTATATTTGAAAAGGTAGGGAGCAAACATAACTTTGTTTTCATTAATTTATGTGTACTGGCTTGTAGCCTAACTTTTGTGAGTAGAGAGCTCCATTCATAGAACAAAGCTTTCTTGCCTCCGCCTTGCATTGCAGCCCCCCACCCCAATGCCCCTCTAAACCTTGTCCTTTGAATCAGAGGACCCTTCAGGGCAACAAAGGGTCTGGCCAGGACTCCCACCTTGCATGAGTGCAAATGTCTTTTTATTCATACCTTTGAATCTAAGCCACTTTAAATAAACCTCGTTTCATAGGAAAGGCCAAAATCCACAAGGAACTAAGCTTGTTCAACAAAGAAAACATTAGTTATTATTTATTTTTACCTGGCTTACCTAAAAATGTGCAAAGTGTTTGTATGATAAATGTGTGCTTTGTATAAGAATGTCATAAAGCTTATCTATCTACTCCAGATGGTACGTTGCAAACATTTATGAGGAATCCTTCCTCATTCTGTAATATTTTCTTCTGGTTGGCCAGTTCAATTGCAATCTTGTGGACATACCATTGATAGTATTGTCATTGCAAGCTACTTCAATATTGTTTGTTATTGCTGTCTCCAAAACCTTGGATTCAACATGGTTTGTTTGTTTTTTAAATAAATGAATTCCTTAGACTTTACCCATAGCTCACCGATATTTTTAGAAATCATGAAAATGGATTCAGCATTTGGCATTATTGATTCTGTGCCAACTTAACCAGGTCAGCAAAGTCATATTTAGGGAATAAAAAGATATGGCATCAGAGCTCCTAATAACTTCATCTGAAGGCTTCATGACTGCTTTTTATTCTTTTTCTTTGGATGAACCCTTTCACTATTTTATATTTGTATTGTTTTACTGAAATTCTTCTGTATTTCGTGTTTTTCTTGCAAATCATTCAGGATGCCTCTGGATTTGTGATGCGATATATTCATACGATTAAATAACTAACGAAAAGTATATCAGAGATTTATATTTAGTCCCTTAATCAACTTCATTGTGGTACATTTCCTGTCTACACATTCATAACAACTCTTAACATTTTGGTCCAGATTTCACTAATGCAGGAGTCAAAGGAACCGATAGAATTTACAGAAACAAACCAGAATGAAGAGCTTGATGTTCAGGAAGAGGTATGTTTTACTTTAGTACAAAGCATTATGTATCCCCCCCCCTTTTTTTTTTACATAAAATGATGATAAAACATACAGGGCCTGTTTAGTAAACACACCAAGTGACTTTATATCTAGATACCTGTGTACCAAGGGGATGCTAGCTGGTTGCAACGTTGCTTTGGTCATACATGATGACCTTGAGGTTTAATTTTGTCAACTGGGCAGGGGAAATGGCTCTGGCTTTATAGTTTGTCTAAAATAGCTCATTCATCTCGGAGGCCATGATCTTCCAGGAGCTTCTACATATCTTGTATTCACTTCTATAGAGCTGCTTACATGGATGTTTCTGGAGATTGTTCTTACATTCATAGAGTAATTAAAGGCTAACGTACACCACAAACTTAAGCAGTTTTAATAGGAATATCTAACAGAGACCTTTTACGGGATTCTTTGGGGGAAATCATATATTTGTATGTTTGTAATATAGTACAAGTATACAATATAGTATAAGTATGTAATATTGTAAGAGTTTTGAAAATCAGAAGTTCATTTCGGAAATAATGTTTCTCTCATTCTTTTTTAAAAAAATTCTCACCAGGCTATGCGCAGGCTTGCTTCATGAAGGAAGGATATTGAATTTATCGTATCTGTGAACTCTGGCAAACCGGAAGCAATATTAAAAGCATATTTATCATTGAAACAATTTACTTTGCACTAGAAGAAAATATTTATCTTATGCTACAAGTGTCTCGGACTCTAATTTTTCTTTTTACATAGTATTCTTGATTAACATTATTTGGTAAATTTGTATCTAAATTACTTGGGAAATGGAAAGATCATTATAGATGTAGCAAAACTGGCTCCCAGCTTCTAAGTGAGGACACACACACAACTGTATTTGTGTCCTAATTTTATTCCAATGTATGTAACCGAAAACAAGAAGCAAAGAAGGAAAGAAAGAAAGAAAGAAAGAAGAAATAAAACAAGAAAACAACTTGATATGAATTTGGAAGACATCATCATCATAGACTTTTATTGCTCTAGCCATAGGCCATGGCATCATTCAGAAAAATAACAAAAGGAAAAACAGCAATAACCATAAAAATCATCAGGCACCACACATACAAAATAAACCATGGTCACAACTACTAAGATTATTTGTTGCATAAAATAGAATAGCAGAAGATTCTCTAGTAAAATGTGCCAAATTAAATATCCGAATCCCCTTTGCAGTTGACCCCTATTTTATCTAGTTCTTTCCTTCTGATCTTCTTGGCTGCCAATGCAGAGAGTGCTACTTTATAAGTTACAGAGTCATCAGTATCGCTCAGCAGCCATTTCACCCTTTCCACCCTATTCAGGTGAGTTCCATTAGGAAATAGGGGTTTTATGAATCGGTTTCTTGGGTCTATGTATAACGGGCACTGCAATAAATAGTGGCACAGGTCCACCACACAGGGTTGCCCACACAGACAAAGTCTCTCTTCATAATGTACGTACTTTGCCGTAGCGTCCATCCAACACCGCCAAGGGCACAGAACCATAATTCTGTGAAAGTGATTCTAAGCATGGCAAGTGGGAGCTTTGACAGGTAACTGGCGTGGGTATGCTCCATTTTAATAAGTGGGAACCATGGCGAACTGTTGGTAGAAGCCATCATGGTTAGATCCTTTTCTGTATCGGACCTAAAGAGACAATCTCTTAAGTGCCTCTTGTCCATCTTCATAGGATTTGGAAGACAATTATGGCTGCAATCCTAAACTTACTTACATGAGAGTAAGCATCACTGAGTGCAATGGGACTCCTTCTGAGCACACATTTGTTTAGGATTACGTTCTAAGGTTCTGTTTGTAGAATACAAAGCAGAATGTGATGTCTCTATTTCTCAGGGCTACCTTTAGGTGCTACTGCCATAAAGGCAACACTATTTATGACAAATAAATAATGCAATAATAAATACTAGGAATCTTTTTCCTGGAGAGAAACAGTGGGCTCTAAGTTGCTAACACAAAAGTATGCATAAAAATGCTTGGGATACACCAATCATTTATTTCCGAGCTGGTGATCTGATGCCTTTAACTCATTAGTTCCGGATATGCCTTGCAGTCTCAGGTGATGTTCAAATCATTGATTTTCTTGGATGGTTTAAACCAGCAGTGGTGAATCTTTTTGGAAAGTGTGTTCTAAGTCAAATCCAAATTACAAGGCAGTTCCATTTCTAGTTTGTACTGTTATGGTACATACCTAGCGTTCCCATTGTGCTGTTCCATGCGTTGGTGTATTTTTGCCCCTTGTGTACCAACTCATGGAGGGCAACTGCACATATTTACTTGCTCAGGTGTGCCACAAACTCTTGGTTCCTGTGGCACCTGTGGCACCCATGCTGCGGTGTGGCTACCCGTAACTTCAGTCTTGTAATCAGCCCTGCCTCTTTTAACCATTAATCAATACAATATTCCAGCAAATAACAAATATTCATTCTGCTATTTAAAAAATCATTTATGATATATCTGGAATGAAATACTACTTTCCTACATGTCCCTAAATGGAGCTACATGAGCAAATAAGCATTTAGGGTGAAGTCTGTTGTAAAGGGCATATAATGATGGTGTTATAGTAGTTCTCGGTACAATTATGCCAACTTAAAATGTCGGATTAAAATTTTGATTTGGTAATACTTTTTTAAAAAAATGTACAGCTAGTAAAAATAACTGGAGATAAACAAAAGAGCAACTAATCACCAGAGCATTCTAACAGCATGTATTTTGTGTTAGTGAATAGTGGGTTTTTTGTGTGTGGTTTGAGGATCAAAATCCAAGATTTATTAGGCGACCTATCACATGTGTATTTAAAAAAAGTGCCACTCTTACACGTGCCTTATTATGTGAAAACAAATTCCAATTAATGGTTCTGCTGAATTCATTTAACAGCCTGAAGGAAGAAAGCTGTCAGTATATTTCTCAACAGACCACCATTTCATTAATAAATATGTATAATGTATATGTCTATATTAAAAATAATAAAAGTTTTACACAATATATTTCTGAGCTCCTGTTTTTTGCTCTTCCCACTCCCAAGCAATGAAACATGAAACATAGCAGGGAATTGGAAAAATTATAGAATGAAAAAAATATACTTATAGATGTTCCATTTATAAATAAATAAATATAAAATTTTCAACATGATATGCTCAAGCAAGTAAAAGCTATAGTAAAGTGCAAAAGCATATTTATTCTTGCTTACTATCGTGTTTTCATTTTATTGGAAACTGTTTATTAGGATAGTGTGATCTGCCTACGTGTCACTAAAATGGAGTTAACTTGGATAGAGCTTATTTGAATAGAAGCGCCAGACAAGATTGTCCTTTCTCACCTTTGCTATTTGTTTTATCCATATAGCCCTTAGCTAAGCTGTAAGAACTACCAGAATACTAGAGGTTGTTAAGGTAGGAAGGTGTCTAAATTCAATTTATATGTAGATGATGTAGCCTGGGTTATATAAAATAGCACTAATTCTTATGAAACTTTGACCAGTGATTATTAGTAAGGCTTCAGGTTATAAAATCAATTTTACAAAATATGGATGGTTTAGCTTTAATAAGAATAATTCTATGCAAACATAACCAAACATTATAAATTCCATGGATAAACACACAATCAGATATTGGGTATATGGGTAATGCAAAATTTATAAACATTATCAGAATATAATCATAATAAATGAATGACTTAAAATTATATAAGATCTCAGTTGATGAAACAAACTGAAAATATTATGGATGGGAACGATGTCAGTGTTAAAAATTATAATACTTTCCAAAATCCTATTATTTTTTTTAAACGTAGCATTACGGGTCCTACCAAAGGCACTGAACAATGAGCAAAAACTTTTGTCTGGGACATAAAAAAGCCAAGGGTTACTAAGAAAATGTTGATTAAACCTATGTATAAAATTCCATTCATAAAAGATTTTTATGAAGTAGCCATGATATTACAATTACAGCATTTCAACAGGACTTGAAAAATATCCTTTAGCATTCTAGCAGATTTGATAAAGATGTAATTAAGGCAAAGTCCAATATTATCTCCACTCACTGCAATTATTTATAATGAGGAAATAGAAGATGAAGCCTTATTAGGGAATCTTTCTGTGAAAACTGTGGGCTAATTGAACTGGGCAAACTTATTAGAGATAGGAATCTCAAAATGGTTGATGAGATAAAAAATGAAATACAACAGCTCAACCCTTTAGATATTTGAAGATGGCTATTCTATCCCCTTTCAGTCTCCTCTTTTCCAGGCTAAACATACCCAGCTCCTTCAACCATTCCTCATAAGGCTTGGTTTCCAGCCCCTTGATCATCTTGGTTGCCCTCATCTGCACATGTTCCAGATTGTCAACATCCTTCTTAAGTTGCGTTGCCCAGAATTGGACACAGTCTTCAAAACATAAAAATACAGAACACCTCAGTAAATTCCAAAAAGGACAAAAACCAACAATTTGGCAAACACGGAATAAATTCAATAATGCAAAAACAAACCACAATCTAGGCTTAATTACATAAATACATAGGAAAACAAGAGTTGGCTGACAAGGAAGTATCTGGTACTGCTCTTGCTGCACTCCAAGCAGTCTGTCTGGTTCAGTTCAGAGAAGCGGTGCAGATGGACATACAGCTGGTGCCCATATCCTTACACCAGAAGAGGCTGATGGCAGCAAAATCAAATGTCCAAGAAGGCAATGGTGGCAAGTCTCTTCCCCAGCCTCCTGGATGTACCAACTGCCAATGCAGCTCTTATTGCATTTATTGGAAAAATATCGATGGACCTCAGGCACCAGGCAGGCTCACGAACATCCCTGCCTGTTATTTCCCCTCTGCTTCATAAGGTGATACTGGAAGCCCAGATGCCGAAAGAGGAATGTTTCCACAGTGTTATAGAAAAAAGGGGTGGTTGGCTTTTGCTGCCCAACTTCCCAAGGGACTGTCTCCCCTAAGTCCATGATCGGTCAGAGATGAATGGATGGAGGCAAGATCCATCGAAAGCAAGGCAGATCTTTATTTTCCTGTTGCAACAGAGTCCCCCCCCCTCCTTGCAAGGAGGTTGGAGAGACCCGGAACAAGGGTGCAAGCCCCTATAAAGACTTTTGAAATTGCCCACCCTTTAACCCAGCAGAAATTTCAAGGGACGTTGGGATTGTCTCCCTTTTAGAAATGGGGCTGAATGAAGAATGATCTGATATAAAAAAACGAACTCCTAAAGAGAAGATCAGCAGGTCCTTCAAAGTTCTGAAGAAACATCGGGGGGGGGGGAGAGTTTGGCACAGGTGGGGGTTGCCATGGGAACAATACCTGCCCTCCTTTGTGACATCTCCTGCTTCCCCTTTAAAAGCCACCAACTACAGGTGTCCATTGTGGGTTAGTGAGGAGAGACAGAGAGAGAGGTGGGAGTGCAGGAGGAGATTTAGGAGAGGCTTTGGTTTAGGAGAGGCAGGGAGTGTTTAAATAGGAGGCGGAGGCAACAGCAACAATGCGGTCAATTCCAGAAATCCAGGAGGAAGGCAGAATCAGCGGACTTGTCCTTCGCGGGACAGAATGGTAAGTTTGTGGGGCCCCATCCTATTCTTTGCCCTATCTCCTTCTCCCCAGAACGATTCCCGTAGGTTCATTATCACGTGGTGCTGATAATGCCAAGGTTGCAGGCTTGCACAGCTGCACTGCCCGCAGAATCCTCGAGTCTCTCTTCCCTAAATTGGGGGGGGGGGGGCTGAAGTAGTGATACCCCCCCGTGGTGGCGATTCCAGGGTCCAAACTCTTAAAGGGGTTTGTATATGGGAGTTACTGGCCATACACTGAAAGGTTGTCAGTGAAGCAGTTTACAAGGTAAAACAATGTATGTTGACAAGGCCTCGCTCCTGTCAGCACTCACGCTGCAGCATCCTGCACTAACTGCAGCTTCCAAGCACAAGGGAAGCCCCATGTACAGTGCATGCCAGCAATCCAGTCTTGAAGCAATCAGGGCATGAACTATGGTAGCCAGGCTCTCTCGGTTCTGGAGTGGCAGGAGCTGGTACCTCCTTTCTCTCCAAGCCCTGAATGCTCTTGGCTGCCTCTCTGCAGCTGTTATGAAGTCCTACAGTTCATTCAACTGTGAAAGAGGGAAGGAATTGGGAGGGATGTGCCGGCAATTCTCTATTAGGCTCAACGTATTTCTGTTCTGCGTCACCTCTTCTAGGCTCAGGCAAATGAGAAGCTTCCTTCAGGTCAAAAGGAGCAATAAAGTGGCCCTGCTGCAGAACAAGGAGCCTCCTGTGACACCAGGTGAGGAAGTACCTCCCCCACAGACACCATTTTGGGAAGGTCAGGGCAGGAATAGGCTAGGGGGCAGCTCAGGATATAGGATAGGATTTGAGGGGTAGGGGAAGCTAGTAAGAAAAAAACCAAAAGAGCCAGACTGCTGGCTCTGACCCAAGGCTAGAGGGCCACATTCTCTTATGAGCCTCATTCGGGGGGGCTGTAGGCCAAGACTGGCCCCCAAGGCCTGGGGTTTGCCACCCCTGTAGGAGGAGTGTAGAAGCAGGGGAGTCAAGGAGAAAATTATTGCAACAATCTTGGAAGCTGCAAAGGGACGAACTAACCTGTCCCCATGTCCTTCTCTTGTTGCAGTGGTGCCAAAGCTCTTCATGACTGTTCCGAAGCCTGAGGTTAGTACAGGGGGAAACAAAAGAGGAGGGAGTGGATCCCCCAGACCCTCTGCCTGCTGACTGTGGTCTTTGCCCCCAATTCTGCAGTGGCGTGTGTCCCTGGGGTGTCAGGATGATGCCAGAGGCGTGTCCTGCCCTCTTCCCTGGTGCTGCCCTTCCACCTCTGCCCAGGAGGCTGCAGGGCCCATGGAGGTCCTCTGGGGCAAGGGATGGGGCCCAAGCCTGAGGGAGGCCAGTCTTTCCTGGCTTGGGCCCCCTTGTGGGCTCCCTTGCACCTGTCAATGGTGGGTTTTGTAGTGTCACAAAATGCATGTGATCCAGCTTTCTCTTTCCTCTGCAGAAGGCAATAGGCCGACATCGGTTCATCCAGCACCCGAAGAAGGTAAACAAATCTCCACACCTTGGGGACTTTTCACTTAGTAGCGTTATGGTTCCTTCCTGAGAAAGACCTCTCAGGCCTTCTTACTGTGCCTTGCTGGCCTTTTTCACTTCGCCTCTGTAGGCAGGGCCCTGACTGACTCCAGCTACAAAAGCTGAGGTGGCTGAACCCTTGGATTTGGGTAATGTTTAGAGGGCTTTCCTGAGAGAGGCTGTTAATTCAGTTTCTCATTTCCGTTCTCTTCCAGAGGACATCATTACTGAAGATTTGTAGGGTTTCCGGTTCTGGTCTCTGCCATGGCAACGTCTCTCCCTTCTGGGACCAGACTCAGACGGAGGGGAGGGGTTACCTGAGGTTGTAAAACCCTCTAAAAACCCCTGAAGGCAGGCGGGGGACAAGGCACCTGTGGGCGTCTTTGTGCCTGCTCCTGCTGGTCTCAAGCCCTGCGCCGCTGAGGCAGGCTCCACGGCTGCCATTGCAAGAGGCAAAGCTCCTTCACCTCTTGATATATTGGATCAAAATTAAAGGCGCCTCCAGAGGAAATGTGGACAGTGAGCTGCAATCTGAATGAGACTATCGAGATGGAGGGATGAAATTTGAATGTCCTGCCGTGATTAAAAATGGAGAGAAGAGGGGAGGGGAACTTCTTATTATTAATTTTATTTTTATTATTTAAAGTCTGCAAGGACTTAACACTTACCCCATCTGGTTTAAAGAACTAAAAGGATCACAAATGGACGTGTGTGGCGGCTATCAGCTTTCCTGTGCGCCAGCTACACCGCGATTCAGGCGATCAGAAGCGCGCCCCCTTCGCCGCCTTGAGTGGGCTGTGGGCAGGGAGCAATGGCTGACGCCCATTTTATGCCCCCCCCCTCGTCTCTGCCCCTGGCAGGGGCCCACCTCACCACCCCTTAGCTACAGCCCTGGTTGTTGATATTTTCTTTTTCTTTCATTAATTTTTTTATTAGAAATTTAAATAAAAAATATTATCCAAAAGCATGTCATCCTTAGTTTTGACAGGTGCATCCCTTGCACCTGCCAATGGTGGGTTTTGTAGTTTCACCAAAGGCGTCTCATCCAGCTTTCTCTTTCCTCTGCAGAAGGCAATAGCCCAACGACACCAGTCCCGTGTTCGTCCAGCACCCGAAGAAGGTAAACGAATCTCCACACCTTGGGGACTTTTCACTTAGTAGTGTTATGGTTCATGCCCAAGAAAGACCTCTCAGGCCTTCTTACTGTGCCTTGCTGGCCTTTTTCACTTCCCCTCAGTAGGCAGGGCCCTGACTGACTCCAGCTACAAAAGCTGAGGTGGCTGAACCCTTGGATTTGGGTAATGTTTAGAGGGCTTTCCTGAGAGAGGCTGTTAATTCAGTTTCTCATTTCCGTTCTCTTCCAGAGGACATCATTACTGAAGATTTGTAGGGTTTCCGGTTCTGGTCTCTGCCATGGCAACGTCTCTCCCTTCTGGGACCAGACTCAGACGGAGGGGAGGGGTTACCTGAGGTTGTAAAACCCTCTAAAAACCCCTGAAGGCAGTCGGGGGACAAGGCACCTGTGGACGTCTTTGTGCCTGCTCCTGCTGGTCTCAAGCCCTGCGCCGCTGAGGCAGGCTCCACGGCTGCCATTGCAAGAGGCAAAGCTCCTTCACCTCTTGATATATTGGATCAAAATTAAAGGCACCTCCAGAGGAAATGTGGACAGTGAGCTGCAATCTGAATGAGACTATCGAGATGGAGGGATGAAATTTGAATGTCCTGCCGTGATTAAAAATGGAGAGAAGAGGGGAGGGGAACTTCTTATTATTATTAATTTTATTTTTATTATTTAAAGTCTGCAAGGACTTAACACGTACCCCATCTGGTTTAAAGAAATAAAAGGATCACAAATGGACGTGTGTGGCGGCTATCAGCTTTCCTGTGCGCCAGCTACACTGCGATTCAGGCGATCAGAAGCGCGCCCCCTTTGCCGCCTTGAGTGGGCTGTGGGCAGGGAGCGATGGCTGACGCCCATTTTATGCCCCCCACTGTCTCTGCCCCTAGCAGGGGCCCACCTCACCACCCCTTAGCTACAGCCCTGGTTGTTGATATTTTCTTTTTCTTTCATTAATTTTTTATTAGAAATTTAAATACTGTAAAAAATATTATCCAAAAGCATGTCATCCTTAGTTTTGACAGGTGCATCCCTTGCACCTGTCAATGGTGGGTTTTGTAGTTTCACAAAAGGCGTCTCATCCAGCTTTCTCTTTCCTCTGCAGAAGGCAATAGCCCAGTGACACTGGTCCCGCGTTCGGCCAGCACCTGAGGAAGGTAAATGAATCTCCACACCTTGGGGACTTTTCACTTAGTAGTGTTATGGTTCGTGCCCAAGAAAGACCTCCCAGGCCTTCTTACTGTGCCTTGCAGGCCTTTTTCACTTTGCCTCAGGAGGCAGAGCCCTGACTGACTCCAGCTACAAAAGCTGAGGTGGTTGAACCCTTGGGTTGGGTACTGTTTGGCAGGATTAGTTGAGAGAGGCTGTTAATTCAATCTCTCTTTTTCATTCTCTTCCAGAGGACATAATTATAGAAGACCTTGAATGAGGGTGGAAAAAAAATCTGTGGAAGAAAGACAGCACCCAGATTTTGGGAGGCATATAAGTGGAGCAAGCAGGAGAACTTTCGGTATTTTGAGGGGGAAATCCCCAAAGCAGAAGAGAACCTGGGACAGCTTCAGAACCAGCCTCAGTGCCACCAGCTTACCTGCCTAGAAAGACTTAAGGACTGGAACTCCAGCATATTTGGGACTTAACTTTCAAACCATTTGGATTACAAAAACTAAGAAGCCGAAATAGGGACTTTGGAACTATTCTCAATTACCACTGTATGGAGAAGACAAGTATAATTTTGTTTTACAGAAATAAAGTTTGACTTGCATTTTTATTTCTCTCTGTGTGTTTTCCCCCTCTCTCTTCTTTTTGTTGTGGTTGTAACAAAATTTAATTCTGTATTTTACCTGAGTTATTTTTGAAGTTTCTTATTTGTTTATTTGTTTTCTTTTTCCTTTTAATTTTTTGTCACTGTACTTTGATTTGCTGTATGGGGGAAGGGGAAGGTTGACGAAAGGGAAAGGGAAATTGGATGCTCAGTCTGGGAGAAAGGAAATAGTTTCACTCTTGGGCTGAGCTGAGAATTGCAGGTGTGACCTTGAACAATTTAAAAATAGTTCTGGGAAGCCACTAAAGTAGAGATGGCGAGTAAACAGGAAGGAGCAGTTACCAGGAAAGCAGGTAATTACCAGGTTTTAAGCAGAGGTTGGATGGCCATCTCTCATGAATGATCTAGTTGAGATTCCTGCATTGGAGGAGGCTGCACTAGATGACCCTCGGGGTCCCCTTACAACTCTATAAACCTCAGAATGTATCCTAAGTTGGTATCATAGTGGCTTTGTGATGTGAAGAGGGTCTTAGTATCTCACTGCCTAATTTCACCCACCATATAAACAAGCAGGGAAGGAATCTGCAGTCCAGGGATAGCACGACACCTCTTCTTGTAGCTGAGTAAGATTGTCTTCCATAAACACGGTTTTAACAATGAGTCCGTAAGTGATGGTGGAGGCCAATTCTGGACCCACGTGTCCTTCCATAGTTGGGACATTGGTTCCCAGGCGGGAGCTGATCACGGCGTGGATTTGCCAAGCGTGCCTTCCTCTTAGCACATTTCTCCCTTGTGTCCTGAGTTTGAGTGTCTTCAAAGCCCATGACACCTTTGGTAAAGGATGTTCTCCAATTGGAGTGCTCGCAGGCCAGTGTTTCCAAATTGTCGGTGTTTATACTACAGAGCCTAGGACGTGCCGATCAGAAGGTCGCGGTTCGAATCCCTGCGACGGGGTGAGCTCCAGTTGCTCGATCCCTGCTCCTGCCAACCTAGCAGTTCGAAAGCACGTCAAAGTGCAAGTAGATAAATAGGTACCACTCTGGCGGGAAGGTAAACGGCGTTTCCGTGCGCTGTTCTGGTTCGCCAAAAGGGGCTTAGTCATGCTGGCCACATGACCCAGAATCTGTACGCCAGCTCCGCCGGCAACAAAGCAAGATGAGCGCCGCAACCCCAGAGTTGGCCACGACTGGACCTAATGGTCAGGGGTCCCTTTACCTTTATACTACATTTTAAAGATTTGCCTTGAGACAGTCTTTAAACCTCTTTTGTTGACCACCGGCATTATGCTTTCCATTTTCAAGTTCAGAATAGAGTAGTTGCTTTGGAAGACGATCATCAGGCATCCGCACAACATGACCAGTGCAACGAAGTTGATGTTGAAGAATCGTTGCTTCAACACTGGTGATCTTTAGGGGTGACCCATAGCGGCTATAACTGAAATCAGGCCGGCGTGAGCCCTCAAACTCCGCGCGCGTGAGGGTGCCATCGCTCTATCCTTTAGCACCTCTATGTTGACAATCCCACACAGTTCGCATTGGAAACTGAAGCGTTCGATTCCAGGCCGGGAAAGCCCGACGCAGAGACTCCCCCCGCTGCTCCCGGCGCCTCTTTGCCGTTCCCACTCGCCCACCTGCGGCGGAAGGGGAAAAGAGGCCGTGCGAGAGATGCCCGGAGAAGAAAGGCTTTGTTCCGCCTCTACCCCTTTCCTATCTCTAGGGTTGCCCCGTGAGGGCGGCCGAAGGACAGGGCGGCCGTCGCGGCTTGAGTGCGTCACGGCGGAGACGCTCACCCACCTGTGCCAGCATGGAAGGGAAGAGAGGCGCCGCTGAGGTGGCGGCGGCTGAAGCCCCGGAGCCGGCGGCCGGGGAGTTGCTAGGAGACGGTGAGGGGGCAAGTTGGGCGAGAGGAGGAAGGAGGGAGGGAGGGAGACCCCCGTTGGCCTCGCGGGGGCTTCGGTGGGGAGAAGTTCCTGCTGCGCGCGCTTTAGGATTGCGACCAGCGCGCGTTGCGCGGCTCTGCGCCCAGTCCCTGGCGCTGCTCTCTGCGAGCTTTGCCTCCTTTCCTACCCTGAAGGGATGCCACCGAGAAAAGCAGCCCTTGACTCTGGACAAATAAGGGCTCAGGGTGTTGAGGGTATTTTACTGAGAGCTCCTTTTTAGGTGGGGACCTGAGTTCCTGGCAACTTTGGAAAAAGTTAAGAGAGTGCAGCTGATGGACTGGGCAGAAAGGACCCCCGGGAACTACTTGATTATTACTGGTTTTTTTTTCTTTTTCGGTGGAGGTTTCTGCCTGCTCAAGAGCGAAATGATACTAAAAAAGATTGTGGACTATCTGTGTCAGGAAAAGAAGATGCCAAGCCTCCCCTCTCTCTCCTCTTGCGTCTCTTTCAGAATGCTATGCGGACTTCTTGAAGGAAGATTTTGATGTGAAGGCGTACACCTCGCAATCGATTCATCAAGCTGTGATAGCTGAACAGTTAGCGAAACTTGCTCAAGGGATTAGTCAGCTGGATAAAGAGCTGCACTTGCAAGTAAGTGCCACGCGTATCACCCAAATCTGTATATACCGGCAGCTGAGATTCTGAAACGGCATTGAATTGTTTGTTCGACTCTACAGCTTTTAGACCTGCCCAACAAGGAATGTCATACTTAACTAATTGAAGATGCTTTCTGTCAATGAATGTATATATGGGAAAGTGATGGTTAAATTTTGCCTCCTACAGAAAGTTTTCAAATAAACATGCACAGGCAACATTAATATGGTTGGCTCATAGCCAGTGTTATGATGATAATTGTCAGTGTGTAAGCTCCCCAAAATGGGCTGTAGCTATTGTAAGTGTATAGTAATGTACAGCTATACATGTTTGTGTGTTGGTAATGGAGAAATAAATGCAAAGTTAAGCTGTGAATGTAAGGTGCCCATCCACACAATGTGAATAGTGATAATTGGTTTGCCTTACATACATTGGGATGATCCAAGTAGTTCATTCAGCCTTAAAGAGAGGCTGCAGAGCTCACTTAACTTTATTGGGCACACAAAACTTTTCCAAGGTATGCAATTATATTTGTACTTGCTACATAAACTGCTGAGCCTTTCTGGGATCTTCCTTGAGCACAGAGCAGGGAGCCTGTGCCAGTCCTGGAAAACAGAATTTCTTCTTATGACCCAGCATGCAATCCACAACACCAACTGTATTTGCTTATTAGTATTCTTTTTATAAGAATGCGGTTTGTCCTCTTACATGTAAATGAATCCTAGGAATGTTGTTAACAGAATGCCCAAGTCCTGATGTAAGAGCTGTGCAATGCAATTTGGAATAGAAGAAGTATGCTTTGTGATGGTAGAACATGTGATTTAATTGTGGTTATTGTTTGAACTGAGAAGAGAGGAGAGTTCAGGATTAGTTAGAATTACCTTTATAGGCAAAATATGGTTATCCTTGTTAAAATATTTGCCAGCATCTTAACAACTAAACATGAGCAGATTCTGTTGAGGAAATTCTGTATTGAATGGGAGAATTGAACTTCACTTTGGTATTCACACTTAATTAATCAACCAGTCAATCAATAGATTTTTATTGTTTATAGCCAATAGCCATCACAATACAATATAAGCACAAATCACACAACTAGCAGAAATTGAATCGCATTGGTTAAATTTTTGGGTTAACAGCTTATTGCTGGTGACTAGAAACTTATCGTAGGCAATAATCACTCTTTGATTTTGATATAAAATGTCAGTTTTCAATCAGTTTATAACAACTGCCAGAGGTTATCCTTTAACCAATGTGCAGGTACATTTCTCATAACTGAATATATTTACTCTGAGTCTAGCCAAGGTTGAGAGCTTCTGGTTTAGAATGGAAGCTGTCAGTAAGCAGTGCGGTGCAATATTGATTTCCTGCCAGCTCTAACATATGTCCTTTAAATAGTTATTACCGAAAAGGCAGGCAGTGATCCTTCGTGTGCCGCAAACCAAGTTTGTTTGCCTTTCTGTGGAGTTTGGATACTTTGTAAGGTGGGGCTTCATTGGAAGCCCAGTTACTCTTATGATGCTTTTCACATGCAATATCAAACCATACACTAGTAGCTACGTGCACTAGTAGCAGCAGGCCATGAATTTGGGCGCTTTCCTCCTCCCGCCCCTCGGTCATGGCAAGGAGATTGGGTGCATCTGCTTCCGTTTTACATTTTTAATTAGAATTTCTTGCTATATCTAAATTGGTGTGAGGGAACTCTGCTTTATATTATTTATTCATTCCACAAAACTAAAAGGCAAACCTCAAAGCATTTCACAAAAAAGAATAAAACATGACATTATTAATTTAAAAACCAATTACAAACTATCTTCAGAAATAATTAAAATCAACAATAAGCTAAAAGCCAGATTAAAACATGTGTTTAAACAGGCTTGCCTAAACAGAAATGTTTTTAGCAGGCACCCAAAGGCACAGTGAAGGCCTGATGTTCATAGGCAGAAAGTTTCAGAGTGAGTGCTGCCACCCTACAAGCTCAATTTCTTACAAATTTGGAACAAATGATATGTGACGCCTGTAATAGATTAGAGCTGCCGAGTGGCCTTATATGGGGTAAGGCAATTTTGCAGGTATTATTTGTGTATTATATGATGATTTGTTCAAACAAGCCAGGGTCAAACCATGGTTTATAAGCCTCGCTTGTTAATTAAACATAGTTTAAAATGAAATCTCTTGGTTTGTATGTAACAATAAACTCTGGTTAGTATAAAACTGGAAGTGGAGGTTTCAGATCTCCTCCTCTGCGATTGTATTCAAGTCTGCGGCTCGCTGCTGCTTCTATGTTTAATGCTAGTGGTTTAGTGCTCTGTCGCTATATAATGGGTGAAATATTATCAGCGCTGCCCTAAAATTTTATGTCATGCTACTTGCATTAGAAATGCGGATT